GTCAAAATGGGTATAAATCGAATACCAATAAATTTCTAACCTATTTCACACCACGGGTAGGCTACTGTCTTTATTGGGCGTATAAATTATGGTATAAGTAAGTTCTCATATAATATAATATATCATACAGTAGCATATTATATAATATTGTTTCAGTGTGTGTGCATAGGCGTGCGCAGGAATTTTTCGCGGGATGGGCAGAATAATTTTAGTGGGGACTCTACTACAATCCAGTAAGATAATTGCCTCTATATTACTATATTTAAAATTCAGTTTATAATTTTTATTTGTATACATTGTTATATTAATAATGAAAAGAAGAATATTATAGATATAAATTTAATATCATTGTTTAAAACTTTTATTTATGACTTGCATTTTTTTTAAAACGATTATTAATTTACATGCAAATAATTTTACATGGGTCTGATTATTTTCAGGCACGTATACAGGGGGGGGGGTTAACCTTCCCCTGAAAATTAATAGTTGTGTAAATTTATTTATATCAATTTAATATTTTTTTTTTATAAATATTGATTATTGTACATTTTTTATGAACCCCCCTCCGAAATTTTTTTGTGTACGTGCCTGATTATTTTACACAAAACGTTGGTTTTGAAATGAAATACTAGCGTACATCAGAACGCAACCACGACAGTACGTCGATTTAATACTTTATTGTATAGATTAACTTTTTTAAAAGCTAATGGCTGACGGATTATTATTTTTTAATGTATACAACATTTTTTTTTATTATTTATACTTATATTAAATTTATTATACATTTTAACCACAATTAATAACTATAATAATTTCAAATAAATCAAAAATTTAAAGGAGACACAATTGTTTTTAGGCTATGTAGCTGCCCACCCTGTACACCACATGCACACGCCGTACGAAAATATAAATGCACTATAAAAGTATTATACAGAGTGTCCTACAGTGTCCTACAGTACCCGTCAGCTAATAATAATAATAATATTTTTTTTTTCAATCGTGTTTCGTATGAGGTGGGCCCATGTGTAGAAAAAAACAAAATTTGTATTTTCATCCCTTAGTCAATGAAAAAAAAAACTTTATTTTAAAAATAATATTTTATCTAGTATTCAAATTATTATTATTATTATCTTGTTTTATATTTAATGTGACTTTAAATATTTTTTAAAAACTCGCGTCTATCATTACAAGGATTTTATCCTTAGTGATTGACGTTGCAATGCAATACTAATATATTATGTATCAATTGTAAACATCAATAACATAAATAAACTTTTTATTATTGTTATCATTTTTTTTAAATTGTGTTATTTATTTATATTTGTTTAGGTATCTTCTTGGGAAATTTTAATTTCATCAAAGCCACTATTATTAAAATCTATTAATCAATTTTGAATGTAAGATACATTAATATTTTTAGAACAACATATTTAATAAAATGGCTTTTTGAAAATTTTAAATAGTTATTTTTCTCAATGATAAAGAGATGAACATTTTATTTTTCTCACCACATGACATTGTGTCTCCCTCTCGCAAAACCCGATTGAAAAAGAAAATTTAAAAAAAAATGAAGTATTTTATTTCAGTTACTTGCCGACGGATATCACCGTAGGACACTCTGTATAGCTATTATAATACTATAATCACAGTAATATTAAAGTATTTCCAAAAATACACTCACTGTCGAACTCTTGTAACACGTACTAAGGCAAGCACCCATCACCACAATCGTCGCTGCTGCTATAAAATTACCGTGGAAACGACACGAAGACTACAACTGCGGAGGACGGCCGTGGTCTGATGAAAATGACGTTATTGACGATAGATGCAGCCGTAACAGTGGACAACCGCTGATTGACGGCGTTTTCCAAGCGTAATCACGACCGTTTTCCAGCGTATGTTTCGCTGCGTTCGTTCACGTCCGCGCGTCCGATTATTCGCCGCAGCTCATCGGGGGGCGAGGCCAACCCGCAGAACCCCCTTGTTCTGGGGTGGTACTTCAGGTTTTGCGCACAAAATAGCACGGGAAAACGGCTTTGCGCACCCCGGTGCCACCCGTTTGTGAACAATTTATTTTATTCAGCGGTACATACTGACATTTTCTCTCCAAATTTACAGACTGAGGAGTGTTTAAATTCGAATTATTTGTGTGCATTGTCGATTTAAAACAGCCGTAGCTTTGCAATTTTTATTCGTGCGACGAAAATACGAGTCAACACTATTTAAACACCGATATTCTCTATATTTAAAATTGTAATATTACAATATTGTAAAATTAATACCTACACAAATTTCCACGTGTGTTGTGATAATTGGACGATTTATTTGGAAAATGGTTATTATATCAAGTTATATTTGTCAACATTTGTCGCCAAAATTCCGTTTCATTCAAAAATTAAATTTGTTTTTATTGTTTCATAACTTGTATAGGGATACTTCCCTTTTTTACTTTAGTGAAGTCTATACTTCGGAGTAATTGTTTCAGTCGAATACATTGTTTTTAACTTGTTATAACAGTTTAAATTTTAAACCGGAGTAGAATAGAAGGGTCATATATAGGCAATTTATTACCCTTCCCTACTCCTTCCATTTAAACTTTAAACTGTTATAACTCATAAACGGTAAATTTGATATTAGTGTTATAAGCACATCAAAATTTCTAGAAAAATATTCTTTATTCAAATCTGTGTTAAAAAAGGGGGGTTCTTATTTTAAAATAAAAAGTATACACTATTTAAGGTATATGGAGTAGAATTAAAAACTTAAAATAAAGCTTAAACGATTCCATAATAGTTGGAAAAAACAGAAATCAAATTTACTTAGATTCCTCTGACATAATTGCTGGTTCATAATAAAAAAATCATCCTGTATATAACATTATACCTATATAACATTTGTTCCGATACCTAACCAGACAATGAATACGTGATTGAATTTTCCATTTTCCAACCGCTATTCACAAATTCTCTATACTTGTAGATCCTCTAGAAGCTTAAATAGTTTTTAAGAATAATTGCTAAGGGCTTATAAGAATAAATAAATTCTAAATTATGAGTTATGAACAGGGTCGGATTTAGGACTACGCTACCTAGACTAAGTAGACCTTAGATATAATTCTTATCTACGAATTTAATTTACCAACTATAAGAAAAAAAAATTCTGTTTAATTGTTAGAAATATTGTTTAACATAAATACTGATATTGTAAATTCGTGCATAATATTATAGATTATCATGGTGTATGTTGTTATAAGGTTTCTTAAAGTCGACAAATAATTGCCAAAAATTCTGTCTGAACTCATATTTTTTCTCTATTAACTGCCCTACTGTTGGAAGCTGATCGATTGTCGATTTAAACTTATGAAAACAACTCTCGTATTCGCCTATGCATTTATCTGATATTGGTTTAAGGCTTCTTAGCTGTATCTTTGAAAACACTATATATGAACAGTTCAATAGGAATATTCCTCAGTAGTTGTTCCAGTTGAGTTTATCGCATTTTTTGTATAGGAGAATCACTATATGGGCCTTATTCCATTCGTTTGGCCATTCTGTTTCTACTAAAAATGTCATGTATTATCTTATGTACTTCTTTTCCTCCAGCCTTCAGTAATTCTGCTGGTATCGCCAACTATCAAGGCAGAACTCGGAGACTTCTAGTTTTCTAGACTAATGGCTCTTATGGTTTCTTCTATAGATAAGTCTTCTACTTTTACTTCAACTTTGTGACCAGTTTATTCCGGTACTAGTAACTGCGGTAGTTCACTATTTCGCAGCTCTTTAAATTACTAGCGCCATCTAGTTAATCACAGTTATTTTTTCTTTCGTATCTCTGATAGCTTTTAAGCTTGGGTTAAAGGTCTTGTATTTTTTAACCTTTGTGAAGAATTGTCTTATTTTTCATTTTGAGTATTCTTAATCAGTACTACGTATTATATCGTTACTCACAGAATCTAAAATAATAATAATAATAAACAATTATTACCTTATTGTATAATCTGTTCTAAAAGGGAACAGATCAGTAGTCAAGTTTAAAATGTAGAATAACGGAAATCCTGTTGAACCTAATACTGTCAGGTTACGATTCACTTTCAAACTAAGTCTACGTTTACACCGTTTTATATGTATCGTAGTTCAATTGAATATTACTAAATTTGTAATGTTGATTTAAATTTTAAAACAAATTCATAACCACGTGAATATTTGTTAGAAACTATCAGTAAACTAATTTTAAAACTATTACAAAAATTAGTAACTAATATAATATGTCAAAAGTATGCCAGTAAAACGTTATTTAATATAGGTACTTATAATACCACATCACAATATTAATTTTCATGTCTGTAAAAATGGAAGAAAAGTGAGACGTATATTATGTAAAATATGAAAAATATTTTCTCTCTTCTCACAATCAGTGTTAAGATTATTTAGATAAATTTATCTGGATAATAACTATTTTATCTTATCTAGATAAATAATGTTTAAGTCATGATAAAATAAACAGGTATGTCAGCAACTTATACGAGTCCTATGTAAGTTTGTAAAAAATTTGTCGTCCGGTTTACGTCGCTTTTAATTGGCTGAATAAATGGCACCAAATCAGTTTTGGTAAAATACACTTACAAAAATGAATTAATTTTATCATGCGGTCTCAGACCTACCAACCATATTACGATTAAAGTATCAAAATTTACGACTTAAGTTTTGAAATATTTAGTCTGTACCTACGAGAAGTTTCATTCGGATGAACAAATTAAATAGTCAGACTTTGTGTAATACACAAAATAATATAACTAAAATATAAATAAATAATGTATTAACTTAAAAACATGATTTTTGTAAGTTGCTTAATTTAAAGAATGAAGAATGTTACGATTATTAATATTGTAACAGTGTTTTAACTTGTTTATTGTTTACTGTTAATAGGTTAAAATATAATTAACTGAATACCCAATCAAAATTCCGTCCACGGAACTGGTCAGAAGGCATTTTGGTCCCGAAATGCCAACCATACCGGACATTGTGCGCCGGCGCACAGCGTTCATCCTCGTCAATAGCCACCATAGTCCGATACAGTCTAGGCCGTTGGTGCCCAACGTGATCGAGGTCGGTGGATTACATATCGTTCGAACCGATGAAAAAGCGACTAACGTAAATGTGTTACACGCTACGCATACCAATATACACTGAACTTAGACACGTCAATTCGGTTATTCGGTATTTTATCGCTTTCGCTGCCCTTGCGGAGTATACTAATAAGATGTATTTATAGTTTATTGTTTATAGCATATTGTTTAAGCAATTTTCTAACTTCCTCAGTCTCAGTAAAATAATCAGATTTAATCATTAAGGTTCTTTTCATTAATTTTTCTTTTTCTAGTGTATTTTGTGGGGATAAAAAAGAATTTAAATTTAAATTAAGGTTGGATTGATTATTTATTGAGTTATTTTTGTTGGTCCCTATTTCTTCATATACGTGTTATAAGTTATTGTGAAATGTAATCGGATCATCAAGATTTATTAATGTATTTGTATATGTTTGGGTACTTTGATCAAAGAAACTACTACAAGTCGTACTTGAATTTTCTAAGATTTTCCACTCTATTTGAAAATAATTGTATATTATTATTTAAGTTTTCGTATAATTCTAAGGATCTTGGGAAAGTAGTTGGTGAGTTTGTGTTGTTTTGTATTTTATAAGGACTTGAATAGGATAGCTCGGCGTCTTTTAGTAATTGTTCAACATCAATTTTATCAATTTTCGAATTATTAAGAATCGTTTTACGTTTCTCAGCGTCTAATGAATTGTCAACGTCTTCCAAAGTTATAGTTCCTCTTAAATATCTACTATAGCTCTTAGTTCGGCAGTATTTCCTGTAGATTTTAGATTTTTATTTTTGCAATATTGTATAAGAAATGGTGTTTTGAGAGTATAAATATCTGTTTACCGTATTTATTGTAATTGAAGGTCCGATTTAGAGTCTTTAAGTTCACTCATTTAACTACCTATATAAAATTGAGAGAAAAACTAATTAAATAATCCTAAATTCTTACTTGAATATATTATTATTTATAATTATTTCAAACTCAAATTATATAAATTACTAAATTTTAAAATTATAATAAGAGATTTAAATTTAGAAATAAGTGTTGTTAAATAAAAAAAAATGATTTGGGATATTTGATCTAAAAAGTATACTACTAAATGGATTATATTATAAAAACTTAATTAACTAGTTATTACTCCTACTATAATTTAAAAAATTAACTAACACCTAAAAAAATTATATATATATAAAAAGAAAAATTATGACTTGCATGCATACAAAATATCACCTTACACCAATATTCACCTTAAATGTTTAAAACTCAAATTTTGTAATTAAAATGGATGCACTCCGAAACTAACATTGTGATGCAAGAAGTCTTCCAGCCGTGAAAGTATTTAATCTGATAGAAACTTTAATTTGACTCACAATTTTTCAAACGCGATATGTGTGAAACACACAAGAATCACTTTTGCTTAAAATGAAGAAAACAAACAAACAAACAAAAACACAAAAAAATAATAAAGAAGTTCGGGTAGTGGATTACGAATTACGTTGGGCGCCATATATCATATACCGATATTTCGATGGTACATCTCTACTTATTTTTGAGAACTCAAATTACCATAAATTAATCGGTTACAGATCAGACTCGGAATAAGGCTATACGTATTGTGGATACTCAAAAATAAACGATATTTCGCACTAGCGATTAAAAACTTCTTTATTACAAATAAAAACAAACATACAAAAACGGATCTCTTGAAAACAATACGTATGTGTGTTTATACATACGTGTTTCGATCGAAAACCCGCATTGCCCCGTTACCGCGGTGCTCACGTTCTTAAATATTATTTACAATATGCTGCCTCAGCTCATTTACTTCCTTGGCCTATAGAACAGTATTTGAGTATTTTACTATTTTGTATAAATGTACAATCTAGATATCTAGTATAACATAAATAAAAAAAATTTCATATAAAAAACTAAACTACCAAAACTTACATTTTTGTCCACCGATGACGCTAGTGTAAGATACATATTAAATGCACGATGCCAATATTATAACGATTAGCTTTTATAAATTATGATTTATGAATTTATGATTCAAACGAGAAATTTCCAAATAGGATCGAGTAGGTGTTCTGTCCACTCGATCTGTGTAGGTGCCTACTTCAATTCGGCCAATATTATTGAAAGGGGACCTTAAACCTTTGAAGTTATAACGAATGTTGGATATTCTTGACGAGCTCTTGACTGAGGGGCTTTGGACAAATCATTTTTCTAAATCGGTTATTGCCTTTAAAATAAGATTCGAAATTTAGTCTAAAATAATCCTAATGAGTATAGGATACATCATATTTCAATAAATTTTAATCGAGGTTCGAGCTTAAATACGGTTTTTTATTTTCTAGTGTTTTATTTATTGTAAATTGTAAACCATGACCATATGTATGACTATAATATTTAAATTATTTATTTTGGAACGCCCGGTTTTTTTAACACATTTTTTACGAACAAATTATCTCGAATATTAATAATTAGTACCCAAGGATCGTATATATCGATATTCGACATATTATCAAAAAACGTGCAACTCGTCTAGTTAATTAATATTATTAGGTACCTATTATCTGTGTGTATTATTTTTGTATATAGGAATGGTTGGATTACTGCGATGTGTGCGTCCAAGGTGTCGTATACGTATCGTTCGGTTCGTTGCTGAAGGGAACGTCGTTTCCGGACCAATTTTTAACTTCGATGGTGTGAGCTTTTGAAGCCCTACCGTACTGCGTATTATGGAAGTATGAGAGTGACGATATAAAATCGGAACACATAAAAGTGTCCAAACGGATACCTCAACGGCAGATCCTGAGTAATGTCGATTCGTCTTTAACGGGCAGCAAATGCGCATTTTGATTGCACCCATACCATATTATCATAATACCTATCCTAATATTATTTTGATAATATTAGTTTAAATATCAGATAATATCAGATTCTATATTATATAGTAAGTACCTATAATATGTTATAATATGTCTGCAGGTCATAGAAATAGCAAGGCGTTTATAACGCATGACGGGTTGATGGGCGTCATGGAGGCCGTGCACTTTGGAGTATCGATGATAGGCATACCGGTGTTCGGCGATCAGCAGTCTAATATCGCCAACTGTGTCGAAAAGGGCATAGCCATCGAATTAGATCATCGACAGGTTACTGTACAAAAATTGATCAAAAGCATACAAGCCATCATCATAGACAGCAGGTATAAAAACCATACAATACCCTGTAGAAAATGACAAAAGTACCTAGTACCTACCTACATAGTTTATCACTGTGTTTAGTTCTTATCGGTGGCAAACTGTACTGTAAGTCGGATAACATAGGTGCAAATAGACCATCAACTTTGGGGGTGCTAAAATTATGGACATATCAAAGACCCATGGGAGCTACGCTCCCACAATCTCCTTTGAACAACTTTTACAATAGTCAACTTTCATGTACAATTTTATATTGTAAGTGTAGCGAAGAATGTATTGGTTTTACAAAGATGTTTATTTTTTTTTTTTTATGTAAACACTTATGTGAAATTTTCTTGGCGTAACACTTTTTAATATTTTGATTTTCCCGGCAATTTTCTCAATAAAAGGGAAGAAGTGAGAAAAACGGGAAGATATGATTTTCTTTTTCTGTGGACAACTTTTCTACCAACAATTTTACTCCGATTTACAATAATAGCATTTTTTCTAAATTTAAATGTAACTAGGGAGGTCCTTTAAAGAGGTCATTTTTCGATTTTCTCAAGAATTTTCCCAAAAATTTTGAAAAACCGGGAAAACCATAGGAAAATCAGGAAAATCAGTACAATATTAAACAAATAGGTATATTATTAAAAAAAATATACCATGTCTATTTAATTATTTTATCATAATATGACATATATATTGTTGACAAAGCATCTCTATCAACTGAACTCTGCTCAGAATTTGTTTTGAATCTACAATTTGGTTGATGTTAAAAATAGCAATTTTAAATGATTTAAAAAAATAATTCCATTACTCTCAGATTTTTTTTTCTGTGCACAAAATAAATAAAATTTATAATGAAAATAATATGTTCAAACATTATTTATGAGCCAAAATAATTGAATCCACATAAAATTTCACAAACTAAAAATACTCGATAATTTAAAATGTCTCTAGAAAAGACTATAAAAAAAATCACACATAGTGAAATTGGTAAAGTATAAATATTAAATAAATAAATAAATATAAAACACACCATCAATCCTCTTTGGCGACCAAATATTAGTATGCGATCAACTCCAGGTCCCGTATCACAAATGAACCATTGCTTACAAAAAAAACGATTCTGAGCAGAGTTCAATTGATAGTGATGCTTCGTCAACAATGTATATGTCAGTTAGTAGTAACATAAGTAAATAGGCTTTATATATTTCCTGTCATATAGACGTTATCGCAGTTATTTTTGGATTTATCTAGTTTATTTGCTGTTATTTTGTACAATGTTTGATACAAAAAAAAAACAGTAAATAGCGGTTGTCGACTTTTAAACGATAAGTATTGGTGCATACGCTTTTGGAAATGGTTGAATATTCAACTCTATATACAGGATTACAGGCTGTCTCACGAAGATATACCCCTTGAATATCGCTGGAGATAATAAAGATAATCAAATTCTACATTTTTTTATATTACTTACAGGGAAGAGAATTACAAATATTCATATTTGAACTATTTAATTATTAAATAACTTTTTATTTTATTATTTTCGAAGAATTTTAAGATAGCCATTCTGTAAAGATTATTTTTCTAAAAATTGTAATGTATCACATATTTATATTGAATAGTTTAGTTTAGTTTATGATGAATAATTGAGTAACAACCATTTTAAATTCTACTAATCCGTGTTATACGATAACATCGAGTTTCATAAAATTGTGATACATTAAAATTTTCATAAAAAAAATCGTTTAGAATGGGTATCTTAAAATTTTCCGAAAATAATAAAATAAAGTTATTTAAAAGTTCTCAATTTTGAGATGTCACTATATAAGTATATCATATTTTTAAATTGACTTAATAACTTATGAAGTCATTAAGTTAAAAGTAATTTTGTTAAAATAATTAAAATTAAATTATTTTCTAGATGACAACAAACTTTTATCTAAGAACTAATGCGGATTTAAACCAAGTATAGGCATTGATGACTCAATTAATTTATAACAAACTAGATAACAGTAATAAGGTGATGGAAAAGGCTGTCAATCATAAAATTTTATTACCAAATTTCGGTATTAAAAATCTTAGCTTAAATCTATCATACAGAAAACAAATGATAAGAATTTATTAGTGACATAACTGGTCAGGAAAGTATTTGTTTTATTTTTATTTTTAATACCAAATGGTTACTGGGCCACACTAAGAGGAACTCGTGTAAAGACCTAAGGTTATCTTTTATCAATCATTTCAAAAATTCTTAGAACACAGTAAACCACCTAGCGAAATTTACATAAAACCATGAATAATTTACATTATCATAAATTAGCAGCTGGACTAGATAAACGAAATTGTTGAATCATAAATCAAATAATATATTCTGAATTCAAAGATTCTAATATAGTACTAATTATCTGTTATAAAACATTAACTAATACAAGAACAACTGATACGTGGAAAACACGAGAATATGAAAAAATGATAAATTTAATAAATGACCATTCTTTTACAAAATAAATAAGGAAGTTAATAACATTAACAATATCCATGCATATAATGAAAAAATTAAGATATAACAATTTTCCTACTATTAATACAACAATTAACAATTAAAACAATAATGAATTAGAACTACATCCATATATAATGGATCCATAATACTAACAATAATAAAAATAATGAAATATTTTTATTATGTTTTTAATAATTTAGCAACTACAAACCCGGCGAAAATGTTCATGGAGACGATATTGTGGTCTCTATGCCCTATGTAATGCTTTAAATGATAATAAAGAAAATATCTTCCACAAGGCAACTTTTAGTACCTATTAGTACCTTCCAGATCATTGACAGTCCAACGATAAAATGGCCTCCATTGCAAATTATTAAGATCATGGTACATATATTTGACGAAAAAAATTAAAATGGCTATAATCCATCGCAATAAAAATAATAAAAAACCTCAGATTATTCTCTGCAATACAGATAATACACATTGGATTCCTGGTACTAAATCTACAAAACCATCATTTAAAATACCGAACAATTAAATTGAAATAAACGACAACACGCCATTAGAGCAAATAATTACAAAAATAAGAGACTAATATAAAATTATAAAAGTAACAGACGGTGGTTACCACAGTTAGGTACCTATAATATATACACATCGATTCTGAGTTTTTGGCTCTGTTCATATATATAACAATAATATACAAGCTCTCATCCGATTTCCGAAAGTTACATAAGTTTTGATTATTTGCATGAGATCAGTGCTCGAATTGGGTGGAACATATAAATACAAAGCAGTTTTTTAACAACAGCCTTTTGATAATTACTTCTGTTTGAATTTTTTCGCAAATAATTATAGTAACATGTAACTCAAAAATTGTAATTTTTTTTAAATTTATCATTAAAAAGACGTCCAAGGATAATGGGGATGGGTGCAGTCACTGTTATAGGTAATTTAATGTATACCTGTAAGTAACGATAAACCATTGCTAACAAAAAGCGATTCTGATCAGAATTCAATTGATAGTGATGCTTCGTCAACAATGTATATGCCTTATTAAAGTAAAAAAATTAAGTACTCTATTTATTTTTTTTAATAATATTTGTTTAATGATGTACTTATTTCCCCGGTTTTCCTACGTTTTACCTGATTCTATGTTTTTTTCCCAAAAAAAAAGGAAAAATGTATGATATATATTTGTTATACATTACAATTTTTTTTCTGTAGACTAAAAAAACATAGGAAAACCGGGAAAATTGGTACAACATTAAACAAATATTATTAAAAAAAATATATAAAGCCTATTTAATTATTTTACTATAATATGACATATATATATATATATTGTTGAAAAAGCATCACTATCAACTGAACTCCGCTTTTTATAAGCAATGATTTATCGTTGCTTACAGGTATGCATTAAATTACCTATAACGGTGGATGCACCCGTCCCCATTATCATAGAACGTCTATTTTTATTTGTATGTATTTTTTATTTAGGTAAGTACTTATACTAATTTGAATTTAATATTTATAAGTTTTTTTATTTTATAGCAGTTATTCAGATACACAGTTTATAAATAATATACATACAATTATTATTATCTTTTTATTTTTATTATTTATTGTATTATTATTATTATTATCTTTTTTTTGGCGTCAAAAATATTTCCCTCGCATCCATGTGGTAGCGTCTAGATGGCCGTGTCCATTTATCCTAGACCCGGTTAATCGATGATAACAGTTGTAATCACTATCAAAGAAGAAACAAAAACTCGTTACTTCATTTGTTCTTATATTTATAATTTATTTCATCATTACATTTATCTGATTTAAAATCTCTACTTGTATGTTTTTGTTCTTCTGAATAACTGAAGTTTTTCTATTAAAAATATATTGCATTGTACCACTTAAACGAGTTTTTAACTTAAAAGAAATAGATCATATACATTTTTTTTTAGTATACTTTATTACTTTAGTATAAATGTATGATGATTATAATATAAATAATAATAAAAAAAAAAATAACGAAAAATGTGTACATCCCATTTGCTAGAAATTATTTAGTACAACTTCTTTTTTACTCATCCATTCTTCAATTTCTTCAACACTAAAAATTAAAAAGATAATATTGAATGTTAAGATTATTGTTACACAGAAAACACCTTGTAAATAAATGTAAACAAATGGCTTACGTTCTTGGTACAGGTGTATAGTTTTCAATTCCATTTTCGGTAACAAAAATGTTATCTTCGATGCGCACACCACCAAAATTCCAAAAGCGATTCAATATGTTTTTATTTAAAAATATAGATAATTTTGGGTCATTAAGAGCCTGATTCAATAGCTGAAATAAAACTATGTTATTAAGATTGCAATAATTGTATAATCTGTTACAATATACTACCGATTCAATAAAATAACACCCAGGTTCAATAGTGAGTGCCATACCAACTTCCAAATTTCTGGCCGTTCTCAGAGACTTAAGGCCAGGCTTTTCTGGTCTAGCCGGATATCCTTCCAAGTAACCACCAACATCGTGTACATCAATTCCAAGAAGATGACCTAACCCATGTGGTTGGAATATGGCTGCAAGACCAGCTTCGAACATTTCATCAACATCGCCTTGTAATATATTGATTTCACTTAGTCCTTTCAAAATTACTTTATTGGCCATTATGTGCATGTCCACCCAGGAAACACCTATAATAAAATTTTTTAAATTATAATTAAAATTATAAAAAAAATCTAATTCTATGGTATAAAAATTGATATCTCTTTTTAAACATAAACCCGTTTTATTATACATATTAAGAAATATACATAAATATGTATTATGTAATGACTAATTATAAATGCCTCAAAGATTACAATCAGTGCTATAAATCAACATACATTGGAATATTATGTAATACGCTATATACCTCATATTATGTCTACCCAAATCAAACTTTTCACAACTTTTAGAATAACTATAACAAAATATTAACTTATGGTTATATTGGTACCATTTACTTACTACAAAAAATTAATTAAATATTACAATTTTTTTATTATATATAAATCAAAACCAATATTAAAAAAAATATACACAGACAGTATAGTATGCTTAATGATTACCAGGTTTTATTGCACTCATTACGGCATGGCTGGCTGAAAGTACGGTATTGTATATTGCCCGTTGGTCGTCCGTAAACTTCCCATTAGCCGGAAACGAAACAGTCACGTCAGCTGTATAGCCACTGTACACCGCTCCCATGTCGAAAAGACTGAAAAAACCAACCAGCTATTTATCAAAAATCAAGGTTTTTATGTGGCTCAACGACATTCATGTCAACAATTATTCGATTTCATACAACTATTACCCTATTTTTTTAGCAAACCCTAGAACAAAGTGATTAATCCAAAATTGAAGTATGACGCAGTACATATTAGTATTTACTAGTAACAAGTTAGGAAAGCCCACTCTAAGAGCGAGCCAAGTTCCCCGTTTCTAAATATATTTAAAATAATTATATAGATACAGACTAGTTTTTGTTCCATAAACTATTTTGAAAGAATTTGATATAATATAGTATTTATGTGTAGAAACCTAAATAAATAAAAAAACTCTTAATTTGTTAGTTCCCAGGACATTTTTAAATTATTTAAGTACAAGTTATATAATATTATTACTTTATATGCTTAATAATGGCAAGTATGAATGCATATTTAATAATAATATTTAAATAAATAATGACAATAAATTATATTTAAATTAATAATAGTGTTACGAATAATATAAATACTGTTAATCAAATCAACAACCTATTATAAAGGTTGTGTCTAAATACGACTTGATCTATTTAAACAAACATCTCAGATATAATGAAACAGCAAAGCGAAAAAACAATACGCAACTCAAATAAACAAAATGGAAAATTTTCCTTTGTATTGAAAGACCTCAATTTCAATACAATTTCTCGACCTTAGTATTATGTCGGCTTACAGAATACCTATCACCGGTCAGGGCGACAATGTCCTAAATCGATGTCTGCGAAAATATGCTTACCGGACATGGCTTTTTTGTACCAAAACACCGGTTCCCTGATTTACGCATAGTCCTTTTCCGCCAAAAACGAAAAAGGTACGATTACCGTTTCCGCCAAAATGTATTTTAGTGAAAAGACGTTTCCGCCAAATATAGTTTAGGAACCATGTACCTAATTATGTACAATAAGTTATAATAATAAATCAAATAATACAATTAAATTATAGGATTTTAAAAAAAAAATCAGAGCTTTAAATTACAGCTAAAAATTAAAATACAACAAAATTTAAAAAAAAAAAACAGTTTTAACAAAACTGTATCTACTAATTTCATTAAACTTCTTTTTATAATAGTCCAATACTTCGGAAGGGTCCAAAAATGTTAACTCAAAAGAACGTTTTAACCAGTAATTGTTTTTATACTCAAATGTTAAACCTAATTCTAGAATTTTTTGATACTAACTACCTAATTACCTATCTCTATAATATAATGGTTTATCGATTATTTGATGCTGTTTATACTTTCGTTATCGACGATTATCTATTGAGGTATACATATGAACACCATTGGTTCCCGAACATCGGTTCCTGTTCCGGGAATCGTACTTTTTTCGTTTTTGGCGGAAACGGCCAATATTATTTTGGAGGAAGCGGGTATCACCCACCATGCTTACCAGTCACCGACCCGTAAACTAGTACAATATTTTTCTCTCGCTTACCACATGTCGCCGTCCTGGATCTTTTTCTCATTGGGTTTGGTGGCGTGACCGTAGTGCAGAACAGCACCGTTCGAGCCCGAACAGCAAATATCGTTGTAGCCCACGTGCCTGCAACCTCCTACGTAATAGGCGTAGTGTAAAAAGTTGGCTTCGCATTGATACTCGTACAGGCCAGGCTTACATTTCGTCATGACAGATTTGTGAGCGTCACACGTCACCTTTGTCGCATATCTCATCACGGCTTTTTCGTGTTCAGTTTTGATGACCCGACTATAATAAAAATAGGTATGCAAACAACGGCTATCAGGTACATCGCATTTGATTCATTTCATCGTCGGTCGATAATGGACAGATCACTAATAGATAACATTTAAATCGATGTCGCTAACATTTTATATTTTAAAAACCTAAACTTTTATGCTAAAACTTGTATGATATACGTACGAACAGAAATGTTATGAATAGCTACTTACTTTGTCATATAAGATATTATGGGCATACAGTGCCTATAAGTTAAGGATTAAATTGGAAGATTATATAAAATTGATTACTAGATAAAAGGTCATGGAAATTGTAAAGCAAGTAACAGATGGACCGTTACGTCGGAGGAGGCTCTGTGCAGTCGTGATACTAGACGTAGCCAATGCATTCAATTCGGCAACGTGGGACAAAATCAAAGCAGCGTTGAGCAGGAAAAGAGTTCCAGAGTATCTTTTCATCCGCGACTATTTATGCGACCGAGCGGTTGAATTTGAAGAGAAAGAACGTCAAACCACAACATGTGGGATTCCATAGGGGTCGATTTTCGATGATCTCCTTAGAGCGGACTTTAGACAAACTATTTTTTCGTCGTCTTCACTCGTGGCTTTTGAAACGACGTAGCAGTGATCGCAACAGGTCACACACCTATTCTAGAGGAAACTACGAACAATATCCCGGAGCTAGTAGTGAAATGGCTGGAAGAAAACAGGCTTAAACTGTCTCTACAGAAGACGGAAGCCATAATGTTAACCATAATGTCAATTTTTGATATTGAGAACCTAACTTTATGATTAGAGGATTACAGATTCAACTTAAGGAATCTTAATAGCGGGACTCAATCCGGTACACCTACTGGCTAAAGAGAGACAGAAAAGATCCGCAAAAAATCCGGAAAAAATAATTATAGAAAAAAATAGAACGAGAAAAAGCACACAGGTTGCACGTGGCAGGAGGAATGGAATACGGCTGAAACGGGACGATGGACATGGACGTTCATTAAGAATGTAAAACGGTGGTCAACCAGGCAGTTTGGTTTCATCTGACGCAGGTGCTGGCTGGTCATGGAGGTTTCGGTCAGTACCTCCATAGGTTCAAGAAGCGGAAGGACCTATGTGCGCAGACTGCCAGACTGACATTGACGATGCGGAACACGCTGTATTCCGATACGATCGCGCGGGGAGCTTAAAGGACGTATTGGCTATTGCAGACGATTTCGAATCGGATACAATGATCAGTCAGATGCTCAAGTCCGAATGCAAAACAATACTACTTGTAATACATTTTATTAATTATAACGAATTTATGTAAACTGCACTACAGCATTATATTACGGCACTGCTGAGTTTCAGACATACAGCGTCGGCCCTCGGGGGGAGGGACAAGCGGTGCGGCCTCACCGGGCCCCACGCTTGTGCGGAACCCCGCAAATTATGCATTCCAAATATCACTTTATCAATAAATAATCATAATAATATTGTCCCAGTAGTACGCAAATTGCGACCCGTGTGGCCGAGTGGTTTTCTGAGGACACGGGATTCAACAGACGAACATCAAGATGGTACCATTTATACATAGGATGATTAGCTATAACATATAGCTAAACGCACTGTTATTAAATTGAAACACTCGGACATATTTATCAGAACCGAACATAGTATTGCAGATTCGTTGTGCCACTATGGAAACGTTAGATAATATTATATACCTACTCATTTTGTGCCTAATATAAAAATACAACTTTGATTTTATTAGTTTATGTGTAGGTACAAAATTTAGATTTCCAACAAGACTTTAAAGTTTATAAAATTTTATGAAAATAAATAAATATACATGGGGCCCAAAATTTATCCGGTCGGCACTGCAGACACATCGCAATCGGTATTATATTATCTTCAAGAGATACTGTAATAGAGAATATATATTAGAGAGAAAGAGAGTACCTATATTATAATATTATGTACATCTTTATACATCTGTATTTGCATCACTCTATTTTATCAACTTACAATTACAAATATTTATTTTAATAACAAAATATTAAAACTGCAAACATAGGTACGCTAACAATTTTATACGTATTTTAGAACTTTTCTAACAAATATCTACATAGTATGCGATGTTATTCTAATTTAAAATTTTTAAATTATATTACATAATACGTAGTGACATCTAGCGGTCAAATCGTGTACTTTATGAATATAAATGAAAATAGTTATCAATGTAAATATTAATTTGATAATATCAATAATATTATCATTCGGATTCTTATCTGTGGAAAAAGTACCCGATGCCCGTATATTCAAGTTACTACAAATATACAATAACATGATATTGTGTAATACTATTTTTTTGTTTTATTTTTCCAATGTTTCCCTAAATAGTTTAGTCGAATTTTAATTTTATTAAGTTTTATACCAAATATTTTAACATAAAACATGTCTAGATTAGTAACTCGGCAATTATTTTTAACTAGAATAAAGTATTTAAATTTATTAAAAGTGTTAAACGCCACACAAAATAGATATAAAGCGGACAAATTTGGGACTACATTTGCATTTGTTCAAGAAGGAGCTTTCATAAGAGAACTACCAGTGATTGTGCGCAATGTAGGTAGTAATGATATTTGTTGTGAAGAGGATTGTGAAAAAATAACAGATATCAACAAAGAAGACCTTATTAAACAATTCAATAATCTGAAAAATGAAACTGATCGCAAAAAAGCTGATGAAGAAATTGTAGATGTAATTCGAGGGTTTAAAAAATGTTCGTCGGTAAAATCACTATTAGATTTACTAGAAATAGTAATGCTTGATCAAATAACACCAGCAATAGCACTAAGTGCATTAAAAAAAATTGTCGAATTAGAAAACTTTAAATTTCATATAGCAATAAATAAATTGTCATCAATTTTAGATACAAAACCAAATATAGATTATACTAAAACGCCAATATTGGCAAAACTACTAGAAATAATCATTAAAGACAATAATAATTCTGCTGTGGTTGGAACATTAGAATTATTGCCTATCGATCGTGTTCGAGTATTACCGACTGATGTGTTTAAAAATAAAATATCTGAAGAAATTTTATGCAGAGTAACAGAAGGTAAACTCAATATAGATGAATTATGCCGATCAATTGATTCATTTTCTAAATTAAATGAAATTAAGATGGCAGACCAGCTTTGGATTGGAATAATGGATAAATCTAAACAAATAAATGAGACAAATGTAATTCAAGTTTTCAGAATTTTACACCTATTGAAGAAAAGTCGAAAAACCATCATGAATATGTTAGAACGTTGTTTAGAACATTTCTGGCATCATCTTCGTATTGATGATTTAATAGAAATTCTATACATAATGCGATTAACAAAGTGCAATTCTAATGTTATTTTACGTACTACGTCCCGATGGATAAATACGAATATACATACAGTAAGTGAGAACAGCCTAATTTCAATCATCAATGAATTAAACAATACTAATTATGTGGATATTGGAATTGTTAGAGCATTAGAACGTTATATAAAAGCTAAGTACAATACAATTGATAATCCTTTATTAATGGTCGAAATTATGAACTACTGTTCCAAATTCAATGTGCGTTCTGAAGATATTTTTGATGGCTGTGCAAAATACATTATTAATGTAGATTTATCAAATATACTTCCTTCACAATTTAAAAATCTATTTTGTCCATTTGGTCAGCTTAACTACAAACCTAAACCCTCATTGGAGTTTTGGAAAAAAATTGAAAATATAACAAATAAAGAGTTTTTTAATTTTAAAACACAAGAAATGGTTGATATATTATTAAGTTGTGTTTATTTAGAGAAACATCCATTAAACTTTGTTCATAGAGTATTCAATACTACTTTTTTGCACCATTTATACGAAGAAGGAGGTAAAAATGAATTTACTAAAACAAAATTAAAACTTATTGACCAATGTATGACATTGGAGTGTGATCAATATTTTGGGCCAATGTTGCCAAAAGATAAAACTACTAAAAGTATTTGGTGGGACTATAGAATACAAAGAGTTTTAAAAGATATCAATAATACTCTAGAACACATTTTTCCTGGTTACAAAATCTCCTATTCAATTATTTTAAATCAACTGCCATTGATCAGCATTTACTTAATTGATGCATTGGTATATCCAAACCAATGTGAAATAAATAATAAATATATAAATTTTAAGAAAAATCCCGGTCTATGCACTGCAATTTTGATTAATTTACCTGAACACCATTGTTGGGAAAATAAACATTTAACAGGTATTGAAGCCACACGAATAAGACATTTAAGAAAAATTGGATTAAATGTTATGTCTATTAACTACAAGAAATTAATGAAACTTAAGTACTCTGCAGAGCTGACTGAATACATTAATGATAGGTATACAAACATGTTAAATCCTTTTTAATATTAAGATTAGTTAACAATTAACATATAAATATTATTTTATACTTACCAATTAGCAATGACTTTATGTAAAATATGATTGTCTAATATGAACCTTAAAATAATATATAAATAATAATTATTATTGAAGTAAATTATTTTGAATATAATACATTTTTCTACCTTTCAATTCCATTAAAATAAGCTTCATTACAGGTTTTATCGCTGTCAGTATTTTTTCCATTCTAAAAAATAAATATAAATTGTTATTTTACTGTTAAGTATAATTAAATTCTTAATAAACCTATTTTATACGACTTATTATATAAGATACATATATGATAAATGTAGATACCTATATTTTAAGCATAACAAATATTTTGTTGAATTTTCAGCTCTCACCGGACCAAATGAATCTGATTTTTTTTAAGCTAATTGAAGTCATACAATGTTGATTGAGTTTCAATAATAATTTAATTTTGTTGTGTAAAATTAGTGTTTTATTTAATTTTGTACACTCCTTTAGACTCCAGAATAATGCCAGGGGATAAAATTTTGTACATGCATGATCATGTTTTCACAAGAAATACAGGATTTCCAATATCTCTTCAGATTTATCAAAGTAACTGGGTTATAATTTGTATATGTAAGTAAAATTGTTTTCAAGGATCTTTAGAAAATTTGAACTTTTAAGCCCCTGTCTCCACTGAAAATTTTCAAGAAATACTTTATTTATTTTAATAAAACTAATTTTGTTAAATTTCTTATCGGTACCAAAAAGTAATTGGATACTTTTTACCCCAAGAAGAAAGTTGGGGTAATAGATCATGATATAGGGCAGGGAATACACATCATCAATAGGTGTTAATGTAATAAAGAAAAGTAAAATACAATTCCACAAAATGTAATAAAACACTAAAAATCATATCTATTATAGATGAATTATAAAAAAATTAAATATTGAAATGATCAAGTCTTCTGGAAGAAAATTGTATTTTAGTGACAGAGCTTATCTAAACACTAGTGTTTTATTATTTTTTTTAAACAGATTACATTTTATTACAATCATAAAACACAACCTTGGTAAAAATGCTGAAAACTCAGCCTTAGCCTTTAATTATCAATTTCTGTTTTTGCCTTTGTTCACATATGAGATTAATTTAAATCAATTTAATATTTTTATTCGATCTCTTTGAAAGTTTAAATATAATTTGTGTAAATACAATATTAAAATCACATTTAATATTATGACTATGAGTATATTATTAATTGTTATTTCTACAGTAATGAATTTATATTAAAACAACCTTCAAATAAATATTACATAATACATACATATTTAATCTTAGAATGTAAATGTAACTATAAATCATTTCGGGGTAAATATACTCTTAATAACAACTCCTATAACATGGTATGTCGTTGATAAAGAAATTAAAAAATGTCGCAAAATAGTTGTGCCATACCTACTAACTTCTTGTAAACAGTTATTATACAAATTATTAAAATAGGAGTAAACAATATTTAATCAGCAAATTACATACTTTATATTGTTTAACACATTATATTAGTACTTTTTAGAAGGTGTCAACAATTGTTAACACATTCTACACGCTTTAAAGTAACTAATACTTTTTTTGGATACAAATATAAGTTCTTTAAATATTACAATACTAAATACATAAATCACATGACAGCCAAATTACATATTATGATTCATTTTGTAAATATATTTGTTATGCAATAAAACATAGTTAACTTTATAATATTAAATAATAATTCAAATATATTATTAATTTATTAAATATATGATTTATTTATATTTAAAAGTATACCTAAAGATTGATAGACACTCATTATTATCACAATAATTAAATTAAAATAATTTTCCTTACCAAAGTCAATATAAGTTTTGGTTGGAATTTATCTAGCGTTTCACCAAGCTAATAAAAATATAAACACAATTATTAGTTATGTTTACAACAAATTTAAATAAATAATACATTATATTACTAAAAAATATTGAGTAAAACCTTAGTTTCACTAAAATCTTGAACAATTGCTATATAACACATTAATAATAATAATAATTTTTATTAACGGAAATTAATTTCCAATTTCAAAATAATAAATTGACAATTTATATGAACAAGGTTTATTATGTAAGTTATTCAAATAAATGATCTATAAATGGTAAGATTTACCAATATTGGTAAAAAAATAAAATTCATCAATTTTTCATAATTAATCTAAAACTTTTAAGTTTTACATTATTAATATTACTATCATTGTATATGGTTAAGTATGGTTCTGTATGGTTAAGAAGACATTACAATATATCACTATTTGTTTTTGTTTTTTAAAGTTTAATAGTAAAACTATAGACATTATTTATAACAAAGTACCACTGGGAGGAAATTCAGCACATTTAAAGTTACAGTGTAAATTAATTGTAGTATTTAATTTATATGAAAAAAAAAAAAAAAGGTATAACTGCTGATGGGTGTGTCTGTTATAAGTAGGAATTTGAGAAGGTATAATATAAAATGTTATTCAATATATTTGTATGTAATTATAAACAAATATTACATTAATATTAATTTTATCAATTTTTATCTCTGATCTTAAAACATGTTTATAGAATAAAAAACTACTAGGTACATTACATTCTAAATTTTGTTTACATCCAAGTTAAATTTATAATGAACCTCATTAAATTATCAAGGATTTCTGTTGGCCAAACAATGTTATCTATATTAAACCAAATAAAAATTAAAAAGAAATTGAAATAACAAATTCCAATCTATAGCTCAAAAATCAGAATGTTCTTAAAATTGTACCATGTCTAAAACAGATTAATTGAAAATATTCTGTCACAATTTCAGATCTCCGCAATTATTTTTAAATGAATTACAACAAATAAACAAATTAGAGAATAACGAAACTATTTCTTGGGTCCTTTAACTTTCACATTTTTCCTTAATTTGTTTCCTAGTTATTAAAAAGCTATACGAAAAATCAATTAAAACCAATACCAATTGATCAAACGGCAAGCCGTAAATATTTGTTTGTTTTTCCTATAATTTTGTTTCTGGATTTTCACAATTATCAAGAAAAACCCATGGAAAATCCAAATGACCTCTCTAACGCACTAACTAGATTCAAAATGTTACAAAAATGATCATTTGTTATTTTTTAATTGGAACAAGATTTCTGGGAAACAAGTTATTTAAAGATGAAGCAAAATACAAAAATAAACATCATATTAAAAACAAACATCATTTTTTGAAAAAAGTATTGAAAAGTATTGAACATTTTGCAAAATATTTCAAATAATATTCCATCTGGCTGAAAACCAGCATCTTTTAAGGTACATTATGAAATAAATCAGAACATTTTCACTAACCAAAAAGGAAAAACCCAAAAAGCATCTTCAGCACATTGAGAATCTATAAAAATAATATAATGTAAATAATAACAATTTTTAAACCATCAGTCTTACCCCCTCTGCTCCCCGTAGTAAAATCATTTTACTGTTACCACTGTCTATATAAATAATGCTTGGTGTTCATTAATCATCATAATTCATAAATATATGTAAAGAAATTAACACAATTAGTTCACACAAATAAATTATAACATTCATCAACATTATTTAACAAATATATTTTTGTAAATTATTAAAGTAGTTATTTATTAGTATTGTAGTAGGTAGGTACTTCAATTGATTAAATAAATATGTTGATTTAATATTGCAGTTATTTGTAATCTGTTATTGCTACTAATGTGGCAAACGCTGATTAAAAATCAACTTTTCAATTGTGAAACAATTTGTTTTTAACTTAATATCAAATAATGACTATAAATTAGTAAATACAAATTATATTTTGGTACAATACTCATATATGATAAAAAGTATAATTTTCCTTATTACCACAATAAAACAGATAATATTGTAGTAGGCACTCAATTTTTAGCTAGATAAGTAGATTATTGTCAATTTAAACTCTCTAAATAAAATTATTTTAGCTAACACTATTTTAAATATTTAGGATTACTTAAATTACTTTTTTTTTCTAATTATAAATTATTAATTTTAGTTTTTGAGAAGTATGTATAATAAAACAGTTCAAAACAACTTGAATTACCTACTAAGCGGGAATTCAAATAAATTGTAAAGTCATTAAAATTAAACTAAATAAACCCTCTCCTATTATTAGAGATAAATTCATTTTCTTGTGCTTATCGCAGAATCTCAACTAGTGCCCTTAATAAGCAATAAAAAATGTAATTTTGTGCTTGACTATTTTTTTATTTACATTCACTAAAGGCGATTCCAATGTTATCTATGCAAAGAACCATTTACAATATTTTACATTTTTTAATTAAAAAAATACTCAAAGTAGTGTATATTAAATAAAACCAGCCACAGATCAAACTTGTTAAAATATTAAAACACATCATAATATGCAAAAAAAATAATCCTTAAACTTTTTTAAGTGACCAATGTCATCACTTTTTAGTCCTTGTGACTCATTGGACATATTAAAAATGTAACAAAATTGGGCACCTGTCCTAGAAAATTCTATTTTTATATATTTATCATCCTCCGTTCAAACGTCAATGTTTTTGACATGTTAATCGTAGACTATTACAATTCATGAAATAAAAATGTACTGATTCTTATTGTGGATATTAAATATTTTAAAAATAATACCTATAATAAATATGATAATATATGCAGATAGGAAAAAGTTTTATTACCATGTCTACAAACAATGCTTCTTCGACCTTATACCGACATTTGTATTCATCTAAGCTCAACGGTTTTCCCAACCAAACAATATGTGATTCTTCAGGTCTAGGGAAAAACAAATGTGTCTTACCACTGGATACATGTATTAAACCAAAACAATCAGGTTCACTGACCCCAAAAGCCCAGTGAAAGTAAGGTTCCTAAAATAAAAAGTACATTAAACAAAAATAAATAAGGAAATCTTCAATTTGTTTACATCAACTATAAAGGTCCAACATTCTATAAAAACAACTACCTATATTATTATAATATATTTATTACTTTTAATTTTATTCTTAATGGCACAAAAGTAACTTTTTTTGAGTAATTAAAATAATAATACCCGGTAATAATATTTTATAAATAATGTTTGTATTTTATTTTATTTCCTTATTAATTTAATATGATATATATTTTAATACATTTATTTCAATAATTACAAAACCATTTGTGTACACTTATTGTTCACTATGATACTGTTACCTATTACAAACTAATAATATAATATTAATAACTTGTAGTTTTTTTAATAAAATCCATATACCTAATGCATTAAAGTATATATTTCTTTAATAAGTATAATAATATGACGCAAACTTAATAATATTTAATAAGAGTATGAAATCGGGGTTAAAAAGCGGTTATATGTCAGTGTATCAGGTAATAAACATGCTCAACTATATGATAAAATAGTTTTAAAATTATTATTATTATGATTATTGAAATAAAACGATCAATAATAATATTATTATTATTAAACTCGGAAAAAGTCTATCGTCTATAATTCTATATTTTGGTAGATAGGTATAAATGGTGTAAACAAAAACATATATAAACCTTGAATTGCACACGTAGGCAACTTCTAATTTAGCGTACTATTAAATATGTTTATGTGTATGCTATATATAGTAACCATGTCATATTACCATAAACAAGACTATTTATTAAGCTATTACCTGTTGTTGTTGTAATGTTGTTTATGTGAATGTTATTAAACATATAAAATGAAAACAAATAATCTATAATAATTATGAAATACATCACACACACAAGTACCCATCTGTAATTATTAATATTTGTATAGTATTGTTATAGTCACACTAGTAGTTTTTATTATTTTCTGTATAGTAATATGCTGGTCAAAGGTTTTTTGTCGCTCTAGACAAATCTGATTTACGCTGCCCTAATTAAAAGTTAATTTTTTGGAGGGAGGGAGTTAAATAAAATATGGACATTTGTTTTTTAACAATAAATTAGTGTTTTTATTTAGAAAAAAAATTTTTTTTGACCAACCTGTTTTCTTTACAAAATATAAAAATTATAAAATTGAAATAAATGTTCTGAAAAAGAACATGTCATATTTATAATCTACGTTACACATCCATTATCATAATAGTAAATTAACATCAATAAGTTAATAATTAATACATTAAAAAAAAATTTAGGAGGTAAAATTTCACATATTATTTTTAAATAATTTTCATTATCTATTATTTCGTCGAATATATATTATTATAATATGGAGAGAACTTTACATTGTTGATAATATTATCTATAGGTAATTTACTACAGACATTTAATTTCATTCTATGTAGTTTTACTGATATACTATGTGGTTTTGGAACTTGTATTTTTAAAATGACATTATTTCTTATCCCCAGACTCAATTCGAAATTTTAATATTTCTTGAAAATTTGTATCATTTAGTTTGAAAGAGTAACCAAAACCATTATTCTCAATAAAGACTTGCTATCTAAATTTTTATATTTTTATATAAATAATTATAACAGTAAGATATTTTATGAAACTTGTTAATAATTATTTCTCCTCAAAATTAATTTTTTTTTTTGATTTATATATTTATATACAATCAGTTATGAAAAAGACGTCCTAGGATAATGGGTTAGGGTGCAGCCACTGTTATAAGTAATTTAATGTGTACTTGTAAGCAACGATAAACTATTGCTAACGAAAACACAATTCTGAATGCAGTTCAATTGATAGTGATGCTTCGCCAACAATACATATGTCATATTATGGTAAAATAATTAAAAATGCATTATATATTTTCTTTAATAATATTTGTTTAATGAACCGATTTTACCACATTTTTCAGTGTTTTCCCATATTTGTTCTTGGATTTACACATTTTCTGGGAAAACTTTTGGGAAAATTGAAAAATTACCTCCCTAAAGTACCACCCCAAGAAAATTTCCTTTTGGAAAAGTGTCTACATTGTATACATCGGAGTAAACTTTCCGGTATAAAGTGTTCATATAAAAAAAAAATAAATATATTTGTACACCCAGAATTTAAAATATAATATATGAAATTTATTTTGCGAGGCTTTACTTGTGTAAAATCAGTTAATACATTTTTAAACTCAAGATTTTTCATCACTTTTTTTAAATAGAAATTTTCACAAGACCTCAAATAGTTGTTAATTTATTTTTTAATTTGGAAAAGCTTCATTAATCTGATGCAACCAATGTAGTTATTTTTAAAATAATTTGGAGCGCTTTAGCTACGTTCAGAACAAAATTGTTATTATTTACAATGAACTGAATTACCGTTTCTAATGGGAAATTAGTATCATATTAATGGATATTTTTTTTTGTATTTGTTGAAAAATGAACATACATTTCTGTATACTAGATAATGTAATAATTAAATCAATTTGGTTTATTCGAAAATTTGCCACCCTAGACGACTGCCTATTTTGTTACCGCATTGGGACAGCCATGGTAATATATATAATAATGTTGAAATTAATCAATTTTCTATAGAATAAATACAATGGTTGCTTATTAAAAAAGTAGATAGGTACTCTAGAAACTTTAAATTGTTTTTATGTAAAATTAATGCCTAATATATTATGTACACTTAGGTATTTAAATAAGTAATTTATAGTAATAAAAAAACATATTGGAGATGGAGAAATGGTAATAAGCTGTAAAGGGTGAGAATAAAAGTAGCCAGGTTCACATGTATGGAATAAAGGTAAAGATAAAAAAGAAAAAGTTTAGAAATAACAAGTCAATTTGGAATAGGTACCGGTATTATGCAGATTACAATACTTGTATAGAATTGTAATATTATGTCAACACCAAAAATGTATTTAAAATAAAAATTATATCATTCAATTTTTAAGACATTAGAAAAAAAATATATAGATTTTCTAATGTATTGGTTTTACAATGTTTTTTTTTTATCTGTGAACAACTTTTCTATAAGTAATTTTGCTTAGATTTATAATGATAACACTTTTTCTGAAAGGAAATCTGACTGGAGTGGTACTTTAGGGAGGTTATTATTGTTTTTCCCGAGAATTTTCACAATAAGTGGGAAAAACCAGGAAAAAAAGTACAATATTAAACAAATATTAATATAGAAAATATATAATGCATATTATGAAAATTATTTTACCAAATTATGACATATATTTTGTTAACAAAGCAAGACTATCAATTAAACTCTGCTCAGAATCTTTTTTTCTCATTAGCAATGGTTAACCGTTGGGCACAGATAACCATTAAATTTTCCCTCTACTACCTTCCCTACTTCTCACCTATAATAGTGCCTGCACCTGTCCACGAAGTATGTCTGCCTTTTTTTATGAACAAAATAATTATTTTTATTAGTTATTTAAGTTATTTTACTTTATTTTATCACCCAACATTAAAAAAGGAAGTAGGTAATAAATGTGATTTGCCTCCCCCCTAGACATATTTGATGTTAATTTGCATCTAAACAATATCTAAACATATAAACTACAATTAGCATAATTACTTAAAATTTGAATATGGCATTTTTTAATTTCTTTTTTAAAATGTACAAACTGGTCCAGCATAAGTGATACTTAATTTAGCCAAAGTAAATTTCAAATTGAACCATAGTATTATATTCTTATAATCAGTAAAATTAATTTTAATTAATCTTGAAATGTGTTATCATGTGACTTTATGGAAAACATGTTAGTTTTTAAACTCACTTATTCGGAAAAATTAATTTTACTTAACAAAGTGTCAGTTCAACACAGATGAATCTCTACTATAAAATTCATTGATAGAGCTTTCAAGAGAGATTATTATTGAAACAGCATCATTAATGACAAAATATTTCAATATAATATTACAAGTCAAAATTGATGAAGTTATGAAGTAATTTTTTAAGAGTACATGCACCACACTTTTCTTTAAGTACCTATATCATAAATCTATAAAAATATTGTCAACATTTTTATAAACATATGTGTGTTGTCTTAAGGCACTTTAAAGAAAATCATGTAAAAATGGTGGGCTTCTGCTCTATACTCAAAATAAGTATAATGAAAAAAATGTACGTGCAGTGACTTTTTATGAAACTAGATGATCAAAATAAGTCACTTTAATACTTAATCAGATACACATACATTACAAATTGACATTTTTAGCATAATGCCATGGGAACATTTAAATTTGTATACATTACAGATATTGTATGTTCTAGCTTGTTTATATTTTCAAGTTCAAAATATCAAATTTATTCCAAATTTGTATGTACATTAAATGACTTACAAAAAATATTCAATAATTTCAATAACTATTTATAATTTTCTGTATTAAAAATATTTATCATCAAACAAATATTATGACCAACTTTGAATAAATTTAGTAAATAAAAAATGCAATGTTTACAATATTAAAAAGTATTATAAACAATGATGATAAGTAGATAAATTTTTATTTAAATAATCCTCTTAATAATGTATAAGAAAAAAAAAGCACCCACTTAATGATTAAAAGTTATCATGAAGAAGCATGTATAAGGAGATATAGATTATTACCTAAGGCACTGTTCTCAGAAGCACCAAAGTAAAACTTAGAAGCTCACTATATTTATGTATCCTTTTTTGTGTAATTTCTATATGTAATACATAATCTATAAATTAATTTTTTTTTTCAATTTAATAACTTTTAAAAGGGGCGTCTGTTGAAACACAAGCCTAAAAAGTAATTTTACCTCACGCCAACCTTGAAAGAGTTCTTTAAAAAAAGGATAAATATTATAATTATATATTAATATAAATTGTACAGTATAAGAATAATAAGCTTTAAAATACATAAGACCAACTAAATGAATTTACCTGTCTGAATACATAGTCAACGTCGGTGCAATAATGGGATAAATTTGATCCTCCTTGTAACAAAACGTAAGCATCTTCAACTAAAACTTCAGATAGATTTTTACAAAGTCGTTCACGATTAAGTCTATATAGTTCTGTAGGCACTAAAAGTGTATGTTCTCCCAAGCTAAATTTGCCTTCATTACTAAAATTTTAATAAGTTTCAAATGGTTTACTAATAGGTACCTATTATTTAGTTTATCAATTAAAAATGTTAATATTAAAATTTTTTTACCTTATACACGTCATTTTAAAATTATTTCCCGTTATTCGAAAAACAAGCACAATAAATGTAACTTAAAGATTTCTGTGAAATTAACAACCTATATAATTTTAGTAAGTACTATACTATACTACTACTCATACTCTCATAGTAAACTGTTTACTAAATGATATCAGTAATTATTAACAAAAAAAAATGATAATTGGACAATTATTGGTTAATACTTTCGAGTTTTCTATAATGTCAAATTGAATATTTACACAATTTTATTATACAATATGATAACAACCCCATACAAATAACGAAATACGATAAACATAGAGTACTCTATATGATAAACTGATACCACAGAAATTGGTGGCTAATACCGCAGAATGAATTTATACAACAAATCAAGTTTACGACCCAATCTCATTTTTTCAAAATATGTTTTTGCCTGTAAATTAAGAATCAAAAAAAAAGGCCAACGAACTTTGTTTAAAAGACAGGGGAAAACTTCATGAAGTTTGGGTTTTCCGTTTCACATATTTCTTAGTGAGAATTAAACATTCTTTTTTTCCAAAATGTGTGATTTTTAATGCCTAATCCATTAGTATAAACAAAACTTACCTATCATACTTACTTTTATAGTTATTGTACATAAACCTTGAAACATAGAATTTGGATGCACCTAGAAACCTGGTGGGATCTCTATAACTACAACCAGTCATAGGAATTAAAATTGCATATTAGAATTATTTAAGTACCCATTGAACTATATTGGGATTAATAAATCAGTGTTTTACAAATAATTTTTTAATGGTTTTTGCGGTTTACATAAATCAACCTCGCAATTCACAATAAATTATCAAAATATAGCAGCAAAAAAAATGAAAATTAAATAATTATGTGAATACATAATATTAGTTATTATTTTATTGAACTTTGAACTTAAACTATTATTTAATCATAAGAAGTACAAAGAGTTATTATACAAATAGATAAAATATACATTTAAATACTTTAATTATCTTCAAATAGCATTGAATGATAACATTATTTTAAATTCCACACCTATTGACGTCATTTATTGTTATTTTTTTTTATCATTCAATTAAATCAGTTCAAATGCATAATATTACGTATGTATAACATTACTTTTTACGTACAGAGGTATCTGTTTTGGCATTGTAATAAATAATTCTAATAGACAACAATTAATGAGATATTAGTACTCTGTATAGTAATTAATAGCATGAAATTAATTTATGTAGTTACTGTTAGATTTTATTTTTAAGTAAGAATTTTAAATTCAGTAAAAAGATTTTTAGATTTTACAAGTACTATTTTTTAGAGAATTTTAAGAGAAATATATATTAATTATGAAAAATAAAAACAATATAATTTGTCAATAAATCTTCCCTTATATTGTTAAATCTAAAAATACAGTTAAATCAAAAAAAACAGTCTCCATTCATATCTAAATTTATACAAAAAGTACCTATTTTAAATCACCGTTTAATTATTTTATTATATTATACAAAGTTTTATACACAATTATTATAAAAACTATTTATCTATACATTTATTATAATATATACATATAGATTAATGACCATAATTAATAATAGTACATAATATAAATGAACAAGAGGAGGTGAGTTTGGCATTTGTTAAGTTTAATAAATATATACATACCTAAAAATTATTATAGATTATTGATATAAAATAAAATTACATTAATAAAATGATATTAGGTATATCATTTTTATATAGACAAACCTACTAATAAAAATTGTACACATAAAGAAAAAGCAATTTTGTTTATTGTAATTTTTTTTTTTTTTTTTATGATATTGGTCCATTCTTTTTAGTTATGCGTACACATGTATATTTAGAATATATAAACTTAATAAACTTAATAACAATATCAGGTTTGAGAGAAATTTTATCAAATTACAATAATGATGAAGAAACCATTTAGACATGCAAATTGCCTAAGTGAAAATTTAAAACTAATTGCTAAGTGCTGACTAAATAAAACAAGCAATTTGGATTACATTTGTAATATGAAATTGTTAAACAAAAACAAACAATTATGTAAAATATATATAAATAGTACCTTAATGAACTTATATTTTCTTATAATTATTCAACTACCTACCCAATATAAACTTACATAAAAATAAAGTCATATTAAATTATATTTACATGTTTTAACACAATTTAGTATAAGGTAACTTTAAAATACTATGGCTAACTAGACATAACTATTTGTTTTGAGAAAGACATTGGGCAAATTTAAATTCTATGTACATAAAAAAATAATAACAAAAATCTTTGATACCATGTTTAAAATAATAATCATTTATCAGAATAAGTATGTAAAAAATGTTATCTAGTACTTGTCTAGAAGAAAATAATTACATTTTATTGTGAATATTTTAAATATAACACAAACATTGTTTTCTAGTTTTAAATAAATTGTTGTATTTTTTGATTACCAAAAATATGAAAGTACTTATTCATTTTTCAATTATTAAAATTAAATATTTTATTATAAAAAATATACATTTGATTAGTTATTGTATAATATTTATCGTCAATTTCTACAACCTAGATTATACATATTTCTTCAAGGGTCAATATAATTATTCTTTTAATGTGCTTTAAATCAAATTGGGGAATTGTAAGTTTGTACAGAAACCTAGGTACTATATTGATTATCAGTTACCCAAGTTGTTTTAAAAGGAAAACAACAAATGTGAAATATGACTTTAAATTTCTGTCTGTTATTAAATACTTTTTTATGAGATGATAAATACTGAATAACTTATGTAAAGCATAATAATTTTACAAAAAGGAACCAACCAAATATATTGACACAACATTATAACAATAAATGTTTCAACATAGTCGAAACTTAGGGCTTCTGGAAGACTCTTCATCGGACTCATAATAATAACTTTGTTTAGGGGATAAACCAATCTGTAATCTACGTACAGCTTCTTTGATGAGACTGCCTTCTCGCAATAATACCTGTAGCATTTCATACGGATCATCATTAGCCTGAGAGTCTTCATCATCACATCGACACAGTCGTCTATCGGAGGAACACGATTCACAAGCGGTTGGCTTGGCGTAAGGCTTTGCACGAACAAAGTGGGTACGATGACGTCTTGATTTGAACCCCGATAATCGAAGATTCTCTTTGATCTCGGACACCAAATGCTCGACATCCAATGACAACAACTTAGATTCTTCAGCGGTGGCAGATGTAGTCATCATTTCTCTACTGGGCATTGTATCACACATATTGTTCAGAAGCGTTTGTCGACGGCACGGAAAATTAATGTTGATGATGTATGCACACCTATCAATGATATTAAATTGTTAGTAACTAGGCATACATTATGCGCGATAACTACAGATCAATCTAAACAACAATATTATTGTTTTAATTTATAACGTACAGATGGGAAGGAACTAGTCAAATTGTTTTTTAAATGTTGAACGACGATATTGCGAGGAAAAAACAAGGGCGTTATTTTATAAATATAAAAAGTTTTAGTGGACCGAGCAAATTGAATAACACCATAGACGAGAATACTACCGGTACCGGTGAGTGTTATGTGTACGTTTTTGACTCTCGAAACGGATCGTCGCCGACCGGGCGGCAGAGTAGGGGTAACCGTACACACGCACAAATCGGGCGACTCCGGTTGTTATTGTTTTGGTGCCAAACACGCAGACAAAACAGTGTCGTACGTGTGTTTTTGTTTGTGTGTGTGTGTGTGTGTGTGTGTGTCTATGTATGTGCGTTCGTGTAAACGTCACACGAATTTTCCAGTCGCGCGAATTATAATATTTTACCTGTGCGACGGCCGCTTCAAGTCACGGCAACTACACGGTGTCGAAATATTATTATCAGATAACGATTGAGTGCAATAAAAGTGGTGGTGCTCTCGGTGAAGGTTTTATTTGTTGTTATTGTTGTTTTATTTTCGTTCTTTTTATGACGAGCGATAAAATACTGTAACGTTTCGTATTTACAACGGACGGACGCAAACAAAATAATTGGTAAAAATAACCGACAACAAACGTTATAAAGTCAACGTTAAGTCGTACAATATCGACGACTTTAATAATACAATGATAATAATATTCACACCGCGTCACGACACGCACAGGTCTTCGGCGCTATGGTGCGGGTAAAACGACGACAGCGGCGGTTAGTGGCTGCACAGTGTGTACACGTATGGGGCCAAGGTTATTTCATCAGCCGAACGACACCGCCACCAACAGCAGCGGCGGCCACAGTAGTGGTGGGAGAAACGTAAACACAACAGTGGCTGCCGCCGGCGAACGGTAATATTTGATGTACGTGTGTGTGTGTGTGTGTTCCTCTATAGTGTGTATGCGAGACGTGATGTTGTTGTTTATAAACACCGCGCACGGGGCGGCAACATTGGCGACGCGGCGGTCGTCGCGCTGTGCCACGTTGCCGGTTTTATCGTTGCAGCCGTCGGTTATTCCACTTAGGCCGCGTCTACACTGAGCGTTTTGGTGTAAATTTTGTTGTCCCATTGTACCGTGCGTCATGACAATATGTCATAGTAATGCAGAAGCCAGACAGAGTTCAATGGCGAGGGGATGGTTTGGGGTTTCCACCAGATGAATATAATTTCTATAATTTCTATAATATTGCAAATGAACTTTTTTTCATGTTCAACTGACAGCAAAAAGAGATCTGTTTTCACAATATTTCTTCAGTGCAAAATCACATATTAGTAAGCTTGGTATTGTTTAGATGGATTTGACCGTCTGAATTATAGTTAAGTCGCATGCACATTTTTGGCTGTATATTCGATACGCATCAACTTTTTAACGGTGAACAGCATTTAGTACACGTCATACGTTAGTCGTAAACCTATCTTGCTTTCACCTGTACTTTACTGCAAGATTGGCTGTTTTAAACATGGTTTATAAATACGATTGTTTGTGAATAGTTTAAAAAAAGAATACAAAAATATTGTTTAAATTATACCTTATAATTTATACACATACCTATTTAAAAATTGAATTATTTAACTTATGACTTTAGTTATAGGTACTTTCAAGTGTTCAATAGTTGTACTTGTGTGCATATATTAACAAAGAATTGTTTTAGAACCTAGAAATACCTGAAAATATACATAGCTTAATTCATTCCAGCTAGTACTATCAAAGTATATTAGACTTGTTATCACTGTTAAATTCAACATACTTAGAGCAGTAAACGTATACTGTAGCATTTTGTTTAATCTTAGCATGTGACTAGCTAAGCGAATAAAAAGTGAAAGAAAAATAATTAATCAAAAATTAACAGCAAATCTGATCTATTTACACATTTTGACGTCAAGTCGAAACGGCAAAACTGTTATAAAAATATTATGTTCTTCGGTTAAAAAATGGGTGAGAGTTTTTACATTTTGATGTTTACCTAAACGATAATCTCCACTAATCTATAAATGCCTAATACATATTAAAAGGAAAGGTCCAAAACTGTATTTAAACTGTTTTCTTTTTTTTTTTTTTTTTTATTATATATCAAACGGACTTTGGTAATATAATAGAAATATAAATAAATAGAATATAATACCTATCTTATATCATATAAAGAAATTTAAATTTTGAAAACACGTTCATTACTAGGATACTAGGATACTAGGAATTTTGTTTTAAATTAGAATTATCTTTATCATAAGTAAAAACTAAAATAATTTAAGTATACATTTTCGAAAATTTATCAAAAATACAATCAATTTTTTTTTACGATTTCAGTAAAATAATATTTATTTTCTATTTCTACGTACGTACCTATCCTTGTAAAGAACCTATTATAGAATCGTAATCCGTTTTCAAAATTTAAATTCGTCAAACATACATCCTACAGTTTTGTATGGCTCAAAGGTTATAATACGATTAAAATACAAACTCCGTCACCGATCCTCAACAAAAACGCATCCGGGTGCTGTCGAATATTTTCTACTCAGTCTGACATTGCGGTGAAAACGCTTGTGTGCGGCCTCAGCCTTACGGATGGATCGAGAAACGCGGGCGGAGTCGACCGTCTTTATTGTCGTCATCGTTATAATTATATTGTTATCGCTACCATTGTTGTAATTATTGTTATTATTATTATTATTATTTACGATTATATTATTATTGTGTATGCGAACGTCGAAAACAATAATACTAGAATATAATACACTCGGAAACCATTAATACATAACTTAACGATAACGACTAATATATGAACGGCCCACAAAACACACATATTAAATTATTATTACTGTTATTATAAATTATAAACATAAATATATAAAATGTTTCATATAAATGCGTTGCAAGTACATAATCATGTACACATAGTATGTAAGTACATAATAATTTATGTGTATATTTGAGGGAATTAGTGATGGTTTCCCAAATCATAATCCATTTTTAAAATTAAAATCGCTCAATTCCCACAGTATTGTTCTGTCGTTTAGGTCTAAAACGATCAAAATATACATCGTCACCAATATATTTAACAGTTGGTATTTTTACAGTTAAAAAAAAAAAAATAGTCTATTGTGTCACGTGTGTAAATAATAAATATAAATAATATTATTCCATGTTCGGTTATCAGCACGCAGTTCAACACAAAATGGTAGATAATAATATTAAATACCGTATATAATAGTACTATACTTATTAATACTATAATGAATTAGGAATATAAATAATTATATCACTATCATAATTTGGTAATAACTCTACAAGCATGATTTTTTTGCTGAGTGACACATGTATACAATATACTTATTATACACAATGTCAGTGATCAACGTAACAAATGACTCATTGATAGAAATTGTGGGAGGGTTTGAGGGGTTCAAAACGATAAACAGATAAATAAGCCTCCCTCAAAATAGTGATTACTAATTTGAGGAGGGCGCTGTTTATACGTTTTGAAAGAACTTAGGTTCATCTGCTCTTAATCCCCCCCCCCATAACGAAAAACGATTCTAACCTATGTTTAAAAATAACATTGTTTAAAATGCCATGATATTTACGATTTACGTTAAAAATTGAAATTAAAACGCTTATAAAAAATACTTCTACATTACCTTTAATATTTTTTGTATCTATAGCTTTCTACGTACAACTTACGTTAAACCAAATAATATCTGAAAAACAAGAAAATTTAAAATTCTTATTAATAACTGGAAAATCGTCAAAATGTTTTCGCACGCCTAGAAATTACTAATATACTCGTATGTATTTTGTGAATTACAACAAAAATACCAATTTTGAAATTAATGAAACTGTTAATCTAGTAAATTTATGACTATAACCTTACATTCTCCAGTTTTTCCCAATAATTAGTAAACACATAATATGTAGAAGGAAAATCAAAAACTGACTTTTTAAAACACAAACTTGTTACAATTTGCCATCAGAAAATAATAAATATACACTTGAAAATCGGAGCAAGATTTCTGGTAGGAGTGTTGTTTACCATCAGACAGAAAAAAAAAATATTTTTTATTTATCTTATTAAGCAGCTCGTTAGTTTTTTTTATTAAACTAAAGTCGTGGCTCTCCTGAACTTCAAATGTATTTATATATACCTATATTAAGGATATTTTAATATAACAACTTTAAAATAACTTTTGGTTTCTCTTATTTTGTGTACATGTAATACAATATCATATGTTTATTAATATAAATGTTGAAGGTAAAAAAATCATAGAGGGCGGATATAACCCACTTCCTTCTATCGTCCTTGCTTATACGTCACATACTCATATAGCTACATTAACTAGTATTGGCGTATTGGCATAATTGGAGAAACACGCAATACAAAATGCCAAGTAAAAATAAATGTGTAAGTGTAAATAACTAATAATAGTAAAGTCATGTATAAAAAATATAATATATTTAATAACTAGTTATAAATAATTAAAAATAGAAAAAAGAGCTGATACTTTGGATGGGTGTGTTACTGTTATAGGCGGGAAATTGGGAAGGTAGAATACAAAGAGCTATTTAATTTATACTTATCTGTAAGCAACGATAAACCATTATTACATAATGCAACGTTACGGCATGTCATGTAACATGTTATACATGTTTTGAAAAGCCGTAATATTTACAATTTTCGTCAAAATTTAATATTTTTATATTAAATTTTTATAAAAAAAAAAAAAAAAAACACTGAATTAAACTCAATTTTTTTTTTGGTCTATAAAATACAACTTATAATGAACTTTCTATTACATTTTCAAGCATTTCTGTTTAGTCTAACAATTTTATCCACCTACCAAATAAAAATAACGTAAAAAACTCGCCAAAAAAAAATATCTATCAATAGCTAAAAAATGGCTTAAATATTTTGAAAGTTTTACCATTTCTAGAAAAAGCAAATTTTGTCTAAAGTTTCTGTTAATTTTAAAAACTGAAAGATAACAAAAAAATTAATTTGAAAAAAATAAAACCATTATTTTCGTAAATTGTCCCGTTCTTTCTACCTTTTTTTTGGCTTTGTTCAATTATTAAAAAAACTACAAGGAAAATTAATAATTGACTTTCTTATTCACTAACAAAATTGAAAATTGAACAAAAAAGGTCTCGAGTTATTTTTCTATTGAAGCAAAATTTCTGGTGGAAAACTAAATTGTACAAATTTAAAATAATGCCGTAAATTTGACAGTTTCCATTTTACATCTTTTTCTAGTTTTCCAAATTATTATAAAAACTACTTAGAAAATCAAAAAACGAATTCTTAATCTTCAACAAGATTAAAAATGAAATAAAAAAGGTCTATAGTTTTTACTTTTCAAAAGTTGCAGAGAAATAAAACAAAAATATATAGTAAAACCAATAAAAGATCCGAGCTACACTAAGAATCTAAAATTGTATATTATTGATTCTACTACATTATGATATGTTTTCCTTTTTTTTGATTTTTTCAGGATTTTTCCCAGCAAACGTGAATACTGAGAAAAAACATAAGAAAAACGGAAAAATCAGTGCGATATTAAACATGCATTATTAAAGAAAATATCTAATGCCTATGTAATTAATAAAAATCTTCATAGATTGATACATAGGTATCAAGAAAAATGTTGGCCCTACCTAAAAAATATTTGTTTTAGCTTATCTCACCTGGTGTAAAACTTCTGGTACCGCTACTTATTGAGCTATATCGGAAATAAACGTAGAAAGAATGAGAAAGTTTATGGAAAAAATGATTTCATTACTTTCAATTTTGTTTATTTGTTATAATTAAATTAAAAATCTTTGTAGGGATCTATAAACGAATATTGGACTTTTCTAGACGTTTAAATAATTTAATACGTTCTTACGCTTTTTAAATTATTTGTAGGCATTTCACATTTTCTAACTTCGATTTTCTATGTAAATATAAAATGTACAATATATTTAATTAAGATAACGTACTGTATGTAGTAATTGCAATGCAGTTTAAAAATTAGATAGATAAACGTGAATTTTAACGTTTATTTTTAAGAATATTAAAGAATTTAAAATCCACAAGTCTATTAGAGGAGAAGAGCTGTCGATCGTCGATCGAGCTGACAAGGTTTATCGTTTATTATCAGTATAATTATATTTGTTCAGTGATATTACAAATGGATTGTTTGCATTAAACGTGTGATAATATTAGGAATTTTTAAATTTAAAGTTTCTTGATTTAAGGGATTCTAAGCCTAATTTCCTTGAAACATTTTCGATCCATTGGTCTTTCATATTTAATTTAAAAGCTATATAACGTATAATTCGTTTTATTTATTTATCCAGTTGATTACCAAATCGACTGTAATAGAGTTCCAAATTATCGATCAAACTTTAATATTGAGCGTAGTAAATAATCACAACCTTTACTTCGAGTGTAGCAGTTGCTACACATCATATTTTGGGTAGATGGGTGTTCCCAGTAATTGGAATTTGGGATAGTTGGGTGTAATGGGTATAAACATTCAAAAGTTATACTTTTTAGTTTCTAGATAGTAAAATGTAGATGTACAAAAGTTTTTGAGGTTGGTGATAGTTTAGAATTTAAAATTCTACTAAAACAAAAAAATATAATTTGGGCACCACTGTAGTTAGGTATTAGCTTTAAAATCGCTGCACACCCTATTTATCTTTCCTACAAAATTGTAGACACTTCCCGTTAAACGTTAAATTTTAGATTTACAAAACAGCACTTTGAACTTTAGAAACACGTTGAATATTTCATTGACGACATAATCCGAAACGTTCTATCAATTACTCAATGCAGAGACACTATTATTATTTATGAATATGCAAAAATCGTATTAGTCTCACGAGGAAAACTGAAAAATGAATAGGCATTAATTGCAGCTATTGCCTGCAGTTAATGAGTGACATGTGTTAAAAAACTCACAAGTTTGTACGGAAAGGTGTGGATTTACACTATTCCAGGTCCAATTGTTATCTAAAGGATAGTCAGTACAAATGTTTATGCTTTAATCATGGAGTTCAAAACATTATCTGTGTTCCTACGTCAGTTTTTTTTTATTGACATTTTAATTTTTAAGCGATTAACGAACAGGTAAGTGGAATATCACAATTTTAAAATCTTATATTTCTCTTAAAAATTAAAATAAAAACCACCTTAGGAGTACAGATGTTTTTAAATTTAAATTGGGTATTATAAATCAATTCCCTTTAATACTAAAACTATAATGGCACCAAATGTGTCCTACTTAACTCAAATTTGCTATCATGCATTTATAAGATGGGGACAGTAAATAAGGGTGTGGCGTCTCATAATTAATAATATCTTTAATATAATATTTTTTTTTATTTTAAAATTACATATTATTAAAATTGTTCGTTGAATACATGTATAAAATATATTATACACAATATAACTAATTACGTAGGTATAGTTATCTTTTATAAGTACTTTTGTATCTGTGGTAAGTACCTATTTACTTGGCAGTTTATTTTATTTCATAAACCAAACCAATAAATTGGTAACTTCATCAATTTTAATGTAAATAAAGGGTGAAAATGATATAAATACCTACATAAATAATATTAATTATTGATTAACAAATTATATTGCTTAATATTTATAATAACTATATATAGGTTATAAATATGTTATGATGTTATAGTGTTATACCTACTATACATAATGTAGTACAAGTGACACGCGCTGTGTTCAAACCTTCAAGGTGATAAGTATAAGTATATACTGATATAGTATAAATGCGTAGTGACATAAAGTGCTTGATTTTTAAAAGAAAAAGAAAATAGTAAAAGGTTTCCCGATGACATAATAATATGTGAACAAAATTTGTGTCTACAATTTCAAAATTTGATAGTACCACGTATTCCCAGAATCTGGGATAATCCAAAATAGGCCAGCACTGGCACTTTGCTGAGTAACCCAAAACTAGTATTAAAACACACGTACGAATTTGCTACTGAATTTTCAAAATTCCCTACTACCCCATTTTCTCAATATCGGGTAAGTAAATTACGGATACATAATATTTTCGGACAAAATGCTGCTGTAGCTGGTAGAAACAGCATGTTTGTTTTTGGTCTGTAGAAATAACCAGCCAGTAGCAAATTCTGAAAATGCAGTAGCAAATCATTATTCCTATTTTTAATGTTGTAGCATAATTTCACGGAAATAATACCTAATATAACTACATACGAAATGCGCGCCGCCAGTATATTGGTATTTCAGTGGAGATCGCGGAGGGCTTTTTTCACACATACCGGCTCTCCCCAGTTCACTGGAATTCTGGATGGAATAATTGTATATAAGTTAATCAAGAGAGAGAACAACTTTTATTTTACAAAAAAAAATACAAAGCGGACTGCCTGACAATCAGATTGCCTAAAATGACACTGTATACTTATCAAACATTTTGTTATTGATATTTAAGTTAGGGATCCCATACGTCCTGTATTTGAGACAAGCGTCTCGGTGTCCCGACCAAATGTTCTAAACAAAACTTTTGTCCAGAATTTCGAATCTTCCATTCTATGTGTCCCTTAATTTTCCTTATTTCTTAAATTATATAATTCAAATTAGCGTGTTATCATGAGAATGGGTAGTAAATATCACTGTAGAAGTGTAGACAAATTACAATTTAGATTCTGAGTGGAGTGAAGAAGTTTATAGTTTTACAAAGATGTTTATTTTTTTTTTTTTTACCTGTGATAAACTTTATACCAGAAGACTTTACTCAGATTTTTAAGTATAGCACCTTTTTTGAAATCAAATCAGTGGGGCGAGATACTTTAGGAAGGTCATTAATGAATAATGATTCGATTTCATCAACAGTTTTCTTATCAAATACGAAATACTTAAAAAAAAAAACCGGAATATATACTAAAATATTACGATTCTTTTTTCCACAAATTTTCTACCAGCGATTTCTCTCCAACTTTTAATAATAGGTAACATGGTTTCTAAATGGAAATTTCACTAGGGAGATACTTTAGAGAGGTGATTTTTCGATTTTCCCAGTTTTCTCATCAAATTTGAAAAATCGAAAAAAACAGAGAAAAACGGGAAAAATGTAGGAAAACTGGGAAAATCGGTTCATCATTAAACCAATATTATTATAGAAAATATATAAAGCCTATATAATTATTTTACAATATGACATATATATTGCTATCAAAGCATCACTATCAACTGAACTTCGCTTTTTGTAAGCAATGATTTATCGTTGCTTACAGGTATGCATTAAATTACCTATAACAGTGGATGCACCCGTTATACCAGGACGTTTTTTTTAAACTGTGTTGACCAATTAATATGTCAGTTTGATTTCAACATTATTTTTCTTAAACTTTTGATTTTGAATAGATAATTTTTGAATTACGAACTAGTTTTGAGGGCTACGTCCTTACTATCACCTCCTCCCACCAAATAGTTTGTTGCAATATATGTTAATTTTAAGTGAGATATAAATTGTCCCGTATTTATAACACATACACCTGGGATCCCTAATTTAAGTTATTTAAGATTAGTAGTATAAAAAAATTATGTATTTAAATCTTTAAATTAAGTTATAGAATATAGCTTATTGAAATTACATACAGAGTATAATATGATAGTGATTTAATAACAATTCTACATCACACAGAGTTTAAATGTTTATTATATTTAATGTGTCTTTTATTATTTCTAAAGAAATTTTCTTAAGTCTACTTTACTAAACATTTTAGTTTTGAAGAAGTCCCATATCAGTTTGGAAGCTGTGCCCCTGACACCATATCACAGCGCTTTTACATTCTATTTTTCTATGCTATATTGATGTTGTAGATATGGAATTGTGGATAGATATATGTTTCTTTTCTCCTCGATTATTTCTTCGGCCTGATTAGTCTTATTCGTCTCCCATTTGATCGTTAGATCGCGTATTAGACCTTTACCTTTTAGGCAGTCTAACACTATTATGTCTGCCAACCTATTTTGATTTCCTAATATCATTTCCGAAATACAGTGGACTATTTTGTAGACTTCTAAATAGCATCTTATAAGTTTATCTGCGAACATGATTCTTATTTTATGGCGTGCAGAGTTGCGTAGCAGTTCAGACCTTGCACACGATCCACAAATGTGAGGGAGTGTCTCCATTATGTTATTCTCACCACAGAGCGGATTTCTGCAGTGGTAGTTCCCTTAACTTCGTCCACCTGTTGTCCTTTTGGCCATTGAATTCATTGATATTTTTAATGAATATGCCCATTTTCTGCAAGTTAAACTTATTTTATTTGAAACCCAACCATTAGTTAGCATACAATGTTCGTACGATGTCACCCCAATATCCCGTTGAGGTAGTGTCTTCCAGTGGTTGAATTTTGCTTTTCTCAGCTCCGAACGTATGACACGCACATTTGTATTTAAAACACCACCTAGTCTCTTTTGGCATTCACTTGGTTTTTTCTCTAGGTCTCTTACCACCTTTAAATGGGCGTCGTTAATACGACTGAGCATTTGACAGATGTTAAAGTGTTACAGTGAAGCCTCCCAAAGTAAAAAATAATTTTGTTTTAACTTCACTAAAAAAATGTACAAATCGGTATCTCTTTGGAACTAGTTTGAATGATGCAGTAGTTACCTAGAGTATAATAATAATATACATCTGAATAGTACCAATTCGTAGGAGTCCGTAAAAATAATAATATGGGTACCTATTAATAATTAAAATGTAATATTTGTTTCGTTTGATAACCAATGGTTATAATATTAATTCCTATACGCATATAGCTGTTTTGTTTTATATAAGATTCTATATGTAGATAATATTATGATTTATGATCAACACAGAGAAAAAATTCAATTTGAACCGTTTTCTGGCGATCCCTTTGAAATTTGGATACGATAAACCAAACGATGATCATTTAATATGATGTAAAGTGAATATACTTAAACGAACAGTTAGATAATATTTTATTGTCAAAAATGTGTTCATAAAACCGGTCATATTAATTATTAATAATATGCTATCTATATCTAAATTGTATTATCACAAGCTTTATTTAAATGGTAAAATAGGTAACATCATTGATTATAGAATAAATTGTGATGATTATATTTAACAAACATAATACATTAAATTACTCGTGAAGTCGTGAAGTAATATGAATCATTTTTTCCAAACATGATAATTTGTAATCGATTTTTAACCCACTTCTAATGGTTCGATCAACTGAACATTTTGAATGCACTCATATTTCGATAACGTATTTAATATTTTGTTTGTAGGCTTTTGGACCTCGGAAAAAGTCGATAAATGATTAAGACAACTTTTTTAGATACAGAGTAAAGTGATAAATGTATTAGTTTTACAATGATGTTAGTTATTTTTTTTTTTATATTGTATACAATTTCTACCAAAAATCTTGCTCCTTATTGTACCAAGTATAGCGCTTTTCTGAAAGAGAACTTTATCTTGTTGGTACTTTAGAGAGGTAATTTTTTGTTTTTCAAAGCAGTATAATAATTGTGAAAAATCAAGAAAAAACAGGAAAATTTACAAAAATAATGCTTTTATTATTCTCAATTTAGTTTTTTTATTGTAATTCATTTAAAAATGTCCGTAGAGACTTGAAATTTGTACAGACAATTATATTTACAATTTTTAAATATAATAAAATTTTCAAAATTGTTGAGCAATATACATAGCCATTTTAATTTTGCGAGTTTTTTACGTAATTTTAATTTGGTAGGTACTTTGGTGATAAAATTTATTGATTAAACAGAAATGCTTAAAAATTCAACAGGATGTTCATTATAAGCCGTACTTTGTAATAAAAAAAATTGAGTTTAATGTAGTATTTTCTTTTTATATCAAATTTTGACGAAAAATCGTAAAAATTAAGGCTTTTTAAAACATGTATAACCGAAATCTACTCAGAATCGGTTTTCGTTGATAATAATTAATCATTACATACAGGTATAAATTAAATTACCGTAAAACGGGATTAACTCCGAACCAGTGGCATAATTTGGTAATGTTCGTGTCTTTACATTTTATCTTTTAACCTCCCCCCCAAAATAAAAAAACTGTATTTCTTATAATCATCTTTGAGTGCAATAAATGTATGTACTTTCACATGTGATAATCTTATCATAATATGTTGGTTAAATAATTTAAGGTTACTAGATACATATATCAGTGGTGTGCAACCTTTTTTGATTCACAGCTCCCAAATTAATTTATTTCTATGAGGCGATCCCTCCTCCTACTTACATTACATAAGTGTTTAGTTTATATTTTTACTTAATGTCTACAATAGTTATAGCCTTATAAATTAAATAATTAATTTTAGGCAATTTTATACATTTGTTTAATTTAATTTATCCAAATTTTTGATTTCAAAACATAAAACAAAAATTATCGACATTTTTATAATTATAATCAACATTTAATAATTTTAAATTATAAAATTACATAATTTAATGAGATCCTTGTGCTTGAATTGTAGACATGATTGAATTTAAATTGGGTTTAATATTTGAGACTGCCACTTAGTCCCGGATTAAGGGGGGGCAGAGGGGGCCATAGCCCCAGGCCCCTGGATATCATAATATTGTAGGCCCTTGTCCTTGGCTGGTAGTGCTGTATAAACATCAATATTTTTAATATGTTTATGGACTCCTAAAATTGTTTTGCCCCAGTCCCAGAATCATGTTAATCCGAACTTGCTGCTACTCTTAAATCTACTTTTACATTCAATCTGAAGCGATATTTGTTTTTTTATTTTTGCTAGTGTTGACAATGCTGTTTCGTATAAATAAGTTGAAGCAAAAGGAACTAATATTTCCTGCTTAGATTTAAAAATAACCTATACATATAATAACATATACTGCGTGATTCAAAAGAACTTATAATCGCAATATAAAAATAATAATATGACATATTACGATTGATACGGCCACCGACAGTAACTACAAGAAATGTTACGTAATATAAAATAATACGTACATATAACTTTCATTTAGTCATTGATTATAGAATATATTCCATCAATGATCTGGTGTAAAAATATTGATGACCCCCCTGTTAAAATTTCGGGACCCATTTAGGGGTTGCGATCCCAGGTTCCGTACCAATGCTCTAAATATATCGTACAGTTACCATACCAATTTTTTAATTTTAATTTTGTTAATTGATTATATAAACATTAATTTTTTTGCATTTAAATTTATTAAGTAATATAAGAATAAAAAAGTATAGGTAATACGTTTATGCAATGCCTTTAAATATGTTTTACAGAGATATGGAAATATAATATTGAACGTAAATTAATAAATAAATAATAATAAACTAACTAAAAATAGATTTTTATAGTCTTATGAAAGATATTTTTTAAAAATATTAAAGTACAAATAAGGTATTTACTTCGAAAAATAATTTATAGATATTTTCAAATTTGTTCTTATTTATCTTTTAATACAGTTGGCTTCTCCTTTTTTTAGCATTGTCATGTTTTACATTAATTGTAGGTACCTATAGACCATTTTACACATTTGCTTTGTTTCATTTGGTGTAGGTACTAAAATTAATTATTCTAAAAATTAGGGATATATGTTTCTTATAAGAATAGTATTTTAATTTTTATTTTGGTCGTCACGCAAATAAATATCTTGATTGTAAAACAAGATATCTATATTAGAAATGTTTGTCTCCATAAAGCAAATTAATATAAATAAAAGGTATGATTTATTATACATTTTATTGATGTTCATTACGCTTCCTGAAAAATATTAAACAGGTATAATATAAAAATTATTTTATACATCTAATATTAAGTACAACGTACCTATCAAGTATAAGTATTTATTTAAGAAAATAAGAATTGTATGTGCAACAGTAGATATATAAGTACTTATAATAATATATACTGTTATAATTGAATATGTAACCATTGCAAATTTACTAAAATGTTTAAAAATACATTTTATAGAACTAAAACACCTAGGTATTTAAAAATACACTGACCTTTATGGCTTTATCGAGTATGCGTACAGTATACACTGTACACGTAGGTAACTATTAATACGGCTATAACCATCTCTTTTTTAATATAAATATACGTTTGGAACACGTGCATACGAATATCTGTATTGAATAGTGGGGGGCGACGAATAATTTTTGTTCCGAGACTCGTAATTTCTAAATACAGTACTGACAGTGACGGATTCAGAGTTTGGAAACTGTGGATGTCAATAGTTAATTGAACGGATGCAACTACATTTTTATTAACTCCAGACATAATAAATAATAATAAATGTAGACAGATTTGTGAAGGAAATGAATCCATTCATTTTAGAACTGAATTAAAATAATGAAATATCTTTATTTTTTATTATATAGGCGATGAGCAATGGTAAAAAAAGTAATACAACTAATCTCTCTCTCTTAAATCCGCCATTGTACTTAAATTTCAAACAAAATCATTTTTTTTAAATTTAATTTAATTTATAGTCTAACCCAATGCCCATAAGCTACATTATATATTGTCTGTCCGTATGCAGTTATTTCTCCAACTTGGAATGGTGTATTCACTAAACTATTTGTTTGATTATAAACAAGGTTCCCCCATTGATTTTTAGTCGAATTTGGGTAAAACAAATTGTAGAAAGCTGTTGTATCATATCACTCACCTAAAATAAATGAATTTAAAAAAGTTTGTGGCTAGAATGTATACCTATCTACTGACTTATGATTTATTAATTAAAATAAATTTAAAATTCAGCAATAGAATATACTACCAGTACACTTCTGTTTATTTTTCTTTACTTTATAATATTAATATTAAATTGATAAAAAACCATTGTAAATTAATACACAGGTAGACACATTAAAAATATGATATTGGTAAAATATATAGGTATCTTTGAATAAGGTTGTTTTTTGAATTTATAATCATTGGATGTTACTATGTTAGGTACAATATTTTTAATTTTTTAGAAAATTCACATACTTATTTTTTAAACAGCTATTAACTTATCAAGGGGGTCTTTTCCTAATCTTTTTTGGCCAGGAGTTCTTTTTCCTAAGACCAACAATATTATACACAACTTATATTGATTTGTTTTTGAAACCTAAATGCAAACTAGGTATTTGATAATTGAAAATGCATATAAAAGTAAATCCCCTATCAATGATTGTAACACAATACCATACAAATTTATATTGCAGGTATAAAAGATATGCACATATTCAATAGTTGTGTGAACGAACGGGAAAAACATGGTTGGTAAGACAATTTAGTACCTACCAGCTGGTTGGATTGAGTCTATATTAATTTATCTAACATATTTTCAAGACCAATTTTAAAAAAAGTTAAATAACTGCTTATGAATTTAAAAATGTCTGTTATATATGATAAATAAAATATTAAATAGGTATTTTTTATCTCACTGTTTAAAAAAATACATTTGTTTAAATTGTATAACTTTCTCCTTTAAAGATGCTAACTCCTATATAGAAGTCCCTATTATGTAATTTTGTCCTACAGTGTACCCAAATAAAATAATAAAAACGTATTAAACAGGAAAAATTTGGTTGTTGAAATGAAAAATCAGATATAAAAACAATTAAGTAGGTAACCAATAAACCAGTCTAAAAATTGTAATTATAAAACACTAAAACAATAATTATTATTAACACAAATGACAAATATTTTTGTATGACCGATTTCTCAATCTTAACTTACCTTTAAATAGATTATTTATTATAAATGTAGATAGAATTAACAAAAGGTCATTGAATCTATATAACCAGTCGAAGTATTGAATTCAACAGAAATTCACATTTTCTAGGTGGGGTTAAAAATGAAATTCATGTTATTATTTTAGGTCTATAAAAAATAATTGCAATTGAAAAAAGAATGAAAGGAATTATAATTTAGATTTGGAAAACACATAAATACAAATTGAAAACTTAGAAACAGATAATAAATTAAAATATTAAAATAAAATATATTTATTTCAAAAGTATTTTTATGAAAATTAAATGTAAGAATAGTGAAAGGAATGCTATAACAACTTACTTCAAATACATTAGTCATTATATATGGTTATTTGTTAAAAATATGGAATAGTACAACTAGTTACTACATTCAATGACCTAAGTTGCTAGGATACTAAAAACAGCAGTAGGTAACTTATATTTGTTTGAATCAGACATCAATTTTATTCTAAAATTAAAAATTAAATAAATACAACCTAATAATTTATTATAACTAGTCTAATATACATTTTAAACATTCAACTAAATCTTTATAATTGTTGCAAAATAAAGAAAACATAAAAACAACTATAGTTCTATTACTATAAAAACAAATTAACTAAAATGAACTGTATTTACTTTACTTATAAATATTAACAAATTTAAAAACAATCTACTATTTCAAGCTAATATAATATCTCTGGGAAAAATGTTCCTCCTAAAAAAATAGTACCAGTACCATAATCAATAATAATATTAATAATATAGGAATCATATATTTCAGTATCATATTAGGTGTGCACGCATCATTAGCATTTTGTGTCAAAAAAATATGTTTCAAACTCTTTATTAGGACAGTTTATTGACAAGATTATGGTTTTGGTCCCACCCCTTATCCCTAATTACAGTTTATTCTGAAATAAACTTAATAAGAAATAAGTAGTATAAATTATAAATAGAAATAATAATAGTGAAGATATGGTTTGATTTTCATAATTGACAAGTCTACATTATATAATATGACATATTATAAAGAAAAAAAAAACCCAACAAATATATTTCTTTATAAATATACGACAGACATTTAAGGGGGTGGTAAGCATTAACCATAGTCAACTTATTAATAGGAAATGTGAAACATAGTCGATTTCTCTTTAAAAAATAAAAATAACCCAATAATATGCACTAAATAGTAATAATTGACAAACATGAGATACAGTAGTTCATTAAGCCACAATATGTTACTATGCTGACTCTGCATTCGCTATTCCTTTGGGCAGCGATGAAAAGCATAGTCTGAGTAAGTACGGAAACTTGGATGATTCACATTTTATTGGCCAATGATTGACAGCCATAATAACTTCCACGGCAGTAGCCATATCTGTAAACTCAACAAGTCCAGATGAACTACGTGCTTCTGTACCTTTAGGAGGAAACATTTTAATAGTTATTTTTGGATCAACATCTTTTAGAGCTTTGCTTATTGTCTGGGATAAATCATCTTCTGATATGTTTGGTGGAGCATTAAAAAAATGCAACACGCTGGATGGATTCTGACGCCGGTTTTTTCCATTTGAATTTGAATGATATCTGCAATTAAAATACATTAATACTTAAAACATATTCAATATTTATTTAAAATAATAAATATTAACAACTAAGACCATAGTACCTGATGACAAAATTTACCAAAAGTTTTAAAACTTAAAATAATAATACTTAATATTAATAATAAAACAAACACTAATACCTTTATAATTTAAAATTTATATTAAACATAAGAAAATTGAAATATAATTTATTAAAATTTGAAAGTATTTACATATGGAAAATAAGTAAACACTTAAGTATTTAAACTTAATTAATAGTGTGTTGATTTGCTAAACTAATATTATTTACCTGTTATTTTTTGAATTAGAATAATCTTTGAATGATGGTGTACCATCAGGTAGATCATATGGTACCATGATGTCAGATAAATACATTTGTTTTGATACTTGCAGCTGCAACACGTTACCACTGATGAGTGTTAGCTTATTCAAATTGTCCATACATCGATCTACTGACATTTCATTATCCATCTGTACCATTGCACAACCTTCTTTACTTTTTAAAAATTTTATTTTGACAACATTCCCATACAAACAAAACAAATTAAATAGTCGATTACAGTTGGCTTTGTCAGGATCTAAACCGTAAACCATTAATACACAACGCCCAGGAGTTGCTGGATAGCTTTCACCATAATTGTTATTAGGTAAATCATGGGGTGTAGATAACAGTCCACCTCGACATTCAAAATCAAATCGAGGGAATGTAGGCCGAGTAGATATAAGTGGAGCTCTTGGAGGATCTGGTAACAGGGGTGTAGTTTTCTTTTCACCAGGGTTAGGCGTAGTATAATCCCATGTTTCAGAGTCATTTTTATAGACATTTAACTTAGATGGTTTGGCATACTCTACTCTTAACGTACAACATCCTTGGTATATATCAGCACCGTCCATTAGTTGCTTGGCTCGAATGGCCTGGTCCACTTCTTCATATTCCACCATTGCTTGTACACCACGTTTTCGAAATATAACTATCCGCACAACGTTACCGTGATCTTTGGATATTGTATGGATTACATCGGTGTTAATCGGGTAAGTAACTTTTGTTATGGTCAACAGCAATATGTGGTTGGGTTGTGTTTCAGGGTTCTTACGACGGCCGTCTTCATACGTCGACGATAAGGAACTGTTGGTTCGCGAATCCCGATCGTAGTCGGTCCTCAGTCGTTTGTTGGTCTGATCGTTTTTCAAACTGTTGTAACCATAATGATTATATGCCATCATTATTTTTAGGTTGCCTTTGAGAATAATATTTGAATTTCAGAAAATAATCATCGGTGACAAAATAATAATAATAATTGACATCGTCCCGGTCAGAAGAAAATAATTTGAACAGCCAGAGAAGAAAGAAAAAGCAGGAAAGAAAAAAAGGCGGAAAAAAAAGAGACGATTTTAATCGGTTTAAAGGACTACATGGCACTTTCGGTAAACGGGTCGAAAACCATGCCGAGGAGCCGAGAAAAATTAATTACGCTATAACGCAAACGGTATGGAAACTAATCGAATCCATTTTGTCGTTGGCAACGGACGCGAAAAACAAACGAACTGTTACTAGCATAGATGTAATACGACGGTCGACGACTCGCGCTATCATGAAACTGACGCCATTTTGTCTCGATATCTCTCGGTACGCACACATACACAATCGCGCCTGTACACACGCGCACCAATACAATACAATATTATTGAATCGAATCCGACGGGTTGGAACGTAGTAACTAGAACAACCCGGCCCACTACACAGCGGCGTAACGTTCAAACGCGCACTGATCATGTGGACGATGTGGTAAATAATGACAGCGGCGCGGTGGCGGCGATAACGCGTACGACTACACCGTGTTATTTAGTAACGTTTTTACGGTGTGTGTACATTATTGTTATTATTACTATATTGTGCCGTCCGGTAAACTATACACGTCGTGCAATCAGTGGACAGACAAATGTTGTCGGGCAGGTATCGGCGTCTAGGCGTTTTTTCATGGGTTTTGTGAACCCCTGGACGGTAACTGGTAACACACGGTAGCACACGTCGTAATACCCACAAACCGGACGGCCGACTGATAAACAACGGCTCGTAATTTATTAGAGACGCGATGCGTGCCGACACTTTTTGTATTGGTTCGCCGCCGCGTTACCGTCCCGTCCGTTCTCCGGCGAACAGCAGCGCCCGTTTGGAACAAAGGACTTTAATAATTATTATAATATTATTATTATCGTGGTTCGGTGGTTCGAGGAGGTGGTGATGGTGGCGGCCACAAGGCATTCTTTGGACGAGAGCCATTTAAATACGCGTCCGAACGCCGGGCCGGCAGTGCGCATTGCAGCACAATCGAGCCCGTGGCGGGCATAATAATGTTTTTTAATATAAGATGTATATGTATATATATATATACACATACATAAAGTATAATATAGGTGGCTTTTTGGTCTCGAAACGGTTGTTAGCGTGCTGGCGTACGCGTGCGAGAAAGAAGGGACGGCACGGCGTTTATTTATAGGACTTTTACAATGCGGTGTGTGCGCGCCACTGTTTTTAGATCTACTATCACACGTGCTTAATGCTTATTATAATATCGCGTTATGTACCTTACGTTCCGAAACGTCTGTCAAAATTCGACGACGACATGAAAGTTAGTTTCCTAATGCAAAAATCATCGTACGCCCGTTCGCGACCAAAAATGACGTCCTAGCTTTAGGTCGTGATAATATCACTGCTATCCGGTGCTCGACTTGGGTGAGTAGGGAAGGGGGGGTGGAGTACCGCAACTTATATTTCAGAAATTTTAGCCGAACCTCTACTATTTGTTTTAACTAAAATACGCATTATGATAACAATATACGTATAAATTATACGTATGTCGTATAATGAAAATAATGTTATGTTAATGACCTTATCTACATTACAATGACCACCTTAATGATAACTGATGACTTCTACTCATTTACTGTCTGATAAGGGGAAGAGCCGAAGGGGTAAGACCGTTTTTACGGACGAATATGACGTTTTAGACCTACTATCTAGCAGGAGTACAATTTTCCCAACTACCGCTTACCAAATTTTAATTTTGAAAACATTTGATTTCTTGTCTATGTTTTTTAGGAAGCATTTAAATTGGTTTTTTTGCATCTAACTATTTAAATAATAATGAGATTACCTTTTTCTTTCTTTTTCTTAAAACATAAAAAGTGACAAAAAAATATAAAAATATTTTCCTTATAAAATGTAGAAAAGAAGTATTTGAAATTATTGACTATTAAACTACTGAAAATATGTTTGATTTACTCTAGCTTATTGACCTGATCGTTAGCTGGAGGATATTCTCGAGTACAATTTATTCTGCACAGATTAATATCCAAGATTTATAATGAGTTAGGTATATTAGAGAACGAGTGTATGACTGTACCCACCAAAAACACTCCAAGAAGCAAAATACAACAAATAACTATTTACTATACAACTTGCTATGAAGTACAGTTTACAATATTATAGATTTTAGAATAAAATTCTGGATTAACGATAGTAATAATATCATTCAAGCTTACACATTAGATCGTAATGATGCGGCTGCACATATAAAGTCATTATATAAAGAGTTTTATCAACGAGATGAAATTTCAATGACAGAATAAGCAACATTATATCAGAATCATCGGAGGGATATTATGATGACAAAAATCAAACTCGTACAATTTTTAGATTGAAACTATATATATATTTAAACTAGAAATATTATTTACCCTGGACCCTAACGTTTAAATCCGACTCTGTGTACCCTATATATACAGTTATTATTATCTAGCTCAGCAGTACTCAATCTTTTAACATGACTTTTTTTAAACAAAGTTAGCATTGAACGATGGCCTTTACAACCTCCTTACAATAACCGATTATGATTTTTAAATTTACTTTAGTTTTCTAATAAAAATTAATATGTTTTTAAGTGAAATAAAAAGTATCATTGTATAATGTTATGTACCTATTCATTTAATATTATTATGCGTCACACATTCCATACATGGCATTATATACCTATTGTCACATTATCAGATAAAAACCATGCAAGTTACGTTTTATTTTCTTTGTATACCTTTAATAGATTTTTATCGTTTTAAATTGTTAAAACACGTATATTTTTAACATCTAAAATAATGGTGGGATAGAGCGACCCAAAAGTTGAAAAACGTTAATTTAGCCCACCTGCCGGCTGATCGTCTCCAATGCGTATTATACTCGCCTGACGATCGTATAATACGACTATAATAGAATACTATAATTATTATGTGCAAACTCGCGTTCAGTTTCTAGTTACGTCACTATAGTCAGAGTCCAGAGACCCTATTTATATTTTAAAATTGTTCTGGCCTTTCTAGGGGAGGCGAGGGGATCTATAGCTTTAACTGTCACTGCTGATGGCCACAAGATATCCCCGCAGTGCCGAGACAATCATGACGTTTTTTATTTTTTTTCTCTATAGATTTGATAGTTTCAAACTTTCAAAGTGCCCATTCGGATTTATTCGTTGGTTCGTAAAGCTCATATAATTGGTTATAATTAGTATTTATAATCAATGACAAAAATAACATGTAGCTTCATTAAAATATATAGATATTGTTTTGTAGTACGAAGTATAAACTATGATATATTCGTGTTTTAATAATACGCGTGCTACCTACTTAAATATTATAGTTTTATGTTTATATCGAGGTATGATGTATGTAATAATTAATACCAATGGCGCATTTAGGGGGAACGAAATTGATCAATGCCCCGAGCGGAAAAATGACATGGGCGGTTAAATTTAAATGATTTTAAGTGGCAATTTTTAGAGAAAATGTGAAGCAAAGTTGAGATGAGGAAAATAAAAAAAAATGGTTAAATATGGGTATACCATTTCTTGTATCATTTCTACGTTAATTAGATAGGGAGGGGCAAAACAAATTCTTCTTAGGACGTACAAATCATATATGTGCTTCTGATAGGTAGATATCATTTATGAAGATATTTATTAGATAGAGACAGTGTTTTAAAATTAAAATGTGTTTTTTTTTTAATTATTAATAATATTTATTACATTAATTTACATTAATTACAAGCAATCAGGCTTAAAAACCATTGAATATATTATTAACGATGCGATTTTCCTGAAGACATCGTACTACAAATAATATTTCATTTTTACCTATTTGAAAAAAAAAATATGTTTGATCTTTTGATCGATATTTTTTCCCAGCTGAGACCTATTATTGCAATGGGACATTATGCGCTCTTCTAAAATGTTTTAAGCGCTGGACCTTTCGTTTCGTATCAATTTAATAATAGATCTTTTGATTCATACGATTATTAGAAACGAAAAAACGTTGAAATTTAAGGAGATTTGGATCACCCGACGGTACGGCGGTAGAGCACTTCCCCGCGGTCCCATTGTCATAATCAGGATTTAGCCGTGGTCTAGGTATTTATTTATTTATCACTATTTAGAATCATAGTTCTTTGACACGTACCTACGCCTCACTTAAATATTTTTTCACATCACTTATTATCGTTAGGTAGTTATCCACTTCTTATTGACTAACATTAGCATTGCCGATTATTTATTGGAAAACTATACCACGTAGGCCGGATATGGAGGAAATGCGCATATTGATCGAAAACGTGACGCACAGTGATCATACCTAAATCTATTTTGTTACGAACGTATTATAACGGAATAATAATAACTCCATGATGAGCAGGGAGACGCACATGATCTATCCCGTCGTGTTTTTTAATATTTTTTTATGCGTCGCCACAGTTACATTGTAGTCTATAGACTCTATAGTATAGTCATCATGATAATAATATTATGTTTCCTGCCGTGCACACATAATATTTTTTCCTTATAATATAATTTAGTGGGATTATGCGATAAAAGTAATAAGAACGGTACCTACGGTGAAGTTCTGGGCGTATTTCCGGCGACGCCGTATACAGACGACGACTAATCTTATCTTCAAACAAATATTTAATGAATATTATTTTATATATTTTTTGTTATGTTCTTTATTATAGCTATATATACGTTGAATATTATTATTACACTATATTTTATGTTATGAAATTTCGTCGTTTCGTGTCAATTTACTAAAAGATATTATAAAATAGTCTTTGAGGATAATACCTATACTGTGAAATTGAAATATGATACATATACTATTATATAGTAGTATAATTATTGTATAACATAAATGGGTCAATTAATAAAATAAACACTTTTGAATTAATTTCGTACAATGACTTATCCAGAATTTTCAATAGTGGGAAGGGAGGGGGCAATAATAAATAAATACAGTGATCAATACTTCTATATAATATATACGAGTACAACACTTATTGTCTAAAAACGTATTAACTTTTTCGGAATTTTGTTTATGAAATAAGTGACACTAAAATTACATCTTCCTACATTACCGTTTTGTTTTGCTGCCCTTATTTTTAAGAGTGAAATCACTTTTGATTTTAAAATAGCAACCTATATTAAAAATTCCGTAAATAGACGGAGTTTTAATTTAGATAAATGTTAACGATTTGTGAGAGAGTTTTAATTGAGCATCATTGGTGTGGCACGGCGAGCGGCGTTTTAATAGTTCGTGGTTTTATTTCTTATCAGACCGCGCTCCTATCTATAACATAACCATTTGAGTACCTATTTTTTTATAATGCTCTACTATCTTTCCCTACCCATAAAACGACAAACTTGAAAGTGGAATATCTCGGAAACGGCTTGACGGAAATTAAAAATCTCAACACCAAAAATTGTTTTATCTTATACTTTATATATTCATCGAATTTTTAATATAGGTTGCTATTTTAAAATCAAAGGTGTGTAGTAATTTCATTCTCAAAAATATAGGTAATTGAAAATAACGATGGTGTAACATTCCACAAAAACAGTATAAAATATAGTAGGTATTCATAAATTATGTTAGGCAATTATTAAAAAATTACAAGATCATCATGTTCGCCCGTATACTAGTAGCCCAGTAAATTAAATCTATTTACTTTAAAATGACAGCATATTATATGATCATGATTCATTAGTAAAACACCGAATATAATAATAAAAAGTTACCACTCAGTCAGAAAACTGATGATGATGACGAGTGATAGATACAATATTATTGACACAAGACTTGCCATTATTAGCCATCATACTCATTAGTAAAATTATGTTCGCTACTTTCTTGTATACATATGTAGTTGCTTTATTATTTTAACAAACATTATTGGAATCTGGCGGTTTTTCTTCATAATTGTTCACAATACCACTCTTGAAACTCATTTGTATATGCAGATATCACCTATGTATAGTTTTTCTTAATTGATAAAAGCCAATGCCAAGTTTCACATTTTACCGTTTATATTATACTTAGCCATTTAGATTCAGCCACTGTTCACATACTAATAGACATCTAGCCTAACCTATTATAGTCCTCGGTCAAGTTTCTTGGTATAAATCCAAATAACTGATTTCTCGATACCACCGTATACATAATCTTTTACTTTCCACTTTTTCCTAGTAGTTAATCGAGTAACGATTGGTAGCTAACTACTTTTGTAATTTCTACATTTGTAGTGCGGGCTGTGCAGGGTCTCCTGTATAGTCTTAAAAGTCGGAAATTTATAGTTTTGCTTTAGTATATCAATAGACGGTATTTTTCTTTTACACGACTATGTACTGTAAACAATAGGGTAACAGGGAGGAATAGAGATTGTTGATTATAGCTATAATGGGTATTCTATTAAAGATGTCTATCAACCACCACGACCAAATATTATTTTCTTCATTCCCGAACACACTTCCATACATCGCTGCAGGCGTAGCCATCTGGCTGCACGCTTCCAACCACTTTGTTATTTACGCATAATACCTATAAGATAAACAAAAATAATATATACGTTTAACCGTTATTCATTATTATTATTACACTAACGTGCATACCTATTGTATAATTACACAACAGTCACTATTTTGCACATCTGCGTAATATTATAAAAACGATACGTGTTTGTTTGTTTACTCGTTACTTACTAACTTACTATATGGTTTACATGTTATACTACATAGGTTTTTTTCTATTTAAATTTAATCTAAAATATTGTTTAATTATTATTTAAATAAGTAAAACTATTATTTAAATCGACAATATCAAATATTTCCAATGCGTAATATTCAAATTTAAAACTGTTGCTGTAATAATTTTTAATGGGTAACAAACATAACAAGTATGAGTATAAAATATAATAGATACGTGCAACTATACCTTTCCGAAATAAATGTTTGCCCAACAATAAAGATTAACTGTGTCACGTAGAATAAAATTCATTTAACTTATAAATAACTAGGCACGTATACAGGGGGGGGATAGAGGTAAGACCCCCTGAAATTAATTAAACGCACTATATACTAGGTAGTTAAAATATTTTAAATATTTAATTTTTTTCCTCATAAGCCTCCCTCGAAATTTGTTTCTGTAGATACTTGCCCGTGAATGATACATTATCAATATGTGTACATTGTTACTTTCTAATCGTCTGGCACAGAATCGTTTAAATATTTTAATCCTGACTATCGAGTAATTAAAGGCTAAACGTCATAGGTATAACTATTAAATAGTTCTGTTATTTTATAATAAACTGCATTTTTTTAAAATCCAGAAGTAAATCTATTGAATCGATTAAACAGATTTAAGCTGGTCTTGATTAATTGAGCTGCAGCTGCCGCTGTCATGTTATAGATAGTTATCATTCGAAAATATAAAAAACTAACGTTTTTTTGAATAATATACATCTGTATAATAAATCGTTATTTAGTCATTTAGTTTTGAATACTTTAATACTCGCTTATGATGCTTTAATAATATTTTAATACAATTGCATTCAGATATCCTTCTTAGACGAGTTATGGATAAGTAATAAAAGTGACACATAATACTAATACATAAAAATAATTGAATTCATTAACGATAGTTACACATAATTCTAAATTGAAATCAGTTAAATAATCATAATAAATAAAAACATAAAATATAATAGTGCATAAATGTTAATAGTCATTGAAAAATGTTGGTCTAATATAATTAATTTCTAAGAAAAAAAAATACAATATGATATTATCTTTTCTATTTCGGCATCATAATAATTACTAAAAACTAAATGTTATATTATAATTATTATAATATTAAGATATTTCATTACCTTTACACACTATTACACATTACACACCATGTTATAATTTAATAACTAGAACATTATAATTATAATAAATGTCAAAGGTCGAACAATTTTAATTTTCTTTAAGATTCACATTTTTCCTCCTGTTAAACGATGAATACACTCATAATTTAAACTTCTCGAGACAACACGTGTGTAATATAAACATTTTTGGATTTTTTCCAGATGTTCTTTGTAATTTGTTCTTTATCCAATATCATTAAAAACACCATAATTGATACTTCAAAGTCACGTGGTCAGTAGTTTTATGAACATTATATTAAATCATGTAGGCACCTATAATACATTATAAATTATATATTACCTACCAACCGTACACACTAAAATATAATAGCATATGTTTTAGATGTTGTTACATAATATCTATACGTTTTTAAATTTATATTTGATCAAATAAATATATATATATATATATATATATAAATATGAGATTTATAATATATGCTAGTTATTCTTGATGGTTAGAATTTAATATTAAGTGGAATTTTAAATTTAATAAAAAAAATAACAATCGTGTTCAATTCTGGAAATATATACTTTCAATAAGTATTCTTTAAACGGTTAGTTTGATCAAAATAATAAATAATATTATATTAACGCTATATAAATAACTTATTATAATACCTAATTGCACATCTAAAAAAGGCATTTGTATATATATATATATATATATACATATTTTTTAAATAAACAATAAGCCATAAACCGGTAGCTATGATTATACATTTTATATTTAACTCTGCGTCAAAAAACATTTTTCGTAGGCATTTAATTGTCAAGGGCATGGAATTCTTGACTTAAGTCACAATTAAAAGGGATTAAACAAATAAAAATAAATTTAAGTGCGGTTAGTAATTCATCAATATTTTCGAAAACACGGATGATCTCTAATTATGCAAGCCTAAACTAAGTTTTTGCAAGTGTAATTTTAGATTCTAAGCGGAGCGAGGAATGTATTTGTTTTACAATGATGATTTTTTTTCTGTGAATAACTTTTCTACTAAAAATTATTCTCCGATTTTCATGTGTAGCACTGTTTCTGAAAAGAAATTTTACTAGGATAAGACTTTAACGAGGTTATTTTTCCAGGAGTTTTCTTAATAAATGGGAAAATCGGGAAAAAACACAGGAAAAATGAGAGAATTCATTATTTTCAAATCGTAAATATTACGGCTTTTCAAAACATGTACAACCGAACTCCAATCAGAATCGATTTTCGTTAGTGACGATCAATTGTCACGTACAGATAAACATTAAATTCTCTCGACATCCCAATTTTTCATCTACAACCGTGGCCCACCTACAGTGCAAAGTATGTCTATATTTTTTTTTATTTTTGACAAGTCAGATCACGTAATTTTATTTGTATTATTAATGGTTTATTTATTGAAAAAAAATTAACTTTAATTATTACTTACTTATAATTTTAAAAATCAGTTTTATGTTTGTTTACATAATTTTTTGAATAAAAAATTATTATTATCTAAAAACATTAAAAATTTAAACATGTCATTAAAATGTTGGCAATAATATTTTAAAAGTTAATGCACTGAATCGATGTAACATTGTCTAGCAAAAATATACTTTACGAGATAGTTAGATAATGGAGCGTATCGTAAAAAGTAGGTATATTTATAATTCTCCCAGATAATGTTTAAGCAAATATAATGCATTTTTAGTTAATTTTTCTGTTACGATATTTATACATTCTTCTTATTATTCAATATGTGTATTCGCATTATATCTAGGTAAAAATTTCCACGAATCCTTTTTTTACTAAACCTTATCGTATGATTTGAACTTAAAAAAACTACACAGAAATTTAATTATTTAAATGTATAAATATGTTTAGTTAAAAATTAAAAAGATATCTATATTTTATAATTTCCGTAAACATTAATTAGCATGTTCGTGGTTTTTTTTTACGTGGACAAACTACTAGAACAACTGAATAATTATAAATTGCAAATGCACTCATTTTATTTGAAATGTCACGTAGATCAGACTGACATTTTAGATCGATTAGAGCTACATTAAACAAGTTCTAATACATTTTTTTTATAAATGTCTAAAATTCGATTAATTTTAAATGTTCTTTTTAATGCCTTAAAAATTAATCTTACGTAACCGGCATGACAAAATATTATTTAGCAATTACAACCGGCAGTGGTGGCGGTGTTTTGTGTGAGTTTATCTTTTAAAAAAGTCTGTAGTCCGTTCGATAATTTTATAGTTTGCACTCTACTGTATTATGCGTAGCGAGTACGTACATGATACATGGTGCATTATTATTGTACCGATAGAAGTAATTTTAATATAAGAATAATATTCATTAAATATAAATACACAACAAAAAAAGTCTAATACTGCTAATGAGTGTGCTGAGTTTGCTGATGTGTGTATTAGGAAAAGGCAGTTGGAACTTTGAAAACGAGGATATATAGAGTAATTGAATTTGTGGCATATGTAAAGATAAACCTTTATTAACAAAAAGCGATTCCGAGAAGAGTATTATTTCAATATTGTTATAAATTATATTTTTCTCTTGATACCTACGTTAGAAATCAACAAAATTGTACAAAAAATATTGCCAGTTTTTTTCCATTTATTAAGAAAACTTCAAAAAAAATCATAAGAAACTTGCTCAATGCATCAACAAAATAAAAAATTGTATAAGAAAATGTCTATATAGTTTTTGGTTGGAACAAGGGTTCTTGCAAAAATGTTGTTTACAGACATAGAAAAAAGCACACATCTAGTAAAACCAATACATTTATTACTGCGCTCAGTTAGATAGACCTAACCTAGATGCTTCTAGGCTCTACTTTAAGTAATCAATAATCACTAATCATATATAATATATCCTAGACCACGACTATTTATTGAAAAGTAATTTCTTTATTTTCTATGCTAACAAATTTTAATCTAAAATAGTTGACAACCATTCAATCATAAAATATGTATAGTTATTATCTCTAAGAAGTTTAAGATATTTAAAGAAATACGTAGGTATTATATCCAGAACCCAGATTTTGGGTTAAGCCATTAAAATATAAATAATTACTTACAATATAATTAAGGTTTTGTACAGTTATTTTAAATACTTTTAATATCATTATTATCAAAGTCCGCCTGTCAACTCCAAATTCAAGTGGTTTAACATTTAATCTAATTAATTAAATTCAAAATTATGTAGGCATTTACACATACATAATGTATATTATACATTTTTTTTTTTTTTGTATTCGTTCCAAAATGTTGTCTAAGTAGCAGTTTACTATATAAGAGAGAAAGCATAAATGTTTGGCTTTTAGCCATATTACAATTTCAAGCGTTATAGATATAGTTGTTTTAGATTTGGAGCGTAGCGGGGATCTATAAGTTTTTACTATGATGATAGTATTTTGTTTTTGTATCTAAGAGCAACTTTTCAACCAGAAATCTTGATCCGATGTATTAAGTGTGGCACCTTTTTGGAAAGTAAATGTAATCTAGTTGGTGCATTGTGGTTGAGGAGGTAATTTTTTTCGATTTTCATAATAATTGGTAAAAATCGGGAAAAAAAATTATCGGACAAACGGCAAGTATTTACGGCATACCACGGCGTTATGATTTCATTGTTTTTAATTTTTATGAACTATATTTTCTATAGAAAATATTGTTTTAATTAAAAAATACCAAGCGACCATTTTTGTTACATTTTGAATATTGGGTAAGAAAGTAATTTTTTGAATTTCCCAGTAGATTTTTTTAAAAAATTGAGCAAAACTGAAAAAAAAAACGCAGAAAGAATGGGGAAATTAACGAAAACAATGTTTTTTTTTTTATAATTATTATTTTTAATTTTGTTTTAGATTCTGAGTGTTGTGAAAAATGCATTGGTTTTACAAAGATGTTTTTTTTTTCTTTTATATGAACTTTTTCTATCAGAAAGGTTACTCCGATGTATGTGATGCATACCTTTTTCTTAAAGGAAATTTTCTTAGGGTGATACTTAGAAAGGTGATTTTTTGATTTTCCTAAGTTTTCCCAGCTAATGTGAAAATCAGGAAAAACATGGAGAAACGGGAAAATCGGTACAATATTAAACAAATATTATAAAGAAAATATATAATGAATATTTAATTATCTTACCATAACATGACATATTATATATTGTTGTCAAAGCATCACTCTCAATTGAACTCCTCTCAGAATCGTTTTTTCATTAGCAATGGTTTATCGTTGATCACATATATACATTAAATTCCATTCTGTATCCTACCGTTCTAACTTCCCAACTACAACAATTACAGTAGCTGCAGCCACGTGCGAATTATGTCCGTCTTTTTTTGTTTTAATTCTCTTAAAAATATTCGTAAAGATTTAAATTTTGACGGATGACATATTTGCTTTTTCTAAACGTGGTAATATTTAAGCCATTTTTGAGCTATTTATAGACATTTAAATTTGCGAGTTTTTACACAATTTTTATTTGGTAGGTACTCTGTAGATAAAATTGTTAGTCATGCTTGAAAATTAAACAAGAAGTTCATTATAAGTCGTTAGTTTTCAAAAAAATAATTAAGTAAGTATAATAAAGTATTTGTTTTTAAAGTTTTAATTTCAAATTATGACGATAATCCGAAAATATTACGGCCTATTAAACATTTGTAACCGAATCTTGCTCTGAATCGTTTTTCGTTAGCAATGGTGGGAACACGTAAAAACCTGGAATGTAAAAACTTGGACGGTACAAATCTGGAATATACAATTTTGAAATCCGTAAAAATTCTGGACGGTACAATTTTGGAATTTAATATTTAAAAAAAGATTCAGAGCGAAGTTCGGTAAGACATTTTGAAATGCCGTAATTTTTATGATTAACTTTAATCGTTTTTTCGTTAGCAACGGTATATCGTTGCAAACAATTTAAGTTAAATAAATTTATGTATCCTACCTTTTCAACTTCCCAACTACAATAGTGGCTGCACAGTTCCCAGTATCAGCTCTTTTTTTTAAAATATTATATTTCAAATTTATAAACCGTCCAGATTTGTACCGTCCAAGTTTTTATGTGGACCCTCAATGGTTTATTGTTGCGTTGCTTACAGATATAAATTAAATTACTTTATGTATCCTACCTTCTCAACTTCCCATCTACAACAGTGGCACAGCCGTCCCTATTTCTTCAGGTGATCAAATCTTTTTTTTTTGATTTATTTCTTTCGTTAGATATGTTTCAATACGTATCAAATAAAATATAACAGTACAATACGCCTGTAAAATCACACCACCGTCGTCACACGGACATAATTCGCACATGATGGGTGCAGCCACTGTTGTAAGTGGAAAGATAAGATACAAAAGGTAATTTAATGGATATCTGTAAGCAATGGTAAACCTTTGCTAACAAAAAAACGATTCTGAGTAGAGTTCGGTTGATAATGTTGCTTTTTCAACAATACATAGGTTATATTATAGTAAATTAATTAGATATTATGCATTAAACCAGTGGTTCTCAATCTTCTTAGGAAGGTGACCCACATGGTTTTACTTTTCAAAAAGTAGTTTATCAAAACAGCTGGAAAAATCAAAAAATTACCTCCCTCTAAGTACCACCCCAGTCAGATTTTCTTTTAGAAACTTAAAAATCGGAGCAAAATTCTTGGTAGAAAAGTTGTTCACAGATAAAAATAAATAAATAAACACCATTGTAAAATCAATACATTCCTTGCTCCGCTCAGAATCTAAAAACATAAATTTCTTGGAATATGTATAATTCAAAACAATTTTCACGACCTACCAAAAATTTACTCGAGACTCACAAGTGGGTCGCGACCCAAAGTTTGATTAACGCTACATTAAACCTTTTCTTTAATATAATTTTTTTAATATTATACTTATTTTTCCGTTCTCCCAGTTGTCCATGTTTTTTCTCGGTTTTTCATATTTGCTGGGAAAACTCTCGGGAAAATCAAAAAATCACCGTTTTAAAGTACCAGCCCAAGAAAATTTCCTTTCAGGAAAGGGTCTACGTCGTATACATCAGAGTAAGCTTTCTGGTAGAAAAAGTGTTCACATAAACAAAAAAAAAAAAAATAAACATCTTAATAAAACTAATACATTCTTCGCTGCTCTCAGAATTTAAAATCCAAGATGATAAAGAAGAGGTATACGATTACGATATAGGAGACGAGGGCGAAGTCATAAATTAATAAATAAAATATGATATTTAATTTTTGATTATTTTTTTTTTTTACAGACAATATTATGATATGAATATTATCAACTATACATAAATCAAGTCACGGAGAAACCATGAAAAAAACGTGCCTCGTTTCTACCTAAATGATAATATGGAAACATTTAAAATTTGCATTTGTATTATTGTTATATAAATACCTTCACATATTTGTAAGATGAACATTAAAATTCGTAAACCGCAAAAACGATTATTTGTAAACAATAAAAAATAAAATTAAGATTATTTTCTCTACTATAACTTTTGTAAAACTTTTTATCTTACAACAAACTAAAATCAAAATATTTCTAAAAAAAAAGTTTTCGTGACCTTTTGAAGTGTAATCGAATATCATTTCGATTCAGGAGCGCCTTTATTAAGGGAGCGGTCGCTCCCCCCCTTCCTGAGAGAAGTGAACTTTCATTGGCATTTGGCATAGTCATTGGTCCAGAAGTAGGTAGATTTAATTAATATAATTTGACATATATTTTTCTTATCAATCATTAATATTAAATTTAATTATTACTCATCCTCCCCCCATAGTCAAGGTCTAAAAATGCCCTTTGTCGATTTCACACATGTGTTATTTAGGTGTATACTAAAATTCAGCTTAATGGTACCATTTTTCAAGCTATCTAGTTTTTAGAAGTTTTTACAACAAGATATAGGTACCTAGTCAATACAATCATTATAACTTCAACTTACTATCAATTAGTATAAGCACGTGTCACGTAGATGTTTGATTAAATTAAAAATTATTATTTTTCATCTTTTTATTACACGATTCAGAATTCACACGTGTTCAACTTAGTCCAACTAGCAGGTAATAGAACATCAATAAACTCTTTCCAATTCGACATGGACAGTTATAAAACTCACTAAACTGTTAAGAGTAACCAAGTTACAGTAACTAACTCGCAAAAACGTAATAAAACATAACTCAGTTCAGTCACGGTTACGTCAAAACACGCCTAGTATTAAAAAAAACCAATACATAGTATATTATATTTAAACCAATTAACTTCTAACGATTAACATAATTATCACAAGTATTAACAATTAACGTAGTTAAATTATTATTATTATTAAATTATTTATAGTAACAAATAATTATCGCAATTTGTACTATTTTAAAACACATTTTATTAAACAACTACCAACCTATTATTGAATAGCTGATATTAGATAATAAGTTACCTAATATGCTTTTATTTTTCGTTGTCACACAGAAATTAGAAACAAAAACCAATAATGTATGTATATTTATGTATAAATATAAAACAAAATTGTAATTATACTAGATGTTAACAAATAATACTTACCCCCCCCCCTTATGACAAAATAACAAGTCCGCCTCTAGGTGTTACTGTCGTGTTGCCGATAAACCTCAACTTCAAAACAATTGATTTTTTGCTTTTTAAATGACAAGTGCGATTTTTAATAATATTTTAAAACCGAAGTGGATTTATTATTTGAAACAATACTCTAGAAATTCGTAGGTGATACCGGTTCAAGATTTTTGTTGCACGGGTATAATATTTCTGACCCGCCTCGCAATATGGGTTAATTATTTTATACCGGTATAATCCTTTCTTTTCTTAATGTTCCCAACGCAATCATTCCTCTGTTTCATATTCTTATCAAATTATCAGAGCATAACCTATAATAACATTTATGATTGAATTATTTTTTACATTATTTTTTCATATTATTGAAATTTTTGAATTGTGAAGAGTAAAGATGGAAGATTCAAGTAACTAAGAAAAATAAGGAATGTGTACGGTGTGATAACAAATAAGTATGGACCATAGAAATGATAATAATATTTTGTATCAACTACAAGTCAACAAATTTCTTGGCATACCGCTTTACAATAAAAAATATCGATATAATTATAGGAAGGTTGATCTCTGGCTTTTATGTCTGGAAAAAAAAAACGAAAAATTATCTAAAAGGTAGAGATCAACCTTATTGGAATATATCAGTATAATCAAACGAATTTCTTAACTTAACTTTATTTAGGGCGTGTACTACATCATGGAATCATATTTTTATTAAAACCGTGTTCCTCCATGAAAACAAGATATTGATAAGGACAAAAATTAATCAAATCGTTTTTTTCAATTATTTTTCATTTTTTTCCAGTTTCTAGTGTTTTCACCAAGATCAAAATTTTGTTCTCGTTGTTTATTAGTCAAAATGAAGTGTGTTCTAGTCATATTGTTATTTTTTTTAACATGTTTATCTCATTGTAAAATTGATATTGAAGAAGTTGACGAGTTTGATGAATTTGAGGAGTCACCTATAACAGTTAGAACTGACAGTGACCTAATATTCAATGAAAAATTACCTCCTGTCATGGACAAGATTGAGCCTGAAGTCACTGTTGAAGTATTATGTTTACTAAATTAAAAATTGTTTGAAACCAACATATTTAATTTTTAAATTTTTTTTTAGGATGATGATGAATTTGAACATTTTAATGATGAAGAGGAATTTGAAGGTTTTGATACCGAAAGATTACATGTTGATGACAAGGATCCTAAAATTACTATTGCATCTGTACCAGTACCCTTTCATACAAAATGGTCTAGTTACATAATGGAAATATTTTTGGTGATGGGTATAGTTGCATATTTTGCAAATTTCTTTTATGGTCGGTCCAAGAATGCTCGACTAGCAGATATATGGTTTAAAACACATAAATCGTTATTGGAAGATAATTTTTCTCTAGTTGGTTTGTATACTAAAGTACAAATTATTTCTTGAAGAAATTAAACATTTTTTTCTAAATACAGGAGATGATGGTAAAATAGAAGTAGAGAGTAGTGGCATAATAAAAGAAACTGAAAGTTCATATACTTTGTGGTGTAGTGGTCGAACGTGCTGTGAAGGAATGTTGGTGGAATTAAAGTTTATTAAGGTAATAACATATTTATTTTATAATACTATGGTCTAAATTCCTCAGTCAAACTTTTTGTTATATATCTAAATAATATAATTAATTAACATTATCTTTTCTTTATTATTTTCAATTAATCTATTCAGCAGTATGTATATTATTTTTATGTTATATTCTAGTTTACTGTTAAATTATAACCATTTCCATACTTGTAATTGAGTTCCATCTATATAATATACAATAAAATAATAATGTTTCCATGTATAAATTGCTATTTAAAATTATTTCAGAGGCAAGATTTAGCAACTGTATTTAATCAATTTTTGCGGCCTATAAAAGATGAAGTGCATATTAAAGTTGATATGAACAAAGAAGATATGGATACGTTTGTGTTCTGTGTAGCGTCTAAAAAGACAGCCACTAGATATTCAAAAGAAATGGCTGACCTTGTAAGGAACTCGTATTAAATGTTTGAATTGATAATTTTTAATTCAAATTATCTTGTTTTTCAGAGTGTATTCTGTCCAGAACGTAAGCCTGGAGCCAATTATGGTTTGACTGATAGTTTTAGTGTACTCAGCGAATTAGGAGAGGTATCTTCATCTATTTTAGATGCAAAGACTGTTAACTATATTAACAAATACTCAGATGTTTTAGATTGTTTACATTTTTCTGATAGATATTCAGGATTTAAATCAAACGAGTAAGTATATTTTTTATGAATACAAAAATGTTTTTATGTAGCCCATGCCAGTGAAATAGACAGCATACCAAATGTATAAATAACTAGTGAAGTCTGTCATAGTATCAGAAACTAAATTATTAGTAACAATAACTTTTTTGTTTTAATGAGGGATACCAAGGGAAATCAAACATTAATAATAAAAAAAAAACAATTAAACATGGAAATTAAAATCATTTTATATCATAATGTTTTTAAAATAATTTTATAATTAAAATTAAAAATTAGTTAAATTTAAGCAAATCGGAGCATTTATTTGTTCTTGAAATATTGTGATATTTATTAAAATAGTAAATATTTTCTCTTTTTCTCTTTCTTATGTAATAAATATAAATATTATAACTTAATGATAAGGGATTATAGTAGTTTTTAACAGTTTGAAAGGTAAAATAATTATTCAATGGTTTTTTTTTTCAAACTGTGTTTGTATCTACTCTGTAATGTCTGTCCACCTATATTTTAAATCTCTTTTTAACATAGATTTGACTAAATTGCTGACATAAAAACACATCCTTGTATTATATTAAATTTTTCTTTTACAAATTTTGTTTTAAAAAAAACAGATTATCATTGTATTATTTATTGAGTAATAATATTGTTGAGGCAAATACATTTTTACCTAAAATAAATTTAATTATACCTATTAAATCTTTATACTTATATATAAAATTAATTGTATAGAGAACTGAGAGTATTATATGGTAAATTTTATCAGTTAACCATCTCTATATTTTTAATGCTTTATATGTTACTTATTCAATACAATTGCATGTTTATATTTTTAATATTTCAAAAAGATCTCAGAAATTGGCTATTTTTATTGGAGTCATATTTTATAAAGAAGAAACATGTGTAAACTATTTAAAATGCAAACAGATGTTACTTAAAAATGAAATTAATATATGTATATAATGTTTATAATATAAAAATAACTATTTTTTCACATATATTTTTAAGGCAATCGGCTATGACTCCACAATTATATTTTTATATTGACAAAGAAATTTTGAAATTTCCAAATATTATTTAAGTATATGAAAATACCTTAAGGTTAACTATTTATTAAAAATGTATGTCCTTAATATATAATTTAAAGTTACAAAAAAAAATATGTAATTGATTTGTTAAAATAAACTTAATAACATTTTTCCAAATATTTCACTTTTTATGAATTAAATAGTATTCTATTGCTAAATACACATTCAAATTGTATACTACGGAAGATATGACATTTTTTTTTTGAACATTTATTGACACAAACAAAACAGATCATTTTATAACAATAATTAATAAGAAGCTCAAAATTATAATTATACTAATAGTTTAATTCACCTATATTAAATTAATTTTTTTCTTTTTACAGCGACACTACAGTTGCCACAAAGTTACCAACCGTGAAAAAAGTATTGATATTTACGTTTACCATTCCTACAGATAAATATTCTAATCCTCAAGAAGCTATTAGTGCTATCTATCCACTTATGTCATTTGTATTCCAATGTATGGAACGTATTAAACGATTAAGAATCAGTAAAGAGGCCAAAAGTAAAGCTGAAAAGAATAGATTACGTGTTGAAGAAGCATTTTTAAAAACAACTCATGCAGCTCGAGCTGAAGCAGCTGCTGCAAGGAAGGAAGAGAAAAAAAGATTGGAAAAAGAAAGAATTTTAAAAGTACAAATTAAGTTATTTGCATTGTTTTTTGAAAAATTAAAATTTTTAAAATAATTTTTCTAGGAGGATCCAGAAAAACAACGAAAGTGGGAGGAGAAAGAGATGAAACGCCAACAGAGGAAAAAGGCTCCACGAATGAAACAATTAAAAGTTAAGTCTATGTAAAAGATAAAACAATTGTATTAATATGCAGTGTTCTTTATCTGTTGGTTTTGGTTATATCAGGTGCGTAATAAGGGTAGATTATTATTTAAATATTTTTGATAGGTATAGTTTGTGACGTGTCTTTGATAATATTGGTATATAATATAATCCAAATCTAAATTTTATGTTTGTTTTTTATTTTAATGTATCATATTTAATTTCTTGTAGTTAAATAATAGTTACTTATTTGTAAATGTTAGGTATATTTTAAACAGACTGCCATTCATATTAAAAAGTATTGTAAGTATTATAAGTCTTGCTTATAATATAAACAAGATGTATTATGTATTCTACATTTATAATAAAAAATGTAATCAATGAACTAATTTATTGAATCAACTACTGTATTAATTAAATTATGTCAAATAATATTATGTAATGGAATAAAATGTGTTCATTTATTATATCGAATTATGTTTTCATTATGTATCTTTTACTGCAATCTTATGTTCAGAATTAGCCAAATGTCAAAATATTAATAAATACAATTTTTTTAATACAATCAATTATATCAATATTGGTTTTTTTTTTAAAACTATTATTTCTAAAGGTAACAATTTGACCTAAATATCATGCATTACTCCATTGGTAGTGCGAGGTTATCATATGTACGTGGTAAGTCAGCATAGTTAGCGAAATACTAACAAATTCCTTATTGAAAACTATTTTCTGACCAGCGTGTTCTAGCCCTACATATAAATGCTCTAGGTACTCCTATATTTTACCTCTATGTTTGTCTTCAATAAATAATTGTCCTGTTATTATCTTCCATTTTCTATTTTTATTTTTGTTCTATAAACATTTAAGAAATGTTTGTCTGATTTATATGCTGTATCTTTGCTACCAATTCTCATTTGTACCTCTTTATCCATGCAGCTTTTGTTTGAGAATAGTTCCATTCTTAAGTTTCCTTCTTTCTTCTATCATTCTGTTTATTTATACTGTTTTCTATTCATCTCTGGGTACTGTAGCTATATTCCCTTTCAGAGTCTTTGATTCTGCATTTATTACTATTTTTAGAATACCCCACCTGTTATTTATGTCAGCCCCTTCATTAATATTTACACTATTCGTATTGCTTAAACATATCCTTTGTCGTCTCCTATTTTAATTTTCTTACACATATGCTAAAAAAAAAAAAAAATTTAAATTAAATGGTACTTAAAATATTTAAATTTAATATTTAAAAATTGTTTTATTTTCCCCATTATTTAATACTAGTAATTATTTTTATTTAGGTAACACATTTAGTTTATTAGGTTTTATCAAAAGTAAAATAGCCTGTATCGGTATTATATGCAAACTATTATTTTAATTAGAAATACATAGTATAGTTATATTAAAGTTAACTTTTACAAATAATAAAAATGTCTTTATATACTTGAATAAATAACTCTTCCATGAATTGTAACCAAGAAAAGGATCTGTAAGTCTTATTCTTCAAAGTTTGTATTTGAGTACCATTTTCATTCACAAGTCGTGTTTGATATAATAATTAATTGTTTGTATTTATTCTTAGCATATATTTTTTCATCATATACACACATTTTTTATACTATTACAATCAATTTACACAGTGAAATAAATGTTCAACAATCCTAAAAATGTAATAATATAATATTTAGTGATCATTTTCTTTTATTTAAAATATACATACACAAACAAATAGTCACTTAAATAAACCTCATATTTTTTAGAGTGGAAAATTATTTTCAAATTGAATTGATAAAACATTAATGTAAGTAATATAAAATGTAGTGAAATATTATTAATACATTATAATTTATTACAACTAATTGATTGATTGTTGGTTGAAATCAATTTAATTAGTGCTGAATATGACAACTTTAGTATTTTGTTATTCTAGTTTGGTGCTTTTTGAAAACACTGATGAATATATTCAGTAAAATTTTTTTTGACATCAAATTAATTGTATTATATTACAAAAGTGTTTCAACTTAGAGTTTGATAACAATTAAATAATTTAACTTTAATAACAAGTGCATTAACATAAAAAAAGACTGACATACACCGCATAATGGGTGGACCACTTTTTTATATGAGAAGTTGGGAAGGTAGGATATAGATGGGAATTTAATTTCTATCTGTACGCAATGATGAAAAACCATTGCTAACAAAAAAATGATTCAGAGCATAGTTTATTTTTATCCATTTACGTACATATTCTGTTGTTTCTACTTTTTTTCCCCAATTATTATAAAAATTACTTGGAAAATTTAAAAATGAACTTATAGTACCACCCTACAGAAAAGGGATTACACTTCTGAATATTTAAACAAGATTTCTGGTATATGTTTACAAAAAAAAAAAAAAAACATCATTGTAAAACCAATACATTACATACACTTACTATATTCATGTTCATGTTTTTGCATTTATAATACCGTTGAAAAATAAATAAAATCTACTTAAACTTAATGTTTATTAATAAATTAAAAATATAAATGATTTTAGGCCATAGGTACTTGTATATAGATATAAAGAAAGACAATACAATTATTTTAATAGAATATACACATATAATTCAAATTTAATTTTAAAAATAGCAATAATTAAATTGTATTTTATTATTCTACATCAAACTTAATCTTATTTTTAAATGGAAATAAGATTAACTATTAATATAAAATTATGTATACATTACTTAAAATATGCAAAACCTAATATATTTGTATTTTAAAGGTACCGTATTAGGTACTTTTAATGTTTTAGAATTAATTGAAGATTTCAAAAAAATGATTTAATCATGTTAACATAATACATATATATCCAATACTGCATTAGATTACAATAATAAATTAACATAATTAGTAGTCATGTACATTGATCATTTAGATCAAAAATTAAACAAAAAAACAATTATATTTTATAGATTCAAATCCTTTCAAGTATTTGATAAATTATAAATTATTTTTATTAGTTTCTCTTTATACATTTGCATTGAAAAATAAAACTTCAATAACTTTTACAAATCAAACCAGGTATTTAAATTTTATGTTAAAAACATAAAAAGAAAATGTTAAATATATCCTAGTGAAATAATTTTAATTTTACATTCACATTCTTACTTTAAAAAAATGAAAATAAATAAATTGATTATTATTTGTTTGTCATAATCAAATTAAAATTATGATAAAATTCATGTCATTATGGTTAAAAAATGTTTATTATTAAATATTAATTGTACCATCTGGGAGATGTATGTTTGATTTTTACTAAAATTGAAATAAATACAACAAAAAAAAAAAAAATGTAAAAAATAATAATTCGTAGACACTCCATTTTAGTAGGGGAAGTAGAATGGCCTTGGGCCTGTAAAAATATTCAAAATATTAAAGTAATTTTAAAAATAGTAAAAAGAAAAGAAATGTACATTCGAAAATTTGTTTAACATACATTGAATTATCACCAAAATTTAGTACTTATAACACAATAAATCAGAAAAAAAACTTCATTTAAGCCCTGAAATAAGCGATTAAAAGAGCAAAAAACTATTGAAAATTTGTTTAACAAAATTCCGAAATAAATAAAAAAGGCACTTTCAAATTTAATATTTTTAACATGACATAAATATCCACATCTGCTAGATATTATGTCAAGCCAACAAAATAAGCAAATACTATTCTTATGCAAGTCCTATTTCATGATTATCACTAATATTTAAAGAAACATTAGTGCATATTGGATAGCTTTTTAAATAATTTTCAGTTAAATTTACAATTTACAAATAAAATGTGTGTTCACAATAGCTTTGGAAATAGTAATGAACCATTATAATTGTTTAATAAATATTATTAATAAATTAACATACACATGTATTTACTGAATATATAAGACTTTTGTGTTTGTAGCCAATTGTATACATTTAAAATAAATATTTGTAAATACAAATAATCTACAAATGTTTTTTAAGCAAAGCATATAAAGTGAATTATTAAATTTATTTTACGTGTGTGTTCTCAATAGGGCTGAGTATTCTGTTAATGAATTATAGGAACATTATTATTGTAATTAATTATATTAATTAATTCTCAAATTTAATATAAGGTTTGGCGTATTCACACATACTAAACAACCACTATTTTAATAACTTTAATAATAAAAATAAATTGTAAATAACAATATTTATTATATTATTATAGTTCAATCTTCAAAACATGTAATTTGTTTGACCAGAAAAATAATAAACATGTTTATAAACGTTAATTAAATGATAGCATGAAATAATGATGGCATGGCATGCATAAATTATTACAATTATCAACTTAATTCTTGAATCAATTGTGTGTCAGATATAATGGAAATATTTTAATATTTAAAGGTATTATTTATCTATATAAATATTGTCGTTCTGATTATTATTACATTTAAAATCTAACTATTTTTTTGGAAATATATAATGATTTTACACACATTAAATTAATTGTTAATGACAACATTTTATTTGTTTCCATTAATTTATACTTATTTAGGTTAACACCCGGGGTATGATTTTACCATAACACTCAGGGCCAGTCTGCTACTGGTTATGACACACATGTACAAAATACATTGACGATTATACACATGCAAACACAAATTAAAGCTATTACAAGAGATGGGTCAAACTCGATGTTTTGTGGTAAAAGTGAACTTGGTCACATTTAGCAGGGATATAGATAGCAACCTGAAGACAAATAAATTCTCCAGTATTGGTGCTTAATTTAGGCCTTAAAATTAAATTAAGTAAGTTTAGTTTATTTCTAGGTTATGATGGTTAAAGATGAAAAAAAAGTTATTACTATAAAATTTGGTTAACACGAGCAAGAAAAAATAAAAAAATATTGAATTTATTAAACACACAAGAACTTTAGAAACTTAATAAATGTGATTATTGGTGGTGATAATATCTTTGAATTTATAATTTTCTGTATCATACAGATAATATTACTAAAAACATATATTATTATAACTTGTTTTCATGCATAAATATATATATATATATATATATATATATATATATATATATTATAATATCAATTGTTGTTATCTAGATCTGTGTTTCTCAACCTTTTTACTGCCGCGGCCCTCAATATACATTTTATACATGGCGATCCAATATTTTATATTTTTAGTGACATTAAATGATTAGTTAGCGAGCGACCCCAAAAGGGATCAAAGCCCCCTAAGTTGAGAAACATTGATCTAGATTATTCCTGGATAATATTAATAATAAAATATCTCGAAAATATATTGATATATCCGATAGATTAAATGATACAAATATTGTTATTTAACTAATGATATTAAACTACTAATTTATAAATCTGCCTATTATTTTGATGAAACAAAAATAATACAGCTTTTTATTTAACATGTTTATTACTGTAAACCATAAATATGGATAATGTAGATTATATTAAGTTATAATATATATCACAATACATTACTGTCATATTTGTATGTATATTTTTAGATAAGAATTCTAAAGTAATTTAGAGAATATTGTCATAATCCGCAGGACTTAAATTTGTGTTAACAATATGGGGAATATGAATATAAATATACCAATCATACTTAAAAAGTGTGCAGTTTCTCTAGTACACCATAGTGTAATTTTTCAAATCTCAAATTCAAGTCACTATAAATAAGATATTTAATTAATTAAAAAAAAAAAAAATGGTTGCTTTTTATTACTGACGATTTAAGAAACACATAGAGAATAATTTAATTTAAATTGTTGTTAACTTAAATGGTTCTAAAACAATACAACAACATACTCATGTCAAACCACCACAATGTAACAAATAATTATTAATTTATGGAACTTACGTGGATATGGCCAACCAGATGGTGGTGGAGCTTGAATGGGTGGCCTTCTTGGCCTCCATGCACCCATCGAGGGAAAAGGTGGTGGTCGTAGTGGAATCATCATTGGAGGGAAAGGTCTTGGTGGCGGTGGCAGTCGCACAACTCCAGGTGGTGGAGGATAGATTGGTTGGGGTTGCTGGAATGAAGGTTGTTGCGGTTGCTGTTGATCCTAATGAAAGAAATAGTAATCATTGAACATTTTGAAATTAATTAATTCAATATTATACTTGTAATGTAGATTTAGGATTGGATTGAGATCGTCTCTTTCTATCTTTAGCTTCTCGTTTACGCCCTTCTTGATTTTTAATAGGTCGTTTTCTAGTATTATCTAACATAAAATAATATTTAATAAGAATAATCAACATTTAACAAGTATTTCAAATAAAACATAAAACCGTATCATATTAAAACTTTAAATATGACTGAAAAAAAAAAGTAAAAAAATAAAACTAATCAATAACTGATAAAACAAACTATTAAATTCTAAGCAAAGTGAGGAATGTATTGATTTAATAATGATGTTTATTTTTGATTAAGATTATTATACTGTGTATAAAAATCTACCAGAAATCTTGCTCTGATTTTTAAGTAGCATTTTTTTTGAAAAAAAATTCTCCCAAGTTAGTACACAAGAAGATTATTTTTCGATTCTTCAAGCAGTTTCCAAATTAATTAGGCAAAAAGGTAAGAAAAATGTGAAAATGTATTAAAATAACCTTTTATTATTTTTAACTTTATTTTTGGTTGGAATTCAGTTAAAAATCTTAGTAGAGACTTGAAATTTGTATAAAATATTATATTTGCCTTTTATACAGGTGGTACAATTTTCAGACATTTTTGAGCTATTTATAGACATTTTCATTTTGTAAATCTTTTTACGTAATATTTCTTTAGTAAATACTCTGTGGATAAAATTGTTAGACCAAACAGAAATACTTGACAATTCAATAGGAGGTTCATTACAAGTTATAAGTAGTGGTCAACAAAAAAATATTTTAATTTAGTGTATTATTTTTTTAAAAAAAATTTTAGTATCAAATTTTTGATGAAAATTGTAAATATTACAATCTATTAAAATATGTATAACCAAACTCCATTTAGAATCGTTTTTTTATTTGTAATGATTAATCGTTGAATACAAGAATACATTGTATTCCCTTCTAAATCCTACCTTCATAAATTCTCACCAACAACAATGGCCTTCCCATCATTTAAAGTATGTATGTCTTGTTTGGTATTATTTATATAAAGTTTAATACAATTCTTATATTATTATTAAAGTGTTTTTTTTTATAAAACAATTAATTTCATCTAAGTGTTAAAAAACCATTTTATCACATAAATTTATATTATACTATATTGTTATTATTATTATTCACAAATTCAGTTATTTACATTATAATTAATATGTTTATTTAATTTACACTAACTAGAATCTGAATATTATATAATTAGTAAAGATTAATGTTAGAAACACTATGAATATCTTGTATTATAATAGTAACTTTAATTGTTTGAAGGACAAACCTTTACGCTTTATAGGTGATCGTCCTGGAGATGTTCTTTTTCTAGGAGAAACATGACGACGTCTATCTCTTGAACGATCACGTCTAGGTGGTGATGAACGTCTTCTCCGTAAACGATCATTAGGATATGTTGGACGGTCTCTTAAAGGAGGAGAAAGGTCCCGCGATGATGGTGGTGACACGGGCAATTGGCCATGACTGGGAGAAAATGAACGATTATTGGGTGATGGACTTTTAAAAGAATAATTATTTCTAAAATATCCAGGAGGCGATCTACTACGCCTTGTGCGACTTTCAAAACGAATTGAATCATCCTTCATACGGTGTCTACTGTGATCACCTGATCTAAAACGGTGCATATCTGGTGATCTAGGTTCTGGAGGACCAGAAGAAAAGTTATTCATTTTGTGTCTAAAAAAAAACCCATGAAATTAAACGTATAAATTTAATATAATGATTTATTTTATTATGTAACATTAATTAATATGGGAGTTATTAACTGATCTGTGAAATCCCTAGATGGACGTTCATGAACTTTCCGTTCTGGAGAGCGTTTTGGTCTATCTCTGTGTAACATATTGTCAGAATGAAAACGATCTCGTTCAGGAGAGTAAGGTAGAGGAGGAGAAGGTGGACGACTAATATTACTTTGTGGAGATATACTCCGATCACGAGGCATTACCCTTGAAGGACTCAATGAATGGTTCATTCCATAATTCTTATCTAAATTTAAATTATTTCATAATTACTATAAATATACCTAAAAAGTAATTTAACTTTATTTTATTAAGAAAATTAAATATACTGACCTCCATTATCATAATGCATTCGAGTTGAATTATAACATGATAGTTGTCGATCATCAACATGTTGATGGTTTTTTTCTCCTATAATTTCATATAAAAATATAAATGTTTTCAAAATTGTAATGAAAAATTAATTAACGGAAGATGTGTGTCATAAATGTTGCAATACAATTGTTTACAAAATTTGTATTATTTTTTATTTTGTAATACAAACCTAATGGATAGAAATCAGGAAAGTGTAGTAAGAAATATTTAAAGAAGTTTAATTGGACAGTTAAAAATCAAATTTAAAAATACATTGAAATGTATTCAGAACATTAACATGTTAATATTTCATGATCAACTTATTTACTTAAAATTATAATATGATAAAGAATATTTTAAAAACCATCAAAAAAGAACATAGCAATAGGCTGAATATATATGAAGAGAAATCAAATAACACTGTTAAGGACAGTTCTGGAAGAACATTCCATAGGAAAGTCTATTGGGAAAATTGAAAATTAGGCGGGAAGAAGTGGTTAAAAAGGATGAAACTTGGCGATGACTAGAAATAATTGTTGAATTAGCTGTGAAATGGTACAGTAGTTTTGGTACAGTTTTAATAAATCCCGGAACATAATAATATGTTAATACAATTATTTTCACAAAACCAAAGAATTTTGTCTTACCTCAATTTTTCCAATTCCGTCTTTGAAAAGTAAATAAATTTAATTATTTTATTTTATAATCAATTTTTAAAAAACAACATTTTTGGCTAAAACAGTACTTTTCAATTTCATGTTCATAAACAACAAATTTCAAAAGCAATATGCTAAGATTTAATTTCAAGTCAAAAAAATAAACAAATGCTCCAAGTTCCAAACCCTGATAATAATAAATTTTGTATGAAGACTGATCATTTAAAAAGAAAACGATTAATTGATATTATAATACCACAATATATTGATTTGTTTACCACGATAAAATGTAAGTATACAATTACAATGTGAATGGCCATTTAGATCCATAAGATTTGAAGTTCACAAAAAGGATATAGAAGGTAAAGAATTTAATAGCTGCAGGAAAACTAGCTGTCAAAGGAATCTAAATGGCCTTGATCACCATGGGTCAATTAGTTTCCATATCAATTAAATCCTCATCGTAAAGAGGTCATTTTTTTATTTTCCCAGGGGTTTTCTTTATAAATGGGAAAAATGTAGAAAAAGGAGAAGATTTACAAAATGTAAAATTTTCAAATCCTAAATATTACGGCTTTTCAAACATGTTTAACCGAACTCTACTCAGAATCGTTATTTGTTAGTAATGATTAATATTTGCATACAGATATACATTAAAGTTCCCCTCTATCTTCCCAACTTCTCATCTACAACAGTGGCCCATCAATCGTGTGAAGTAGGTCAATATTTTTATTATTGCAATAGATAAGGTATATATTTTATATTACCTATTTCAAAGTATTTGATGGTGAAAATTGAATAGTCATGATTTTGCAAATGTTAATATTTTTTTTCTCAGCAATTTATAAATTTTATAATTATTTAAAATTTATGTTTTGTAAAGTAGAAGATTAATTAAAACAATAAGGGTATAATTAAACATATTAAAATTAATTTATGATTAAAAAATGTAAATTATTCTTTACTTAGTAGTTTATGTAAAAAATTCACAAAATGTAAAAGCAACAATTATAGTATAAAAATTATTATATGATAATGAATAAAATAAAAACAAAATAAAAGGAAGTTTGTGTGTCTATAACGAACAGCTAAATGATATCCAGAGGTCTAAAATTATGAACATGGATGACAGATAGGGATTCAAAACCATTTCTGATCTGAATAAAGCAATTAAAGATAAAAAATAAAACATTTATGCATTCCAATTTTAATAGAACAGAGGTTCCCACCTTCAGATTGTGAAGGTTGTTATATGGTAGATCGGGGAAGCATGTTTCACATTTTATTTAATATTTAAAATTTGGTTAAAAAAAAAAAAAGATCAAGTAAGAAAATATCATAAATAATTTGGTTTAAACCCATGCAATTTCTATTTTTGTTCACATTTTCCAGAACTGTCACAACTAGAGCTGTACATTTTCAAAAAATTATAGACCATTTGTTAATTAAATATAAAACACTTACCAACTTATTTATAAAATAAAAATACTAACTGTTTAATATATTAATATTACTTAAAAATATTGTATATTATAAATTTAAAAAAAAAAAAATTAGAAAATTAAAGATAATCTTTACAAATTGTTTAATACAATTTGCATTCTTACATTACATACATTATATATTTTTATTATATAATACAATATAGTATATTCAATACAAGAAGTTAAAAACTAAATATTAAGATTAACTATTGTTATAGATAATAATCTATTAACCATAATAAATTACTACCATAACAACATAAAACTGAAAAATGTCAGTTGTTGAAAATTTCAATAATAATAAAAAATAAAATTTCACATGTACATTTTCAAGCTTACAACTCTAGTCATGACATTCAATCTGCCCTATCGTTGTTTAGTGTTTACATAATATAATCCATTAACATAGTATAATATGTTATTTTAAATTTTAGTATGGTTAAATGTGTTCAGCTGTAAAAAAAAGGAAAGTTTGAAGTTCTGTTTTAAATAGAGTTTATTGTGTCCTCAATGTGTGTTCTGCTTGCAAGTTTTATTAGAAAAATACAGGAAAGAAAATAAACTCAAGAGATAACTCAACTCTGTTTATTAAACAATGATTAATAGTTATTACTATTTTGGAATAAACATGCAAATAAAATAGAACGTATGCGGTTTGGCTGTCTGTCAAAATCAACTAAAATTTCATAAAAGAAAGCTGTAAAGGCATCATTTGATGTTGCAAATTTAATTATGATGTGTGGGTATGTAATCAAATTGGCTTTTATAAGTGATACTTTTGAACTGCTAAATGAGTTGAATATTGAAAAATAAAAAACAGATAATGGTTGAGATTGACGAAAAAATATTATCATTTAAATCAAAATTGCACTTTGGCAGGAAAATTACTAAATTTTTTAGTCTTAAGTGAATTTCTAAAAAATTCAATAAAATCTATATTAGATGATTTAAAATTCCTTCTTCAAGAATACTTGGAAAAATTAAAGTTTGAACTTGACCAGTACTACAATACCATCGAATATACCATGCTCGGTTAATTCAGTTGGGATCTTCAAACTAATTAAGTTTTTAAAGAAAATTGTTGGTCCAAAATTAATTTTAGCTACAGCTCAAAAACAAATCTATATTGTCAAAAGAAGCTGAAAATACTTAAAAACTATTCCCAACAACATACCTATGTAGAGCTAGGTTTTTTGCTTTAGCAATCATAAAATCCAAGTACAGAAAACCAATTGATCCTCAACATGGTGGTGTGCAATATTGTATAATATTCCAACCAATATTTAAGAACTTGTTAAGTGTTCAGCATCAAGGAAGTCATTAAAATATTTAATTTGAATAAAAGGTAATTATTTTTATAATATTGTAATAATTATATAGTTATAAAAATCAAGTTATTAAATAAAAATTATGATTTATATTATTATTAATAATATTTATGGATCGCAAAAGGATTAACTTAAAACTAAAAGATTGTGAATCGTTGCTATAGACTTTAAAATTAAGACATTCATTATTATTGTTTTGGTTTTCATGCGGAAATATTAGTAATAATATGAATGCATAATGAAGTTATTTGCTGTTAAATAAATTCTCATCCTCTTCTTTACTATTAAGTCCACATCTATTGTGTTATATTAAAGTGAACCACAACAGCTTCAAATCTTTACCTATATGTTTTAACTAGTTCTCAACAATTATCTACACAAGTATTATTTTTCTAATAATCCATAAAATTATAAATAAAGTAATCAACATTATGTTTATAACAAAAACATAGAATTACCATTAAAAGCCAAATTTCCAATTTGTTCATAAAAGAAAAAATACATTTTGAAAATTTAAAAAAATATAGGTAAAAACTAAAAATAAAATAAATTGGCACATTGTTTGTGTATGTTTGAGTAATGTATAGCCAAATGTATAACAAGTTGAGTTCTGAAATTCTGAACACAAGTAGATAGATGTCCAATAACAGCATAAAACTCAAAAAATTCCAAATGCTCACTTGAATTGATTAACATTGATTACAGAATTATATATATATATATATATATATATATATATAAAAAAAGATTATTTATTATTTATATTGACATCTGGTTGTAAAAGACAGTAATGTGAATTATAAAATAAAAAGTTGTTCTCGAATACTAAGGGAGTTAACGCATTTTTAATAATTCAATAAATTTTTTAATCAACGATTTACAATAATATAATAATAATTTATAATACATTCCTGAAACTTTATTATAACATAGACAAAAAAATGTATAGTGGAATTAAATAACAAATTTTAGTTATACATTTTAACAAAATAAATGTTTCTTTGATTTAAAAAAAATCATATTCTATATAATTAACCTGTTATTTGAACAACTTTCCTTTGAATTTTTAAATATTTTAGTATTCAATTTTTAATAATTGGTTTTTTTTTAATCTGTAAAATTGATGTTATAGCAATTATTAATTTTTGTACACCGTAGCATTAATTTTTAGTTTAATATTTTTCTAAAATTATTGATATGGATATTTTAACCAATTGAATTTTAATAATTTTTAATTTAGAAGTGTATAATGCAGTGTAATCAAATTTTTATGGAGTAGAAAAATGTGTCCATGACCCTTCAAACTTTATATCTGAACTTTAAAAGTAATGTAATGCATAGCCTTGAATAACATTCTTGAGTTTTCAATGCAGTTGCCATAAAATGGTGTCACTTTGCTTTTAAAATAAATCAGAAAAATATAAGTAAATTGGAAATATGAGTCAAATAAATTGAATTAATTTAAATATATTTGACCAATCAATATTTTTTTTTATTTATAGTAAATTAAAATTAATAATTATCAAGAAAAACGAATGTTTAATAAAACAATAAAAAAATTATACAAAATTCATTATTTATCAAAATATTAACACATTAAATAATTTTAATCTTAAAGTGAAGAAATATTTTACATGGCTGCCATAAGAAAATTGAAATAATTATACAACCAAAATAATTATTTAATAATAATAAATTAACTTAATTTAAATTTGATTTGAACTTTTAAATTCTAAAACATATGTGATCAATGACTCCCATTTGGCTGATACTGCATATTCATTAAACAATATTATAATAAATAATAAAACCTAGATAAAATTATAATTTTTATTTAAAACCTACAATATGAATAATCTAGAGATATTATAAGCACAACATGATTATTACATGTTTAATTTAAAGATGAAGTTAAAAGAAAAAAACTCAATGGTGAAAATTGAGATATATGAAATAAACTTATATCGATCACCACAAAAATCCAGGAATAAAATTGAATTGTGTGATATCATTAAAAGAAATTAAATTAAATAAACATATTATAAGAGCACAAATACAAAAAAAATATCCTAATAGTTTTTAGTATGATTCCTTGAATCGATTAGGCAAAACAAAGTCCAACTGTAAAAAATAATAATATTCTTAATAAATTAGTATTTTCCAACTTGAATTGAATTACAAGAAATTTCTTGTAATTTGAATTACATAATACTAAATTTTATTTTGCCATTAAAAATAATATTCTTTGAAACAAATAATTACCTACCTTTTGATCTATTAGCTACTGAATCGTCAACTACATATGCCTGACGAAATGAATCATTTTGTTGTACATCAGCTCTGATCATTTGTACTCTAATGTTTTTTAGTTTGTCCTTCACAAGATCTCGTAAAACATCAGTTTCTGGTCCTCTAAACATTGGTTTTTCAGGAGCACTTTGTGACATATACCTATTAATTAACATACACCACACAAATATATACTATACAATAAAATATTATGTTTACTTTAAAGATAAAATGAATCTCCAGTTATTAAATACAATTTAAAATTGGTAAAGTTGATATTGTTATTATTATTTTACTCTAAGCTTAATATAATACTATTTTACCAATATTATGAATTATAATTATGTATTTATTTCATTAAAATTAAAATACATATTATACATATTATAGTATCTAGTGAATATTAAATAGATAGAAAGTCAATGATGAAATACTGTTTTTTCAACATATCCTAAGTAATATATTAACAGTCTTATTTGCTCGTTCAGTTACATAATTAACAATATTATTAAAAACACACAAACTTAATAGCAAATATTGAAAATATTTTTAATTAATAAACTGCAAAATAATTAATATTATTGTTTTAATAAATTTAGGAAATGTCAAAATGACCTGCACTTTATTTGTTTATTTTAATGACAGATTATAACGGTTTTATTTTAACATTTTATTGAAATTTAGAATTGCATAGATATTAAATACCTATTATACCAGCTGAATGACTCATATATTTGTTGATTTTATATTTAATTAATTTACAGAAGCATATCCTGCTTAGTCAATTAAATCAACACAATATTATAGGCTAATTTTTCTAATTTGTATATTACATTTATTAGAGTATATTCCTACAAAATAAGCATATATGCCTATATTTATTGTGTACATAAACAATTCATTTTAAGAAATTAACTAGCAGAAACACATAAAAAAAGGGATATTCACCAAGATAATATATAAACCCTTAATTTAAAACGATACCTAAATTTTACTTGGAATTAAATTATTTTCATACCTATCAGCAGAAGGAACAAAATGTTTTACTATGCGTGTACCCTCGCCTGAGTCCTGCCCAGGATTCATTTTATTTCCATTGCCTCGAAATTTATTCATTGAGTGATCTAAATTCTTATAACCATCATCATCATCGTCTGTTAATATGATCGGACTATCACCTACATTCCTAAAGTGACACACAATACTAAATTATTTAGTTATATCTAGTGTAAAATATAAACGTGTAAAACTATTACTAACATATTATGTTTTTGATTAGAAGAATTTTCATGTGTGTTTCCACTAGATTTTTTAATATTATCTTTGGAATGGGGTGAACGTCTTCCAGAACTGGAATCACTCCTATATAAATATCAATGAAATAAATAATTACACACATAAATTGGTTAAAATCAACCAATATTTTTATTAAAAAAATTTGATTTGGGTGAATTATTAATAATTTCATAAAACAGCTGTCAGTTAATACATTATGATATTATATTGTAATAAGTTATATTCCTATAAGACATTTCCTCATCTGAAAAATAACTTAAATAGGTAACTATTATAACTCAATGTGATATACTCAAATGTATATCCGTTTAAAACATTTTTTTTTTCGTTTATAACACTATATTTGTGCAGTTTATAGTAATTGAATCATGATTCAATTACTATAAACTGAATGTATAAATACTAACATTTAAGAACTATAATGGTATAAAACCTTGTTTATTAGTTTTACATTATATTTTGTATAGTTTATAGAATTTATAAAATTAATAATAATATTATGTTAAAACCATAAGACTATTCAGTACTTATTCCTTAACGCTTTGTTATTATGATGTAAATTTTTTTTTATTAGTTTTAATTTTTAATTAAAATGTTTTCTTTACAATGACGCTTCTTGTATCTGTCCATAATACTATAGGACACTTTTTATAGTCTCGTAACTATCAGTTATATACAGGTTTTGGTATTTAAAAACAGATATACTTTGCTAAATGGGTGGTCCACTGTTGTAGGTGAGAAGTTGGGAAGGTAGAGGGAAAATTTAATGTATATCTGTACGTGACGATTAATCATTAAATCATTGCTAACTAAAAACGATTCTGAGCGGAGTTCAGTTATATATGTTTTGAAAGGCTGTAATGTTTACTATTTAAAAATAATACATTTTGTAAATTTTCTTGTTTTACCATTCATTATGAAAAACTCTGGAAAAATCAAAAAATTATCTATCTAAAGTACCACCCCCGTCAGATTTTCTTTCAGAAAATGTGCTAAACTTGAAAATCAGGGCACAATTTTTGATAGAAAAGTTATTCACAAAAAAATAATTAAACATATCAAGAAAATGTCTAATGAGGATTTGTACATATCATATTATAAAATATAATAAGTATATTCGAATAATCAATCTGAATAATTTATAATCAGTTTTTATTTTGTGGTATAAGTACATATAAAGTTTATTTATTTGCCTTCTTAACAATATCACAGAACAACTCCGATTTATTTAGATGATTGAATTATTTAAATGTAAAAGTTTACATTTAATTAAAAATTGGACAAAAATTGTTTAACATAACTATATACTATAAAAATTAAAATCATTACTCATTTCTAATGCAACTCATTATTGAAGTTATACTCTTATTATTTCTCATTATTCAAATGTTTATATTAATAAATAATAAATTTCATTTTAGTTTAATATAAAGTTTTTAAAATTAAAACATTTTGGTGAATTATATAATCATTTATCGATAAGTAAATTGGCTACATCCGAATTGCATCCTTAGGAAAAAAAATACATATATGACAATCAAATTGAGCAGAAGAGGTCTTTTTTGATGTTTGTCCAACTTTTCGATCAATTACTGGCTACATATCTGGAATTGTAGCAGAGGTTTTCTCAAGTTCGAGTTGCACCCACAATAAATAGTTATTTAGGTAATTCTGATCTGTATTAACAACATTGTTGAGTATGAAATGTATTTAGGCAAGAGAAAATAGTAGACAGATATATTTAGTATAATATTTACGTTGTACGCGAAGATCCGGCAACTTGATAGTCATTTCTAGATTTCCGTTGTGATTGTGTAGGTGAAAAACGACCAACAGAATGACGACTTGATGATCTTGGTTCTTTTCCTCTTTTAGGCATATTGCAAATTGTTCTGTACTTATTTTAAATAGAATAAACTAATTACAATAATCTATTACAATAAAAATTTTAAAAATTGCTCAATATTTGTACAGGGTTGAACAGAAATCCATATAAGTCAAATAATAACAAATAAACACATATAACAAACAATAAAAAAATCTGACTTAGTAATTCTTTGATATTTAAAATTATAATCATATTTATATCAGGACTACTTAAAACACGATCTAAGATAAACCTTAGATTCTTATAGATATTTCAGTTCGTGATTAAATATCCTTTATCAATTTATCATACTATTCATAATACAACTCAAATTACAACCAACTCATTAATAACGGTAGTCCGATAGTAAAGCCACCAGAATGTTGCAAACTCACATTAGAAATGCCGGTGATGAATTGATGAATAATAAAACAAGAGCACATATAGGACTTGTTGGAGGTTCGACTAGCCGACACAAAATGACACTGATACGTCATGTTGGTAATGGAGTACGAGAATGTTCTGTTGGAATTACTATTACTTTGAACCACGTTGTGCGCATGTACATAGATAAAAGATTATACTACGTATACACTGTGCCACTGTGGGGCTCGAACTCGGAACATGGACCACCGACTGTGGACATCAGCCATCAAATTATTGATCGTCGCCCAGTAGTATGACTATCGCAAAACAACCGAGGCAGTTTCCTCAGGGCATAAAGTTTTTTGCTTTGCTTAAATAGTTACATCTGTGATAGGGGCGCTGGAATTATCAAGTATAGGTATTTAATTAATTACCATACTAAACATTATTACTATGCAAATTTGTATATACTTTCTTAAAAATATTTCACATATATATATAAAATATCAGACCACTCTTAGTCAATCTATCTCAGACCCTTAAGAAATTACTAATTTATTCAATCACTTTTTCTAACGTCAGACGAAGTATTGCAGAAAATATTAAAAGTAATGGCTTTCTGTCTAAATATTTTAATGTTTTAATTAATAACTGTTTTTATCAAAAATAATGAAAAATTCTTTATTTTTAAACCCAATTGATTCGTGTGAAATTATCAGTTTAATAAAAAATTGTAAACATTTCTCTTCTTATTATGAAGGCTTTTAACTATTGAAATATTTAAAAAAAACAAAGGACAATATTTCAGTGCCATTATATCTATATTATTCAATAACTGTTTCATACTTGGTGTTTTTCCCTCTACTTGCAAAAAATCAGTTGTTATACCCCTCTATAAAGGTTCTGATAATACAAATCTTTATAATTATAGGCCCATAACATTAACATCTACAATTTCTAAACTTCTTGAAAAATGTATTAAAACTAGGATTACTGACTTTTTAAATAAAAATAACTTTTTCAACAAAAACCAATTTGGATTTAGGCAAAATCTTTCTACTTCATATACCACTACTAAATTTATTTATGATAATTTGGAACTAAAAACCATACCGTTGGCGTATTCCTTGATCTAAAGAAAGCATTTGATTCAGTGAATCATAATTTATTGCTTAATAAACTTGAGTACTATGGTATAAGAGGTATTATTTTAAAACTATTAAAATCATATCTAATTGGTAGATCTCAGTTAGTTAGAATTAATAATACTTCCAGCAATGAGTTATATAAAGATTATTCAGTACCTCAGGGGACCATTCTTGGCTCCTTGCTTTTCATAATATACATAAATGGCTTGCTTAGCTTTAATATTGATTATGAGATTTTATGTTTTGCTGATGATACCGTCACTTTATTTAGTGATGCTGACTTATATAAGTTGGAAAAAGTTGAAAATGGTATTAGCTTAATCAAAAACTGGCTTGATAATAATTCCTTGAAACTAAAGCTGTCTAAATCCTATTTTGTTCAGTTCAAAATTAGAAATTATCACACATTTAATCTTGATAAAATAAAAATGTATTTACTTAAATACAATAACACTTCATTGGATTGTTCTTGTCCTACTATTTCTAAGGTCACATCAGTTAAATATTTAGGCATCCATTTCGGTGAATTTTTAAAGTTGGATGTATACATTTCTTAACTAACAAAAACAGTTTGTACAGTTTTCTTTATATTTAAATCTCTAAAACATATTTTAAATAATAATCTTAAAACCATTGTCTTTAAATCACTCGTGCTTTCATTAACTTCATATGGTATTGCCTTTTAAGGTAATGCATTCACATTGTTGTAAACTTCAAAACACAATTAATTCTTTAGTTAAATTTCTTTTTAACAAGCCTAAGCTTTACTCTACATCTTTACTTCACAATGAATACTCCTTCTCTAACATAAAATTAAATTTTATTTTAAATCTTTGTGTTGCTGTATTTAGATATAAAACCACAATTAATCTTCCATCTCATAATTATAATACTCATCATATACAAAATATCAACACATATGATCTTGTAATTTAATAAATTAATACAATTTACTATGCATTATTTTTTAAAAATAATGGAATTTAAAAAAAAAAAAAAAATGTTACATTTATCCCTTGTTATGTTTTTTACTATTTTTCTTTAATATTAAATTATACAATTTTAATTTATATAATTATATAGGTACTCAGCATTATATTTGACTTAATTTGATTCTTGTAACTTAAGAACTCACCCCTCCAGTCACAAGCTTGCTTTTTGGAGGAGTGTCATACTTGTGAATTTATCAATTAATTATTATGTTTGCTCTTTTGTATGACAATAAACTACAGATTAATATTATTATTAAATGTATTAGATATAAATAAAAATAAAACCTATGTATTTTGTAAATGCAAATTTACTAAATTTAAAATTAAACCGAAATTTTCAATTTAATTTGGCCTGTATGGGTTCATTTCCCTAAGAAAAAAAAAACAATTACTCTTTTAAAAACAGTCACATCACTATTATTGTGACAAAGAGTATAAATTCTATTGTATATTAAAGGTATGAAAAATATATTTTTCTTCAGAAAATATTAGAATAAAGTTATTTTTGAAATTTTTTAATTAAAAAAAAAATTAATTCAAATGTAAATATTTGTACTTCTCTTCTCTGTGAGTAATAAAAAAAAAAAAAAAAATTTGATTATCTTTATTATCTCCGGAGGTATTCAAGGAATATATCTTCGTGGGACAAACTGTATTTAACACCTAAAGCTTTTTACCATTCAACTTTTAAAGGGATTATCTTTGATACCTCAAACGTACTAATTTTTAAACCGATATGACAGTAGATAGCTAAACAACATGACATGATTTTTCATGTAAATCACAATAACTAGTATAACGTGGAACTACTTTTGAAAGTGCATAAATATTTTATTTTTTAAACACTATAAAAATAATAATTATACCCTAGTGAACTAGGTTTGCATATGGTTGTATTTTTAGTTGTGATCGTAATGGTTGTATGCTTTTAAATTAGGCGGGAATATAATTTCACATAATATTGTATTATATCATTATTTTCACGGACATAGAGCGCACTAAGTTAAGTACACAGATATAAAACAACTAGATAGCCGACTGCTATTGCTATAGTTTATACCAGTGGTTTTCAACTTGGGGGCCGCGAGTGATAGGGAGTCACTGTACATCGTATTATTCGAGTTCTATTAGTGGATTTTGAAGAGGTCATCATAAATGAGAAAAGAAATTAGGGGGTCGCGATTCGAAAAAGGTTAAAAAAACCACTGGTTTATACAACGGTTTAAGACACGATTAAAAATATTATACTTGTGAGGGGGCGTAAAAATTGGAAATATTTTGTCGAAAAGACATGATATATTTTCGTAATCATAGGAGTGACCTTGATAATATATTAAAAGTCAACAATTCAAATGACTAGAATAGATCGAGGATTGCATTCATAGATATAAAAGTGGTATATTGTGAAAGAGGGGTTCGACCTGCACTATATGTTGAAAGTTTCTCCGAAAGGTTTTCTGATTACATTCGTTTGCAGTTTCACTAGATCGTGTGAACAACGTGTTCACGACGCGTATTGGTTAATCGGCGACTGAAGCCAATGATGACGATTTTCGTCGCGTTTGACTTTGAAATTCTTTCTAACGCATGTAAAAGAGTTTTACTTCAAAAAAAAAAAAATAGACATCATTGTAAAATACAAAAAACAATACATTCCTCGCACCGCTCCATTGAGAATACAAAACAAAATTTAAATAATAACAGAATTATTTTCGTAAATTTTCCCATAATTTCTACGTATTTTCCGGTTTTTCCTAATTATTACAGAAAAAAAAAACAAAAAACGAATAACTTACGCATGGACTAAATTAAAAATACGAAAAAAAAAGTTTCTTCTCGTTTATCCATTGGAGTAATAGTTATAGTAGAAAATATATAAGCCGTAAAAATTAAAAATAATGAAATCGTTGTGCGGTAATTTGAAAAAAAAAACGTATATTCCGTATTTTTCGGTTAATTAATTTACTAACTAAAATCATACCATAAAATACCAAAATTCTTGTATCAGCTACTTTTTAAGGGTCTAATTTTAGAAATTTCAATAGTTATAAATCCTATTCGGATCACGCGGGATATTTTGTAAAAAAACCTATTAAAATCGGTCCAGTAGTTTTTGAGGCAATAAGAGACATACAGACAGACAGGCATTTGTCGTTTAATTAGTGGTGATATCTATCAATATAGTTAATATAAATTGTAAAACATTGTTTTATATAATAATGTATGAAAAGATATATAGTAAATTTATTGTAATGTTAATAATAATAGAACAGCTAATACTAATAATATAATTATATCTATAATTAATTTTCATTGTAAAATTGACGGAGTGAAAAAAATGAGTGCTCTGAATTTCCTTCTATTTTTAATCAGACTTCAAAGTCGGCCACCTTGATCAGATTACTGCAATACGTGTAAAGTAATTAATTTTTTTAGCGCCTTTTAAATAACTTCATATAGTGCAATTATGCATATTTATTGCCTATAAACCGCCTTTATAGCTATTTAACGAAGTTTGGAAGTCACTGGACTTTTTTATCAAATATTGGCAATATTGCTTGCAAAACTTGTTCTTATTATCAGTGACTAAAACGTATGTTAATTATGATTTAATTTAATTGAAGTTTACTTATTCTGTGATAACAGATAAAATCTTGATATGGTGATATAATCAAATTAACGTTCATTTTTTTAAATTGTTTTTTACTTTATTAATTACTTACCGCAATTATTGTTAACAACTTATAATATTTATTTACATAATAATATATTGACTATTTGTCAATTATAATTGTTCTTCCCTTATTCTGTAAAATGGGTGTAAAAAATCTTTGGTCACTTCTAACACCAGTGAGTGAAAAAATGCCTCTTTGGGATTTGCAAGGAAAGGCAATAGCCATAGATTTGAGCGGCTGGGTGTGTGATAGTGAAAATTGTAGCCAAACCACGAATCAAAAAAACATGTACTTGAGGTAAACAATACATATTATCATTATGAGGGTATTTAATTATAATAGTATAATACATTAGTTTAAAATGTAAATATTTTTAAATCTCATTATTTTTTATAGTGAAAAGTGAAACAACTTTATTATTAAATAATTGAAGTATAAGATAATTTTGTAAATATAAGTTATACTGTATTGTACACTCCACTTGTTCCTTAATTAATCTGATCAAAATTTGTGTTTCATAAATTTTATTGCGAGTAGTTAAATTAATAATTGAATTGACAATATTTATTAACAAATCGTTTTCACCAGATGGATCATTCTTCTAAATGTCCCATCTAATCGACCAACTGCATTGATCTTCCATGGTACCAGATTCATTTTTATTTTTTTTAGAGGTTTTAGTAATATTGTTATGCCTGAAAATTACAGATTACAATAAATAAAACATGAAAAAGAAAAAGAAGAAAAGTACAGAATTTAGATAACAAAACCAACTTCCAAAGATAAAAGAGATAATTAACGTAATAACATGTTTGGAGTTGGAATTTAGAATAACAGAAGGATTAAGAGGAATATTTAAAGAATTAAGAAAGACAAATAGAATAAGGTGTTTTACAGATAAAGTCAGTCAAAGTAGATATGAGATAAATCCGAAGTATTCTCCTCCATATGAAGTGAACACAAGGGAAAATCATTAATTTTAAGTTTTGAAGGTGTAAGAAGGAAAAATGCCAATGCATAAATGGTTGAAATTAATAATGGACAATCTACATAAGGTAAGATAATTAAATTAAACTTTGTTTAGGATTTTGGGGACAATGGATTTAAATCTAGAGGCGAAATTAGAAAACAAATTATTCTAATAAGTGAAGCAGAGAGTAGACTTGTGGGATCAAAGAAAAATCAGATCATGTAATTAGATTGAACAAAGAATTTATTAGATTTGAAGAGGATTTGACCAAGGAATCTACTACATCGTCACTCAGATTAATTAAAGACCAGAGATTAAATATTGTATAGGGGCTTCCCTAATTTTCCTTATACTTTGTCATGTGGTGTTGAATATTTTATTTATTACAGGCCTGGGTACAAAAATATGAACTTACATTTTACAAATGTATATTACCTATTGGCAATAAATCAAGTGTATTTAAATATTATGAATTATGCTTTTAAATATACAATACTGTTGTAGTGAAAAATAAATTAAACTATTGTAAATTTTTAGGAACCTATTTTTCCGTACTAGTACATTACTATTAATTGGAGCAATACCCATATTTGTCTTGGAAGGAGAAGTACCTATAATGAAGCAAGTTACTATAGAAAAACGTGTAAATGGAAATAATAATGAAAAATCAAAGAAAAATAATATTGTCCGAAAACGACTTAATTTATTACAGAAACAAGTAAGTGTAAATAATTTGCAAAAAAAAAAAAAATGAGTTTTTGAGTTAAGCATAGTTTAGAAACTAGCATTAAAATGTATAATACTATTTAATCTATACAAATAAATAATTAAATTGCCTAATGTACTTATATATTATTTTCAGTGTGAACGGTTATTAAATATCATGGGAGTAACTTGTGTTTATAGTCCTGGAGAAGCAGAACAACTGTGTGCTATACTTAATAAAAATGGAGTATGTTCAATTATAAATTACTAATTATTCTATTTGTTTTATATACCCTACATTAAATAAATATAGGAGTATAAAATATGTAATATTAAAAACTAGGGTTTTTTACGTGAGTATATTAGTTTTGGAAGACAATAATATTGTCATGCAATTTTTTATAGAATAATGTAGAATAGGCACCATCACATCATGACATCCGATGCTGTTTTAAGAATATGAACTTCCAATATGAATACGGATATAAACAAATGAGCTGGAAATATTAAACCTTAAAAATCAAACTTGAAACTAAATATTTATATTCATTTTTCCACTTAAGAATTATTTTAATTCAATGCAATTGTAATATTTTATTGTATTTTTTGTTTTAAAATTTTCCGGGGTTGTACTTTAAATAGGTTTAAATTTTTTGATTTTTCAAGTAGTTTTCAAAATAATTTGGAATAAACGAGAAAATTTATAAAAATGTTTTTATTATTTTCAATTTCATTTTTTTGTTGTGATTTAGTTAACAATTTTCATAGGAGTTTGAAATTCGGACAAAAACATTGCGTTTTATAGATGTGGTCAAATTTTCAAAACATTTCAGACATTTCTGAGCTATTTATAGATATTTTAATTTTTTTGTGAGTTTTTTACATATTATTTATTCCAGAATTTATCCAGTAGGTACTTTGTAGATAAAATTGTTAAACCAAACAGAAATTCTAAGTTTGAACTAAGTTGAACTTAGTGATCAATAAGAAAAAGTTGACTTTGAGGATTTTTTTTTTTTTAAGAATTTTAATATAGCAAATTTTATGAAAAATCTTAAATATTACAGCCTTTTAAAATGTGTATAACCAAACTGTGATCAGAATCGTTTTTTGTTTCTAACGATCAATTGTTGCATACAAAAATACATTAAATGCTCCTCTATATCCTACCTTCCTAACTTCTCACCTACAACAGTGACCCACTCAGTGCAAGGTATGTCGGAATTTTTTTAATTTTGTTTTAAAAGTTGAGTTACCAATAGAAAATCAAATGTTTTTTATATAAAGGTATAATAAATAGGGGTTACAATTTGAAAAAATTGTTAAAATAAATCCATAATAATTGAAAAAATAACAGAAATCAAATTAACATTCCAAAGAAACCACTAATTTATGATAAAAATATAATTAAGTATAAACTAAACAACATATCTAATGTTTTTAAATTAAAATAAATTTCAGATTGTAAATGGAGTTGTGACACAAGATAGCGATTGTTTTCTTTATGGAGCTCGCATTATCTATAGAAATTTTAATGCGTCTAGAAATGGTTCTGTTGAAGTTTATAGCATGGAATCAATTGAAAAAAATTTAAAAATTGGACGTAACAAAATGATAGCATTGTCATTATTATGTGGTTGTGATTATGATGAAAAAGGTGTTATTGGCATTGGTAAAGAAACTGCAATTAAGTTTCTTCAATCATTAGATGATGATATTGTCCTTGACCGGTAACTATAAGTTAGGTATACATTTTATTTAATATAACTAACATTAAATTTTATTTTAGAATGAGACATTGGAGAAATAATTTAGTTTTGAATGCTGCTGAAAAGGATATTAAATCACAAACAAATTTTCTAAAGTTAGAGTTAAAAATTAGAAAAAAAGCTATAGAAAATCAAAGCTTTCCTTCTGAAGCAGTTATTGATGAATTCTTAATAGTACCGCCGTATCCAGAAGTGACTGCAAAATGGGTCTTACCTGATATTAATTCTTTTGTTGTAGGTATAAATATATATATATATATAACATACAGTGTGATTTTTTTTATTATAAATTAGTGTAATTAGAATATCTAGTCAAAAATTAAATTAGTTTAAATTTAACCACCACCACCACCCCGAAATTATGATATGGTCTTTACCAGACCTTAACCCTGTGTTCAGCAGTCTAAAAAAATCATTTAAAGATTTCACATTGAATAAATGCTAATAAAAATGCTGAAATAATATTTACTAAATAAAAAAAAAAAAAAATCATCTTATAATTAATTTTACACTTAAAACAATATTTTGTTAACATTAATAATCTGTTTAGGAATTTGCTTTGTCTAAACTTTGCTGGGAAAAACAATATGCTATCAATAAATTTTTGCCATTACTTACTAGATGGCATCTAATGCACGATGATAATCTTCAAGCAAATATTTTATTGAATAAAATTATTAAAAAGCGTGTTCATAAGGGAATAAAAAGTTATGAAATAAAATGGAATAATTATGATTTAACAACTATTGAACCTTTAGCAGCTGTCCAATTAAGGTATTCAAAAGAAGTTTTAATTTATGAAGATATTGATTCAAAATTTTCAAACAAAACAAAAAGGAAAGGTAATTCATATTTATTTTATTCCAATGTACATTATTTGAAAGTTTTCCATATTATGTGCATTGATTTTTTTAGGAATGGTTTATGATACAGAATTAATTGATGTGACTAACAAATTGTCTTCAATTAAAATTTCTAATAAACATATAAACATGAGAAAAAAAAATGAAGCAATAGATAAAAATAAATTCAAAGGACCTTTAGATAAATTTTTAGTGAAGGAAATAACTAAAGATGATAGTTTGACATTGTCAGACTTTGAATGTGATTCTGTTGACTTAGATTTGTCTAGTATTGTAAATGGAATAATTGTTCCATAATTATTATACCTAGTAGCAATCAATTTTTAAATTGTATATTATATCAAGACTATACATATTATTTATATTAATAATTATATTGTGCTAAGGACCATAAGGTTAAAAATTAAAGTATTTTTACAACTTGAATATACTTTATTTATTTATTACTGTTAGGCACAATAATTTAACGAGGCATCATTAACTTGTGTGGTTGAACAAAGTTTTAGTAATATCACATGTTAAATTAAAAAAATTAAATACAAAGTTAAAGTTAATAAGATTTTAGATTTTAAGTGGAGCGAAGAAGCTTACGGTTTTACAAAGATAATTTTTTTTTTATTATATGTGTGCAACTTTTCTACCAAAAGACTTCTGAAAAGAAATTTGCCTGGAAAGGTACTTTAGGGAGGTTATTTTTTGATTTTCCCAGCAAATGTTGTAAAACCTGTGAAAATCTGTACAACATTAAACAAATATTATTAAAGAAAATATTTAATTATTTTACCATCATTTGACATATATATTGTTGACAAAGCATCACTATCAACTGTACTCCGCTTAGAATCGTTTTTTCGTTAGCAATGGTTAATCATTGCTAACAGATATAAATTAAATTAGCTATAAAAGTGACTGCATCTGTCTCCATTACCCTAGGACGTCTATTTGAATTTGAAAGCACCAGTAAATCAATAGTAAGTTTAATTTTCAATACAGCATTGGTTAATTATGAAGAATATTTACTTTTTTGATATTTCATTAATAAACAGACTGACATACTTCAAATAAAGGGTTATAAGTGAGGAGTTGGTTAGGAAGGATATAGAAGGGAATTTAATGATTTATTATATGTTATAATTGATCATTGTTAACGAAAAACGATTCAGAGCAGTTTCTTTAATATATATATATATATAAATTATCACAATTATTAAAAAAATCAAATTAAAAATTTTCAGAAAATCAAAAAAATTACCTTAAGGAACCAAGTAGATAAAATTTCCTTTCAGAAGCAGTTTTACACTTGAAAATTGGAACAATCTGATATAAAAGTTGTTCCGATAAAAAAATCAACATTATTATAAACCAATACATTCCTTGTTATGCTCTGAATCATAAAGTTTATAAATCCCAGACCAAAAATAAAACGTTCAGCTATCTCAAATGTTACATATCCCTAAATATACCGATCACTAGCTATCCTTGTAATCCCATTAACATATTGTCTTTTATTCCCTAATGACAATTTTTACCTCGGCCTTTTTCTGCTGTATCCTACATCTGTCACAAACTATGCTCTAAATTCCAAAACTAAAGTTAGAAGATCAAAACATAAATCATTCACTAATTGGGTTAGTCTAGAATGCACATATTTGTACTCTATTAGTAAAATTTAAAAAAATATGTATATAAATAAAAATTAATATATCATTAATATGTATTTAAGTTATATATTTATAAAAATAATTTGCGCACAATTTTTTTTCTTAACTTAATATCATGTATAAATTATAGACCATCAATATTACATTATAATAAAAATTAATAAATATCTACAAACACATTCATACATGATATATGTGATAACAATATACATTATACAGTTGTAGTATAACATAATTAATTTATTAAAAAAAAAAAACTAACAAGGTTAACATTCAATGTGTTTTACAGAGCGCATTTTTACTATTATCAATGTAATATTTTATTTATAAATTGAAATTTATGTAACAAAGTAAATTATAAACTATTTAAAATTAAGATATAATATATCCTGATGACACATTTAAAAAATAATAATTCATAATCATAAACTTAGTTTTATTATTAAATGTTTGGGTATAATATTGTTAATAATGGATAAATAAATATAGGTACATAATTATATATATTTATTTTTTACACTTCATTTATATAAGAAAGTATATTGTATACAAAATAGTACAAATTTATTTATATTGTCATAAAATAATTAAAAAATTAAAATTAACAATAATTAATATCTAAAATAGATTATTCAAAATTAAATTTATTTAAATTAACAAAAATCAATAATCATACTTTTTTTTTTTTTTTAATCAACAATTGATATAAAGAAGTAAATAATATGTAAAACAAAAATTTTAAAATAATTTATTTCATACATTTCCAATCAATTCTTCTAAAATACGTACAATCACAAAAATAGCTACGAAAAAAAAATTGTATTACAGTCATAATAATCTTATATAATAAAATAAAATACAAATTAATTGATTCAAATAGTTAATGCTTTTACCTGATGATTTAAAAATGAATACAATTAATTTTCCTGCTATAACGAAGCTTATAATAATAATAACATTTAAAAGCTTCTTTCATTATTCAACTTTACATCTTATAAATAAACATTTCAATTTATACAACTATACATAATTATAGCACCGTAATTTAATCATTGATGGGTTCTTAGTTACTGAGTTTGAATATTGGCAATACTTAAACCCATTATTGTTTTTGAACTGTTAATCTTATTGTTATAAGATTGTTCTTCGTGTAATTTTGGTTTGTTTCTGTAATTCAAATAAAGTTTATAAAATCATATTTACTATATAATTTATGCATTAATTATATGTATAAAAGTTATATACTCATCATGTGAAAACATCTGTCATGTCATCATATGAGGAAATTGGAACAAAAATGTACATAATTCTTAATTATCAAGTAAATAATTAATTATTATTCACCTATGCTCAAAAAGGAGTTAAATACCATATGATTGTATGACAGCATTAATATAGAATGACATAAGTTGTCTTGTATAAAGATGTAAAATAAATGGCATAAAATCAATAAAATTAGACAATAACTGTAAACTAAACTACAGGTTAAAAACAGTTGATGCTTAATGTAGTTATTAAATATTTACCACTATTTATAAATACAATCTTCAATTTGTTGTTGACTATCGTGCTCGCGTTGATTCTGCTGATCAACTTTCACTTCTACAATATCAGTAGGAATGTTATTTGCTGCATCATACTTTTCCACAGTATAGTCAGCACTATAAATACATTCCTCAATTTGGGTTTGGCCACTTATTGGTTCTAATTCTTGTGATGGAGGAGTAGCTGTTTGAGCAGCAACTGCATCACTCTGTTGTCTAGCATACTTTTCATGAATATTTCTATGTCGTTTTAATGCAAATCGATCACTAAAACCAACACCACAAATATCACAACGATGTGGTTTTTCACCAGTATGTACTTTAGCATGATTTTTCAAGTGCGTGGCTTGATTAAATGCTGATCCGCATATTTCACAACGGTAAGGTTTTTCTCCAGTGTGAATACGCCGATGATTCCATAATGTAGAATGGCGAGCAAATGTTTTGTCACATACTTCACACTGATAAGGACGTTCACCACTATGTATTCGTTCATGATTTTTAAGATGAGGAGATTGGGAAAACTGCATTCCACAAACGCCACATTTAAATGGTTTCTCACCTGTATGTACACGACCATGATTTTTCAAATACGCTGCTTTAGCAAATGCTAATCCACATAATTCGCATTTATAAGGTTTATCGCCAGTATGTAGTCGCTTATGACTCCATAATGACGAGTAGCGTGAAAATCTTCCTCCACATATGTTACAATGAAAAGGTTTGTTACTCCCAGTATTTGAATTGGTGATAGAATCATTTTTAATATTAACATTAGCATGATTACCATTTACTGAAAAAATAATACCAGAACCATTACATTTATAACATTTGGTAACAGTTGCCATTCCTCTTTTTTTAACTGGATAATAACCTTTCATAATTGCCGTTTGCTCTGGTGATAAATTATTATCGTTAGTTTCCATTTCATTTTCTTGAGGTGTATAGTTAGAACAAGTTCCTCCACTACAACTTACACATTTAATAAATCTAGACTTTTTTCCCTTAACAGTTTGTGGAGCGACATCAGCACCACACGAAAAACATTGTTTGTGTACAGTTGATCGGTGAACTTTCATGTCTCTAACTTGAGGAAAACAAGAACCACATGTTGAACATGTAAATGATGGTGGCTCCTGTGGGTGAGCAGATTTTTTATGATGATCTAACATAGATGCATGTGAAAATCCAGCACCACAAACATCACACTTAAAAGCTGCACTAGCAGTTGTAAGAGACATTTGATTAACTAATGCATAGTTGTAATTGAATGGCGCAGTTACATCAAAACGGTAAGACGTCTTATCTGTTTGTGTCACACCGTTTGCTGAAGCTGCAGCAAGAACAGCTATATTACCAGATACGGGAACTTTCTGTACCATATTAACATTATAAAAAGGGAAGTCAACCGAAGATGCTTTATCATCTTTTTTAACAATAGTGGCATAAAGCTGACCCGGTGCAGGGTTTTGATCTTGTCTAATACCTGGATCATACATAATGGTAGAGACTGATTCCCCCTTACTGCCACTCATACAACTATTATCTAAAAAAAAAAACAAAATACAAATAAAACAATTAAAAAAATAAATTTACATAGTACTAACTATAAATAGGATAGGACCATAATAATTCCATTTAATTTCATAAAATAAATGTTATTATACATTAAATCGTTAAATTAAATAAAATTGATAATTTCACTATATTTTACTATATAATTTCAAGATGAATGGTAGTGTATCTTCGGCCAAGTTCAAAAATAGAATTATCAATACGTGTAGCACTAAAATTCATTATAGCTGTATATAATTATAAATATCTAAGTATCATTATTTATTTTCAAGACATGAACCTGTATAATATAATATTCTCTATAAGTACTATGAAAATAAATGTGTATACACAGGTTTGAATTATTTTGAATTGTAACAATTTTGTTAGGTACAATAAACTAAAACTAAGAGAAACATATTATACAAACTCAAAAATATAATGCAAAAAATAATAAAATCAAAATATACCAATTTATAGGAAAAAATTGATAATTGATAATTTAAATAAATGTATTCTTTGATTAAAACTAGCATACTTAATAAACGTTAACTGGAATAAATTGTTGCTCACACTACAAGAAATAGGTATTGAACAATATGACCTAAAAATCATCCGCAGTTTTTATAAAAATCAGATAGCTTGTACTAAAAAAGAGAAACTACTGCCCCAATGCTCAAATTAAAAAAAAAAGTCATGTTTTCACCATCACTTCTTATTTGCTACATCAAAAAAGTTATAAATATAATAAAAGCAAAGCTAATAAAACTAAATATTCGCAAAAAATTATTTCCAAAATAAAATGTACAGATGATATTGTGACGATAGTAAAAAATTAAGGTTACATATAATGTGCAGTTGATGAAATGCTCAGAACATCAGAAATGTAAATAAATAGTATAAAAAATAGATTTGTCTGTACCAAAAATTCTTAAATAAAAGCTGATATACACGTAGATAGTCCAAAAATAGATCAAGTAGATGAAATAATATATTGAAAGAGCAAAATCAAATAATCAAAAAATCTTCATAGTCTAGAGATTTGGGCAGAAAACTTATAACAAAAACTTAAACTCTTTTTATGTGGTAAAACTGTAAAAACATCAGAGCCATATTTAAGCTAATTATAGGCACTTTAATTTTGAGAGTAATTTTCATTTGATAGTTACTCTGTGAATAAAATAGTTAGATATAACAGAAATGGTTGACAATTGATCAGAATGTTAATTATAAGTCGCATTTTGCGGACAAAATAATAATAAAAAAAAAATTAATTTAATGTGGTATATTTTTTTTATAAGAATTTTATATTAAATGTTGACAAAAATTACTAAAAAGTAAAAAATTGTGTGGAACAAATCTATGTTACTGATCTGTACAAATTATTTCAATATATAATACTGTTGTATGACATATATTGTTGAAAAAGCAATAATATTGACCGAGCTACGCTAGATAGATTAAATTTCCCTTTTATATTCTACCTTCTCATCTTATCTACAACAGTGGTCCACTCATCATGCAAAGTATGTCAGTCTTTTTTTCTTATCAATAATTAATATGAAATTTATTTATTTCGCTTCCTTCCTATAATTATGGTCTGGAGACACCCCTGTCTCAACGTATAGATATGAAACACGGGGGAATAAAATAATGATACCGAAAAGAAAAAAAAGGTGTCCTAGGATAATGGGGACGGTTGCAGCCACTGTAGTAGATAAGAAATTGGGATGCAGACGGAAATTTAATGTACCTATATCTGTAAGCAATGATTAACCACTGTTAACGGAAAATGATTCTGAGCGGAGTTCAGTAGATATAGTGTTGCTTTATTAACAATGGTATATAAGTCATATTATGGAAAAATAATTACATATACATTAAACAATTTGCTTTAATAATATTTGTTTAATATTGTACTTATTTTCCCATTTAATGGGAAAACTGCTTGTAAAATCAAAAAATAGTATCTGTAAAATATCACCCCGGTCAGATTTCCTTTCAGAAAAAGTGCTATCAGATATAAATCAGAGCAAAATTGTTGGTATAAAAGTGGGTCACAGATACAAAATAAATAAATAAACATCACTGTAAACCAATACTTTCTCACTCCATTCAGAATATAAAAAGTAGCTTAATATTAATCATTTAAATTACTGCTTACGTTTATTTTTATGATTAAAAATAAATTCAAACAATCTACACAAATATATAATATTTCACAATAGATGGAAGTATTGAAAATAATTTTTATCTTTATTAAGTGTGACACAAAACTATTGAAATTAATTTAATAACCAAATATAGTTAAATATAATTATATTTATTTATCAAGAAGGATAACATATAAAAGAAACTTTAATTGTCAATACATAATTTGAAATAAATAAATCCTCTAAAAGGCAATAATTTAAATTTTTAAATCAAATATATCCTACCAATACCTACTTTGATATATTTGTGTATATATATATATATATATATTATATTTATACAATATGCACTTTGTCTGGGCAATTTGAATCACAAATATAAACAAATTAATAATTTTTTTGTGCTTTATTTATTATTACTTTTTTTTCTCTTTTAGCTTCATCTCAATTATTTGGGGTCAACCACCCTAGTTCTAAATTTCCACTAAACCTGATCTCCCAACACATATACACCAGATGTCCTGATATCATTCTCAATCGCATTTAACCACCTCTTTTCCAATTTTTAATATATTATTACTAATAATTATATAATAATGTGGAAAAATTAATTATATATTGTAATTTAGAATTTTATAACTACTTATTTATTTGTACAAGATTTATTTGGTTTTTATCAACATAGCTATTACACTTTTAACATCCAATACAGTTAGCTAATAGATATATTTATATATAAGGCTATATTGGATATAAAAATCCAATTTAAAAACAATACCATGTTTATACAGCGTGTAAACCGACAGACTTTGTTTGTAATAATAACTTTATTTAAGTACATAATTGGCTTAAAATATTTATAATATAAGAAACAGGCAACACAGGGAATACAATACCTATAACAAACATACAGAAACTTTGTATAAAACAGTTACAACAATTAATATTGAAACAGTGAATTAAACATTAAAATTTGGTAAAACAACAAAAATAAATATATTAAATCAAAAAACCAGTCTGATTGAAGAAGGAAATGGTTGATAATATTATAAGAATAATTTATGAGGAATGAATTGATGGAGCATTAAAAAAGATATTGTAGATATTTATTAGAGAAAAGAGAGAATTATATTAGCGATAATAAAAAGGGCTATAAAAAATAATGTGAGATATATCACATATGTGTTCAGTTAAATAGAGTGTACAAGAATGAGATGTATAAAGAAAGCTTGTAGGATTAGTATGGAACTTCTTTCATCCTGTTTGGCCTTAATGAAATCTTAAGCATGAAAATGAGGAAATTGTTTTCCTACTAAGTTTTAAATTATGAAACCACAGCCTAAAAGGGGTATTGGAAAACAAAGCCCAGACCAAAAATCATATTAGGAAAAAAAAGTTTAAATATATACAATCATGTATAAATCCTAATACAAACAAATGTTCAATTCAACAATAACCAATTAAAAATTAACAAATTTTTAAGAGCAATAAGCAATAATATATGTAAATTATGTTTTTGAATAACAACCTAATTATTTTTGTAATTTTGTATTTTTTAAATGTATTATATTAACTGAATATTTTCCTGGAGCTTTTTTTTCCTTCGTCAGAGCTTTTTATCCTCAATTCTCTAAAAGGTATAATAGGAAAAAAACTCCTATATCAAGTGGCAAAATCAAGAGGCAAATTAGTCCATTGATTTAACTACAAACTATCCATATGAGTTAAAATTATTCACATAGATTTCTAGCTCTAAAATGTAATAATCATAATATTATTTAATTTCCTATTTTCATAACTTTTAAACAACAAATACAACATTAATATTAAGGAAAAATGTATAGGAGTTTCATCGATCAAAAAATTATAGACTTAATAAATAAGACTAATTTAGCTAATTTAGTAAATTTAGCTACTGGAATTTTTATATTTTCCTCCTTTTTTTAATTTTATGTACTAATACATCTTATGATTATTGTACAAATTGTATATTATTTTCTATTTCTAGACAAACAATTACATTTTTCTACATACAGGTAGTAATAATTATTATAGATACACACTAAAAGTAGTCGGACATAAAATAGAAGCATTGAATTTAATTTTTATATACCTATGTCATTTTAATTAATATATTTTATAAAATAGTGATAAGAGGTATACATAGGTAAATAAAAAAAAATATTTTGACTTAATTATTTTATTTTTCAGGAATTAATTTTTATGTTGTTCATTGGGACTCCTTTTGCTATAAATCTATTATATATTTATTTATTATTTAATTTGATGTTAAATGTAGGTATAAATATAAATTTATGTTATGCAAATATGTAATTAAACTTACCTAGATTGTCTAAAAAATATTATTTTAAGTTGCATACTGTGAATTTTTTTTAATTTATAACTAATTTAATAACGAAATAATCTTAAAAAGATTGTAAAACAATGACATTAAAATAAAAAATGAACATAAAGTGTAAATATTTTATAATTTTATCATTTACCTAAGATTTAATTAACAAATATTGGTATCACAATTCACTACTAATCATACCTAATAATTATTAAATTAGAACAAATCAATATAAAATATAAAATGTATAAAATTAAATGTAACTAAAATTCAATCAAAAGTGTAATAAGTTTAAAACGAAAATAAAGCAAAAAAAAAAAAAAACGAGTGGAATTTTGGATCAACAATTTTTATTTTTTTGACAATTTTGTTTTGATTTGATATGACAAGGAGATTATAACCAACCATGGATACAAAACCGTAATTTCCTATACTCCATGAAATTAGGAGTGGACATTTTCAAGAAATGATAATATATTATCTTGTCGACGATAGACGATCTTAACTATATATGATAACCTCGGTTTAAGATATCTTAAGTATATTCATGAAAAAATAAACATGTATGTCAAGAATATATTTAATACACATAAAATTACTGTCGGATTTCGTATATTATCAATTTTTCTCTTAACTTATTGAAAACATGATAAGATATTTTGTTATATTTTTATTTTTTCATGATTGTAAATAAGTTCTGATGGGCAATTACTCCAATCGGTCATAAGGTATATCGTTATATTCTAATCCATAATTACTAAAAAAAAAATAGGTAAAATCCTAATTAACATATCAAAATAAAGGTAAAAAGAAGACTAACGTCATCGGTATAGAATCTTGCTTTAATCTTTGTAAACATTTTGAGGAGTATGATGTAACTTGTATATATGATTTTTCTGCATTGCATCGTGCTAAAAAATGTAGTGAACACACAACACCTAGAAATAATGAAGTATATATTGGCAAACTGGAATACTTAGTGCTCGGATGTCGGTATATTTTATGTGAATACAATTTGTTTTATCAAATTTAATGAATAATGCAATTTCAATAATAGTATTAACCTATTTCACAATTTATATTATTACCATCATTTTTATTGTCTTACAATTTGTTTAATCCATATTTGTCTAAATTCAGGGTCTTTTGGAAATTTATGCAGATGGATATTCGGGTCCCTGACTTTATCTTTTCTCTTACTTCCACTGAAACATCCCTCATAAACGCAAACTGGCATAATTAATAATTAAAATTATAATTAGAAGAGAAGAATTACAAATGTTAAAAATTTGAAATAATTATCATCGATATTTATAAGTTGATAAACACAAATTATCGTAATAATGTATTTTATATTATGATAAGCGGCGCAAACCGGACATCATATTTGCGCAGTATCACATAAACCTCATAAGTTGCTGTCATACCTGTTTATTTTGTTATGGTAAATCTTAAGTATAGCTTAAATTATGATGATAATATTAGACTATATATATATATATATATGTTATCATTAGTGCTTCGAAGTTATAGGAGGTAAAAAAGGCAAAATATGCACGAAAAAATGTTAAACATACAAACAAATTATTCAAAAATTTATAATCAGCCGTATTCATAGATTACATGTAACTACAACTTGGTACATACTTTCTTCTTCTTCTACTGGCAACCCTACTCTCTAAGAGTTTTAGCCGCCATTACTACACTTCGCCACCTATCCCTATCTTGGGCTGTCTCTCTCCAGTTCTCAACTCCAAGGATTTTTAAGTCTTCTTCTACTACGTCTATCCATCTTTTCCTAGGTCTGCCTCTTGGTCTTTTACCTTGTGGCTTCCATTCCAATGCTCCTCTAACTACTTCGTTCTCTCGTCTTCTCATTATGTGGCCTAACCATTGTATTCTTTGACTCTTAATGAAGCTTGTTACTGGTGCTAAATCCAANCTCTCTATTGTACCTCCTTCGCCAATTCCCCATTGTTTCATCAAAGACAGGTCCACATATTTTTCTCCATACTCTGTGTTCAAAAGTTCTCAGGTTTCTTTCTACTTGTTTGGTCGTTGTCCAAGCTTTGCAGCCATACGCGAGAGTCGGTCGTATAATAGCCACGTATAGTCTTACTTTCGTTTTCCTGGCCAACATTCTGGATGTGAAGAACTTTGTCAGTGCGTAGAACGTTTTCTGAGCTTTATTTATCTGCATACTTATTTCCCTTGACCAATCATTCTTTGTACTTAACGTTGCTCCCAGATACTTAAAATCGCTAACTTTTTAATAGGCTAGATTTTCTGTCTCACTAGGGTCCTCCCCACTATCAATGAGTTCCATTATCTTTGTTTTCTGAGTGTTTATCTCAAGACCTATTTTCTTCGCTGCTTGTTCTAACACTGTTGCTGCGTTGGCTGTGTTTGCAAGTGACTCACCTATTATATCTAAGTCATCAGCGAAACCGAGGAGCCGTATCTTATTTTGACCAATTGACAGGCCCCCTTCACTCTCTTGTAGTATCCTTACTACCTTCTCAAGGGCAAGATTGAAGAGTACTGATGACAGGGCATCCCCCTGTTTTAGTCCGGTTTCTACTGTAAAGGTTTCTGATGTTATATTTTGTGTTCTTACTCTGTATTTCGTGTTTTCCATACACATTTTAGTAAGCGCTATTAGTTTTTTGGGAAACCAAACTCGTACATAATGTTGTAGAGACTCTCTCTGTGGATACTATCATAGGCTTTTTTAAAATCTATGAAAAGTTGCCACATATTCTGTCGATATTCGTACCTCTTTTCAATAATTTGGCCTATTATGAATAATTGTTTTGTGGTTGAGCGACCTTTCCGAAAACCGCATTGGTATTCACCTAGAGAGTTCTCCGCATATGGGACAATGTGATCTAGTAAAATTCTAGAGAAGACCTTGTACGCGGAGTTCAAGAGCGATATCACTCTATAGTTGTCACATTTTGTCTTGTCTCCTTTTTTGTGTAATGGTATAATGATCGCCTCATTCCAGCTCTCCGGTACCCGTTCTTCCATCCATATTAGCTGGCACAGTCTGTGGATTACTACATGTAACTCCTTACCTCCATATTTTATGAGTTCTGCTGGAATATCATCGGTACCTGGTGCTTTCCAATTCTTTAGGCCACTTATTGCAATTATTACTTCTTCTAGACTAACATCTTCTATGTAAGGCTCCGCTCTTTCATATTCGGTATGTGATACAGGCTGGGCTGGCATCCTACCATTTAGTAGTTCTTCAAAATATCCTTTCCATCTCTCAGCTCTTGACTCTGGCTCCATTAACATTTGTCCGTCTTGGTCTCTAATTGCAATCCATATAGGGTTGAATTGCTTATACTGTTTAACGATTCTAAAAAAACTTCTAGTTCTTGTGTATGGTCCTTCTCTGCGATTTGAAGTATGTTGCTAAAGAATTTTCTTTTTTCCCTTTGAAGGGTGCCTTGGCAGATTTTACGTTCCGGAATGTAAACTTCTTTAGTTATTTGAGAGTTGTGCTTAATAAAGTCATCTCTCGCTTTACGGCGTTTGTCTACAGCAATTCTACATACATCATTATACAATGTATTTTTTGACCTCTTTAGCTCACCAATGCTAGTGGCCGCTGCTTTTTTGACAGCATTANCTAGGTTCAATTTAGCTCTTTTGCCTTGTTTTAATCTCGATTGGCTTAGGTAGGTATTTGATTTTTAATATGTCTTATTTTAACTAAAGTAGTAATTTGTTACTTTCATTGTGACAACTCAGAGAAACTCTTCATTTTTAATATCCCTAAAGATAAATATTTAAAGGAGAAATGGCTACAATCTTTAGATAATTGTAATGCTAACGAGATTATTTGTGAAAAACATTTTCGGGATGGACTAATAATAAGATCAAAAGATATTGTTGATAGATTAAAAAATGTTATTTGCTCAATAAATATATTTTACGTGCAGGTGTGGATTGGTCCAAATGAAAAAATGTATCTATAAAATAAATAAGTCAAATTTAGTTGAAAACTTATTAGTAAAAAAGGCGTCCTAGAATAATGGAGACGGGTACAGCCATTATTATAGATAACTTAATGTATAACTGTAAGCAACGATAACCATTGCAAACAAAAAACGATTCTAAACGGAGTTCAGTTGATAATGATGCTTTGTCAACAATATATTTGTCATTAAATAGGCTTTATATATTTTCTCTAATACTATTTGTTAAATGTTGTAACGATTTTCTCAGTTTTCCTTCGTTTTTCACGCTTTTCTTATGTTTTATCCTGGTTTTTCACATTTGTTGGGAAAACTCCCGAGCACAAAACATGTATATTGTAATTTTATTGAATTTAAGTTTTGAAAGTTGGAAAAAAAAATTAATCTCCATTGATTAAAATATTATCAAAATAAACAAAATTCTTTGACACCTTGTAATCTTACGCTATACAAAACATAGAAAAAAAATAAATCAATAATATGTTCCTATCTTTTTGAAGAGCAAACTGGATAAAAAAAACTTCGGGATCAATCGTAACACCTCTTAGTTAGTCTTCTTTGTCCTGTAGAGTTTCGTAGAAATGTCTTGACGTATTTTAATATTGAAAAAGTTGACTTTTTCTACTTACTATTTGACATGTTTGTCATAGTCTTGCGGATGACGGCATGTTATAATAATATTTATATTTTACGCAATTAATTTAATATTATTGTTGTTAATCGTCACCGACCACCGACTGGCGTCGACAGCGGCTGTTGTCCATCAATAATAAATCATCTATTATTAGACGCTTTAATAATATTTTAATATATAATGATACAAAACAGTGATAATTTATGATTGAAAATATTTATTTTGGAATTAAAAATACGTATTTTAAACATTTGTAAAATATTGAAGAAATTTCGGAAGGGGAAGTTTCCGTAGCCCTTAGACTCCTCCTCAGATACGGCCTTGATGGTATCAATTCGATTAACTGCTATTGTACAGTTATTCGAGTTTCTACTATATAATGAAATCATCGTATATGTCGCCTCTTTTGATTTTTCCCAATTACTATAAAAATACTTTACGATATCAAAAAACGACTTTGGCTGTGGCTATATATTAAGAAGAACTAAATCTCTGCCCTAAATTTAAACCAGTTAAATTTAGTAAACATTTTGTGTTTATGCATTCATCACCCTGTATGGCTATACTTGTACCAAATACATGATTATCTGTTATTGGTGTCACATATTAGATGTTAATATATTATTATCTAGTTTTCAATAAATATTATGAAAAATACTTTAGGTATCAAAAAACTATTCCCTCTGGTAGTGGTTATGCACTAAAATAAAGATAATCGACCTCTTGTCATTTTTTGATTGAAGTAATATTTCTGGTAGAAAATATTAGTTGAACATATAAAATTAATTAAACCGGAACGCTACGTTGCCTTAATCAATTTTAATTTTTTGGTTTTTACCAATTATAACGAAAATTGAATTTAAAATCGAAAATTGACTCATAAACAAGATTAAAAATGCAACAATAAAGGTCTCTTGTCACTTTTGGAACGATATTTGTAGTGAACATATAAGGCAAACAAATTTAAAATAATGAAATCATTGTGCTATAATTTGAAAAAAAATCATATATTTTGTCTTTTTTGGTTGTCCTCAATTATTATGAAAAATACTTTAGATATCGAAAAACGACTTACTCTATTAGTGAGCGAAATATTAAAAGAAACAATTGTATAATACGAGTATATTTTATTATTTATTATAATATACTAAAATATACATTTTTTTTTTGATATTTTAACATTAATATTTACAATAATTATATTATTTTTAAATTACTGCGCTCTTTTAGTCACACGTTTAGGAAACCCTCACGAAAATCTGTCACCGGAAGCACCACTGCGGAGTCATTAGTTTCGTGAAACGTACTGTAGTTAGTTTTGAATTGAAACAATATTTCTGATAGAAAATAGCAGGGCACCGAAAATATTTGATGTTTTTTCCTGTAATTTTCTTAAGGGTTTTTCTTTATTATATTCTAGAAAAAAAGTTGTTCACAGACACAAGAAAAAAAAATGCAATACGCACATCATTGTAAAACCAATAGATCCCTCGCTACACTTGAATCTAATTGACTTTTGGTTATACATTTTTGACTTAGAATACATTTCGCATAAGAACCTACTATTTTCTGATTAATACGAATACTATTTTATTAGCCTAGCTTGCATTCGAATATTCGCTATAAATTGTGTTTCATATTCCAACAGGTATTACATTCATATTTCATGATATTTTTGTGAACAAAATACACATTAAAAATAAAATGTATAGATCTTCAAATATTTTTAACTCGAGAAATAAAAATCTTATTAAAATGATTCAAGCTATAATAGGTAACGTATTTTATAATTAATTTATTCATACATATATATTAGGGTGGTCCATATTTTTTGCTTGTGATTTTTTTCAGGTTACCCCCCCTAAAAAGGTTCGATTACTAAAAAAAACGCTACACTAACAACTTGTAGAAGGTATTGTTTTTGAGATTCGTTTTTGGTAATTTTGTCATTATAGTCCATTATAGTCCTCTATAAGTTTTACTCCTCTTTCTGCTACATCGTTTATTACTGGAATATTTTTTATAACTAACAAAGCTTTAGAATAGTCTTCATTATTTTCCCAATTAATTGGATCTTCATTCAAAAAAATGGTGTTGATGGATAATCTTTTAAATAGTGTTTTAGTATTAACACATATAAAATCATCGATTTCCTTTTCTAATAACTCATTTGCATTTTTTGGCGATATAATTAAACGTTGTGCATTTGAAATTAATTCTGATGAACTTTCGTCGTTGTTTAGAGCATGAACCATTTTTCTTTTTATCTCCAGTGGCACGGCTTCATCAAAAAAAGCAAAAGCACATAATTCTGCAAATAAATACCATAAGTGACCACAAAACTTTTTAACTGCAATCTGAGATATATCTTTGTCTATAGAGGTATAATGTAAAAGACTTTTTATAAAATTCAAGTCTTGTAATGGTGCTTTGATTGAAGATGGTGAGTTGAACCATACTTTTATGTATAATCGTACAATAAAAACGCAAATACTTCTCAAAGCACTTTCTTCTTTTGGTGTTAAATGAAATTGTTCGCGAAATAAATATATTTTCAAGCTATAAATAGCTTTGGCCATCCACCGCGCGTGATGAATGGCACCTGGCATTTTAAATCGAATATTAGGAAGTTTTCCACCCAGACAAATTACTGTTAATTCTAGTAACTCTCGGTAATCATCTCTTGGGTGATTTTCTAAAAGTTGATCTCTAGAAAATTTGATAATATCATCACATACGTTATTTACAGAATCCATTGTAATACTATTTTGTATGCCAAGAATATGGGTACTGGTAAAGTGCATATTATTTATTTGTGCAATCGACCGATAGCCGATAATGATTATGATTTTTTTTTTTTT